GTTCAATAGATAATGCAAATACGGGCGACGTTGTCGCCTGAAAAGGATTGGGAATAAATATAAAAATGGTCATGTTTCATAATGGAACTGACAACATCAAGAGGCAACTATAGTATTCATAGCAAGGGCGTATTCATTACGATAAATAAACGAAATAATTTGTTACGAAATCAAGCGGCTTCTTCCTTTCTTTTTTTTTTTTTTTTTTTTTTTTTTTTTTTTTCTAGAGTTGCCTAGTAAAACTCCACATAAGGCAGATACCTCCAGGAAAATGAACGGTAATACAGATTCTCTGTCAATAAATATTTAAGCAAATATTTTAAATTGCATGTAGCCTCCCTTTTCCGCATAAAAAAAATCGATCAATTTTCATTTCCCCCCAAGAAGTCGTAATGACCTCCATAAAACATTTACAGGCTGCCTGTGGTAAAAATAACCGCATTTATCGTGTCACTTGTATCATAACATTTTTGTCGCTCCTTTTGTTAAAGAATGAATTGAAAGCATGCAGCAATTAACAACCAGCAGATTACGAACTCCAGATTTCTATTGCTTGATAGTTGACGAGAAATAAAGACCCAACTAAGCTGCCGGCTTGTTTGACACTTTGTTTACTCAATCAGTCGAATTATGCATCACCAATGTATTATTTTCCTTTCATCTAGAAACTCCAAGTCCAAATTTCTATTTGAGCAACCGGTTATATTTCACCCTTCCAGTTTGAAGTCCTTTGCTGCTTATTCTTTTTAGAGTCTTCCAGTTCGCTTGAAACCCTGCCAAAAACTGGCCACGAAGCCAACTGGTAATACCATCAAAGTTCTCTTGAACCCACTGAAAAATAATGAACTCTCAATCCCACTTTTGTGTCTTCTATCTTTTTATTTGTCAATCTATTTCTTCCTTTGTTTCTTTTACTTTATTTTCTCTCATTGACTTTTTTTTTGTCCAGTGTTACCACCAACGGTATCAAGTACTGCTGCTTCGCCTACCATAGTCGTTGGTAAATTAAAAACATGTATTACATTTTTTGTCAATGTTGCTCATAAAAATTGAATTTAGGATAATGGGTCTGCATGTGGGTCTCCCAATAGTCAAGCCTCCTCTTATGCGTAGAAAATTAATCCTAAAATGGACATTTTCGGTCCTTTTTTTGTTAAAAAAGAAAGAAATGCAGGACCCTCTTGCAGTACCATACATTGGGAGGATGGGTTTTGAGAAATTTGAGTTGGTCACGATAAAATTTACCTGATCACCCCTGAAGGCTCTGCTATAGTCTTAAGACCCTTCCCCCCCCGCCCAATAGCAATTGATTGGCAGTTAATTGACTTATCCTCACTCCGCTTCCCTGAAAAACATGTAGTTCCCCCAAAAATGATCCCACACCCCCACTTACCCCCCACCTCCTCCCTGGCGATAAATGTTTCCTGACCTGACAACTTTCCTTTGAAGATATTAACCGGTGCACTAATGACAGCAAAGTATGTGGTGTGAATGCGACGTGCATAAAGACTGATTACTCTTATGGCTGCACCTGCAAAGAAGGAGTCACAAGAGCTGGAGGGTTTTGTTCAGGTAAATTGATTCTAGAGCATCAAAAATGTTCTTTAAATTCCACCAAATGGTTACTTACTTCTTTGAAAAACTAGAAGATAATGGATTAGAATAAGAAGTACGAGGGACTTAAAGTAAAATCAATTTTTGACCCAAACATAGAGAATTTGAAGGGAAAAAATTCTTGATTTCGCTATATTTGGCAAATGGCGAAGATGCTTGCTGCTAAGTGGGTAGAAATGCTTTTTAAGTTCTCTTTTGTCTTAGAATTAATTTGCTTATCTTACATTTTCTAAATTATTGTCAGATGACAAAATATTACTAGATCTGCGTCAGATCATATTCATATTAATAGAACGATTTTAACTGTTTATAGAAGACACTAGTCTGACGAAATATCACTACATTTACGTCTCTACAAAACATCTCCACGCAACGAACAAAAAAAAACACCTACAATTAGACAAAATAAAAACGTTATCTACCAAGATCGATTCTTAAAGAGAAAAGCTGTGCCCTCTGGTGCTCGAGGCTTGGGATATAGTTCTATCTAGGACGACCTTCCCCCTGACAAGTGACATACATTCAACTGTGAATATAAACCAGATATTCAATGCTTAAACAGATGACGAATGTCGCACCATTATTTTCCAAACACCAATACACAACAAAGTCATAGAGGGCAACGTCATCAGAACCGAAGAGGTTTCACATCAGGGGAGCTGTAATGAAATGTGTTATATGGAACCTAGCTGTGTGTCCATGAACTTTGGACCCAAGGTGGGAGGAAACTTCACCTGCGAATTGAATCAGGATCATTCTTCGGAGGGAGACCAAAGCCCGCCTGTTCCACAAAGTAAAAATGGTCACATTTATCTCGCTATTGAGGTAAGATGGGCGATTTCTTAGTCAGCTGTTTCCTTCTTTTAAAGTGAGTAAGTTTCTCAATAAACTGTGGTGCTGTGTCGGTGGAGGAGGAGGCCTGGTAATACAAGATAAATTTCCCTCTAGGGCTGACGGTTGTAGCGTAAGTACATCGTGAGGGCAAAGGGCAAAAAATTCACACATTTGCAATGCTTTTACGAAAGACTAACGCTCCAAACATCAGCATTAACAACAAATTATCCAGTAATTCCCATCTGAAATTACTCGCGCAAGGGATTAGGAGAAAAGGATTATAACGGTTTTCTATCGGGTACGATGATTGGAAGACATATGCTTGGTATTGGTATGATTTGACTCTTTAAGAATCTCGAAAGTCTAAGGATGATAACAAAATAAGGGATAATCCATTTTGTCTTTAAACAGAATCCCTGCAGCAGCAATCCATGTTCAAACAATGGCACGTGTCAAGCTGGATACACTGATAAAGGGTTTCGCTGCAAATGTCCTTCAGGGTTCACTGGAGCACACTGCAATAAAGGTAGATACAGAACTGTAAAGGGGAATTTATGATATCGAATGATAGTCGTAGAATATTCTGAGGGATAAAAATTTCCTCTTTTTCTTTCTCACCAGCTTGCAGCTTTGACTTTGAAGATGGAATCGGTGGATGGGAAATGACAGGCACAGCTTTCATTCACCAACCGACATTTGGTGACAATCCAGCAGCACGCTACAGAGAAAGCGCCCAGCATCAAGGGGACTGGTGGATAGGGGGGTTGGAGTATCGACCCAGTGAGAGCGATCCCGCAGGATGGCAGAACCCAGCTGGTGGTGATCCTCCCCAGGGAACTCTAATTTCTCCTTGTTTCCGTAACGTTGGCAGAAATATATCGTTTCTCATCGGTGGAGGATGTAACAAAAGTGATATCCGTGCGGAGCTTATTGTCGACAACCAGGTGAGATTATCACTTTGACAATTATGTTTCCTTTGATTCTTTTGAAACAACCTGGGTAGATTTTTTAAATAATCAGAGATTTGGCCTTTCAAAATTGCGAAACTATTTTGAGCTTCGCGATATCCATGAGATTTGTTTAGGTTTGCAAGAAACTATTTACAAGGAAAAAATATATGTAAAAAAAATGAAAAGCCAAACGTTTTCGACATTAGATCATCATCAGGATAAATGATGGTTTCCCTGAAAATAGCTCATTCTGAGTTTTCTCAAGAGAGGTTCCACGAGGGAATGTGGCATCGATGTGCAATCAGCACATTCAATACGGTAATGTCTTGATTTCATTGATGTCTTGATTCTAATAATAGGTTGCTCTTAATTTGAATAAATGTATGATACGGTCATGACAGTTATATCAGCATTCATCGAAACAAAGGTTTAAAACTGTTTGCTATGTTTGTGGTTACATGCAGGTTGTCAGAACTGAGACAGGCAACTGTTACGAGACAATGTACCGTAAGAGCTGGGATGTAGAAGAATTCATCGGACAATACGCGCAAGTCAGACTAGTTGATAAGGGATCTGGTGGTTGGGGTCACATTAATTTTGATGACCTTAAAGGAGATATCATTTGTCCTCACCATTTAGGGGAAAACAACGGAAGGGAAAGTAAGGGCACAAAGGATAAGCGTTTTTCAGGTTTTTGCAGATAGTCACCTTGTGACTATACAGTAAGGTTTAACAGCTTTTGATGTTGCATGCTTCTTTTGAGGAGCACTTGCTTTGTGTTAGCATCGATAGGCACACTCACTCTGTTTATAGCAACAGTAGAAAAGTATTATAAAACAATTTTATGCGTGTTGCAAACAATGTTACACATATCATCCACTTATTATATTGTATTACCGCGACATTTTTAAAAAATGAAAGTCTTTTGCTGTAGATGCTAGCAATCATATCTTAGAATGCTTCTTTTTTGTTGTTGAAATATCTGTTGAAGCTATGAATACTCAATACTAGCTGTAAAAACTCCCGGTAGATTTTGTTCAGGATTATAGATTGAAGTCATTCGAGTAAGCTTCCAAAGGCGGTTTTTCAAAATTGCCAAACTTATACTACCTTTTTTAAGTGCAATCCATTGCAATCAGCACACGCACCATATAAGAACTGATTGCGACACACAAAATTCCTTTATGCTACCTACGTCAGTGTCGATGGAAACAAGGGTATAAAATTTTTTGTGCTTGTCATTACGTTAAGGTTGTCAGAAATGAGACAGGTAACTGTTCGGAGACTATGTACCGTTAGAGCTGGAACGTAGAAGAGTTCATTGGTCGACACGTCCAATTCACACTAATTATGTTAATGTAGCATGTATTGGGTAGCATTTTGCATTAATAAAACGAGGTTCTTCATTTGTTCTTAGTCTTGGAAACCTCGCAAGATCTTGTATCGGACCATTTTGATTTTTTGCATTTTGTTACTTTTACCTTCCTCTCTGTTGCACTCAGAATTGTAAACACTAGAATTTTAAATGTTTCGATGGGACGAGAGCCTACTTCCTGTTAGTAATATCTTACGAAACGTGATTTTAGCTCATACTGGCGGGAGTCAAAAAACCTGACACAAGTGTTACAAAGAAGCACAATTCTGAAATAAAGAGAAAAAAAATTGTTTGGTCTACAGAGTTGGAAACAAACTGTCATTTGGGGAATGAAGTTAATTCGATGAAAACGTCTCCAAAAGTTTACATAATCAAGAGAACTTTATTACATTTTCTTGTTTGCCTCCTTGGCAGCGTTCATATTTGGGTCTTGTAGTTCTTAATATTCGGTAAGTTATACCGTAGCATATTGTAAGAACTGATCACTTATCCCCTGAAAAGCTATCAGTACTTCATCATTTATTAGCCTTCCAAATTTTCACAAATGAAAAGATATTTAATTTTATCTTTTTAGCGCAAGTATCATTTTAGAATGTGTACATCACAGTTTGGTCAATCGATTTTAACCATGGAAATACAACATTGTAATTTTCATTTTAAATCTTAGTGAGGAATATTTACTTGAAACGTGCATGCACAGAGTGTGCTATGAGTGAGGCAATTAGAATACAGAAACTTTATTACTAATAAAAATACACTCCAAAACATCGAAACTTAGGACTTGTATTCTTCTGTTTCATAATTTCATCCCTTTACAATGAAATCTTTCCAAACCTCACTCCATTGATAGCTTTGCTTCGGAATTGGAAAAAATACAATAAAACGATGGGTAAACCAAATGATGTCTTCGTGACCTAGACCATGTAAAGACATTCTTTAGCGTCCGTTTTTTTATGTCGTCTTAAAAGAAGAAAGACCTGTCAGTACACTATATATAAGATCAAGTCGTTCTGTCAAGTGAGTTATAATATACGTGAAAAAGTTACGCGCTTCTGATTGGCTAAAGAGGAGTCCAATTTTTTTTATGTAAACAAGAGAAACGTTGTAAAACGTGTGCAAATTACAAACAGAGCGCGCACCATCCAAATTTCGTCTGCTTGATTTTTTTAAATGCTTTTTTGAAGTGAATTATTAAAGAAATAAAAAGCGCGCCAAGTGCATTTTTGAGTTATATAAGCAGGCGGGAATTTTTAACAACACGAGAAAAGTGCGGAGGAGCACGAGCCGAAGGCGAGAGCCTCTCGCACTTCTCGAGTGCTTATATAACTCAACAATGCTTGAGGAGTTTTTTTTATTTCTTTTAAAAGAATGCCTCGTGAATTGCGCGCGCTCGTACCGATGACGTAGGCTGCGTGCATATTAGAGTGATTTAACAAGAGGACGGGAACGTCATTTCAGAACGGGAAAGCGCGCGGATAGTCTGGACACGACTCTATTTAGACATCCGGTGTTGGCGTTTCCGTTCTCCTCAACAAGTCCAGGACGTCATTACCCTGGTTTTCCCGTCGCGATCAAAACGTTTGGGATTTGCGTAATTTTGCGCTTATAAACGAGATAATGCTGTTTGAAAGAAAGGATGGCAGCACCCAGCTGATGCCGACCCACCCCAAGGAACTCTCATTTCTCCTTGTTTCCATATAGTTGGCAGAGATATCTCGTTTCTCATCGGTGGAGGATGTACCATAAGTGATATTCGTGCGAACTTATTGTTAAAAACCCGGTGAGATTATCACTTTGACCATTATGTTTCCTTTGATTCTTTTGAAACAACCTGGGTAGATTTATAAACGTATCAGATATTTGGTCTTTCAAAATTGCGAAACTATTTTAAGGTTCGTGATATCCATGAGATTCGTTTAGGTTTACAATAAGCTATTTAAAAGGAAAAAACATATTTAAAAAAAAAGCCAAATGTTTTCGACTCTTGGTCATCATCAGAGTAAATGATTGTGACCCTAAAAACGATCTATAGCTAGTGCTGAAAACGTCTGGTTTTTACTTTTTAAATATATTTTTGCCTTTTCGATGGCTCATTTTGAGTTTCCTCGAGAGAGGTTCCAAGAGGGAACCAACCTCGCGCCTGGCACATTTTAGTTGTCTTTGGTTGTCTTTAGTTGAAACAAATGTTTTTTTTTTTCTTTGGTGCAGAGCAATCAGCACATTTAATGCCATAATATATTGTTTCAATAAAAAAGCGTCTGCTCCTTATTTGAAATAATCATTATAAATATGTCGGCATTCATCAAAACAATGGTTTAAAACTGTTTGATAAGTTTGCTGTTACATATAGGTTGTCAGAACAGAAACAGGCAGTTGTAGCGAGACAATGTACCGTAAGAGCTGGAACGTAAAAGAATTCATCGGTCAATACGCCCAAGTCAGACTAGTTGATAAGAGGGATTGTTGTTGGGGTCACATCCACTTTGATGACCTGAAGGGAGATATTATTTGTCCTCACTATTCAGACGAAAACAACTGAAGGGAAAGTCACGGCACAAAGGATAAGCGTTTTTCAGGTTTTTACAGATAGTCGCCTTATGACTCTACAGTAAGGTTTTACAGCTTTTGATATAGTATTGTTCTTTAGAACTTGCTTCGTGCTTGCTTAGATAGGCACACTCACTCTTTTTATAGGAACAGTAGAAAAGTGTCATGAAACAATTTTATGAGCGTGGCAAAAGATGCTATAATCATGACATCTACTTGTTACATTGTATTACCGCAACAAAATGCTTTAGATGCTAGAAATCATATTACATTAGAATGCTGCTTTTTTTCTTGATATTTCTGTTGAAGGTCTTTTTGAACACTCAATATTCACTTTGAAAAATACAAGCTTTAAAATTCCTACTGTTTTTGTTCAGGATTACATTTTCGAGTAGGTTTCCAAAACAGGCTTTAAATTGTGCAATATTTTTCCCTAGTTAAAAAAAAATAGTATCGAAGTTGCAGGAATCAAGTTATTGAAACAGCCAAGGTAGATTGATATTTGAGATTTGGTTTTCCAAAATTGCCAAACTTACACTGCATTTCAGTAAGGGCAATTCATTGCAATTAGCACGCGCAATGCCATATTATTACTGTTTGCAACTCAAAACATTCCTTTCAATACAGTTATGCTATCTATGTCAGCATTGATCGAAACAGGGGTATAAAGGTTTTTGTGTTTATTACGTTAAGGTTGTCAGAAATGAGACAGGTAACTGTTCGTAAGCTATGTACCGTAAGAGCTGGAACGTAGAAGAGTTCATTGGTCAACATGCCTAAGTCAGACCAGTTGATAAGAGATCTGCTAGTTGAGGTCACATTAACTTTGATGACCTTAAAGGAGTTATTCGTCCTCACGACTAAGAAGATTGTGAATTGGATAACAATCAAGGCATTACATTTGGAAGGTGAGCAGCTACTTTGGAAGGCAATTAAGTTGTTCATTAGGTTTGGCATTGTACTGAAGTAGTCACATTAAACGAAATAAAAAATATATATAAGGGTGCACTAAATTCCACGACGGACCCCTTTTAAAATAAATTTTGTGTAAAGTAATACTGCATTCACATCATCAGAAATAGTACTGATAAAGTGTGTTTTCCATAGCTTCAAGTACTCACTAACTTTTTTCTTTAGATTGGCTAACTGTGAACTCAACAAACGTCGCTTTAAGAAGCTTCTTTGAAGAGAAAAGTTTTCATTGGGTTTAAAACATACTCAAGCTTTAGTGGATATAGCTGAACGGATGGTTAATTTAAGTTTCACAATCCGTTTTTAGTCTCAGGCAAACACAGCTACTCCATCACCGCCTCTCCATCTTTCCACTCCTAGTCCCGAAACATGAAATATTATTTTTACAAACAGATATTTTATTACTTTTTCCTCTAGAATTGGAAGACCCGTGGCGTAGATATAGATATCGAGCTCGTAAGTAAAGTGTAAAGGCAGATTAAAATGCATGCATCTGTTCTGTGTTGCTTTTTATTTCTGCTTTTGTTTGCTTTTTTCTTAATCTTTTTTCCTTTTTTTTGCTTTTGTTTGTTTGTTTTTGCTTGTGTTCTTTTTTGCTTCGTTTAATTTGTTTTGATTCATTCGTTTTCTTTCTTTCGAAAATCTTTTCAGGACGTCTCGGTTGTTTCAAAGGCAAACGCAAAATATGTAACAGATACTATACAGATAACAATACATTGAGGTGGTCCTGCAGATGTGTATAAATATGGATTTGAAGGTACAAATATGGATTTGAAAGAACAAATATGATTTAAAGAATTTGGAACTGATTTGGCGAAAGTGAACCGGAGTCTATTTAGCACAATTGTCTTTATCTAAGCTCACAGAACTCCTTTTGTTCGTTTCTAGGGATACTCGGAACGCAGGTACTTAACAGAGCGAGTCGAAGAAAAGCCAATTGGGGAATAATTAAAGATCAGCTTATGAGGGAAACAATAAACGAACGAGTCGATCAACTGAATTGTTGTGGATAAATGATTCTTTAAAATAAAAGAAACTAACCAGTGGCTAACAAGTGTTCGAAGATGTATGGTACAGACCCACTGCAACATAGAACATGAATCTATCTGTTTATTGTTACAAAAAAGGCAAAATGTTGTTAGCGGTGACGTCATCTGTGCGTCTGTCCTCTATTATAACATATATAGGAACCAATCAAAATCATTCGACTCATTATATAACATTTCAATATATCGCCCTGTGGTGGACGTCTCCGTGGACTTTTCGTTAATGAAACAATATCAAACAACGCGTTTGTTTTGTTTTGTTTTGTTTTTTTACATTATACGCGTTATCAGGAAGATTTTCCGCCTTGCAAAACAATAAAGCGAGATGCAATGACGACTGCTTTATTAGAAGGTAGCTTGAAAACAGTAACGAAAAACAGACAAGAACAAAAGCAGAAATGATGCAGAAATGATGCGTAGCAAACTGCATACGTAAGAAAACATTCTCAATATTTCAAACGATATAAGAAAAGCACGTCACCAGGTACCACTTTTTCCTTCTCAAACTTGGATCTAAGAATAAAAAACGCAGTGGGCAGCGGTAAGTACCCAGTTGACTACAATTAGTGAACCACCGCTCAATTAAAACGATCATGGCAGAACCTAACGTTGACCATTCTATCAATGCGTGGGTTTTGGTATTTTCCCACTTATTCCATGCAGTCTAGGAAAGCAGATAGCACATGCTAGATGTTGAATAAAGAATAATCGAAACTACTGTCACTAAATCTTTTTTTATAAATATTTCTCTCTAATAACACGAAAAATGAAGAAAATTTTGTATATTTACCACGATTATTTTAGATTTTGGCAAGAAATACTCTGAACGACAGGATGTACCCATAGACAACAAATTCGCGTATCGGACAACACACAAACCAATCATAACTTGCGTCATATGTCAAGTTGAAATTTGAGGCAAGCCCCAGCACCGGTGAAAAGAACCATTCAGCTTCGAGTCCTGGTAAACCTGACAGAAAAAAACCGAAATACTTAAAATATGAGAATCCTTAAGAAAAGATTTTAACGAGGAGTTATTGTGCTGCCTTTAAGAGTCCCTCCGTATTGAGAATATAACGTGTTTTTCTAAGAAAGTAGTTGAGTTTGTAGGATTGTTGTGTTCTTTCTGTCGATTAAATTGCACCGTAACAATATAAAACGCATTAAGAAAAAGACGCACGTCACTGCCTTTAGAAAACTGGCTGTTTTGCAAACCTCAGAACAATTCGACTCTGTAACGTTTCAAAATTATCGTTTCTGGATGGATTTGTTCTTTCTCCGGTACATCCTCATCACGAATAGAACATACTGTCTGCCAACACAGTTTGCAACATGGCAGTAAAGTATAACCTGTACGAGACAAATGTAAATAAAACATAAGAACTCCATTGTAGACACGTTTATACCTTTCGGCTTTGTTTATTTAAGTTTGAGCTGTTATACACCACGTCTTTTGGGAAGAATTGTTTTTTTTTTCGCCTTCACAGATTTAGACTGACAAGTACTTGTAATAGAGATATCTGCTATGAGAGCGAAATAGCACGAATTCCTATACGGACAGATTTATTAAGCGGGACTTTATTGTAACCTGCTATTTGCATTTAATTGTTATTCATGATCAAAGTAAAACCATTGCAATAATTAATCTTTTAGTAGTTGTCATCTTTTTTTTCATGTTTGCAAACCACGTGGTAAAACCCTTTACTAGAAGCAAATTAGATCAAATTAGATTTGGGGAAAACCTCCTGATATATCGCACAAAAGAGCAAAGAGCTCCTACAGGGATTTCACTGGAGAGACCATTTCTTATTTATTGCCAGTGCCAAGGCAATACAATTTTTATATTCATATTTCAACAAACTAAATCAAAAAGTAAATGTTGTAACGCATATTGCATATTTAGAGGACACCACGATCTATTGTGTATGGTTGTTTGTCACTATAGCAACATTTTTTCATTGGCAGATGAAAATGCAATTTGATATAAAGAGAAAATGTTTTAAAACAAAGTCTTTGAATGAAGCAGGTAGAATTGCTCTCAAGACTGGTCCACATGCTTTCTTTCTCAAGATGTCTCGCCTCATTTTTATTCTACAGCTATACTTTTGCATAAAGACTGTGGCTCAAGACGGTATGATGTGCTTCAGATATTTAACCAACTTGTGTGTTGAGTAGAAATACAGCTCAAATCCGTATCTATACAAGTTAGGTAATCGCAGTTTTAGGAGCTGTTTTCGCAGAGAATCCGGCTTTAATCATGGGAAATGTTTGACCTCAGTTAGGGATTAGCTTTGAACAGATATTTTAAGACTGAATATCATCTCTGTGGAAGCAGAGATCATCAACAGGAGATAATCTATGATGACGCACGTGTCATTTCCACAAACATGAACTTTTACTCGTTTCAGGAAAAGAAACTCCTAACTTAACTGCCCTTAGTTTTAACAGTTGCAGTCACATATCAAGCTACTACCACTGCTACTTTCTTTTTCCTACTTTTATGTTTTCATTATTTTCTTGATATTGAGGGTATACACATTGCTTCTTCGGTTAAAAATCATGTAGAGAATGCATTTGGGTTTTTTTGGTGTGTGTGTGTGTGTTTAAAAAGAACAAATTTAACCCATAATCGCTGAACATCATCTTAGTTTGCAAAAGCTGTAAAGTTTGAAATCGCGACGGTCAATCTTCAAAAGTACTGATTGGCGTGAGATAAAAATGTAATGAACATGTGCCCCGATTTTATATACCCCCGTCTGCACAGTTTGAAAGAGTCACTTCCATTACCTTAATTTTTGGCTATTGTTTGCTTATCTTCTTTTTTTTTTCATTTATGTTTTGTTTAAATAGATATCATTATTTCGGTTTGTTTTGCTTTCTTTTGCTTTGTTTTTTTCTGTTTGGTTTTTTTTTTGTTTTGTTTTTATTTTTCATGAAAATGAGGGAGTGTGGAAAATATCAAAATTCGCGAATCTTTGCAGGTGATTGTCGTATTCTGGAATTTAAGCCGGATTTGAAAGATTTTTCTTTGCAAGGTTTCGTTATCAAGAGCTTCGAGGTACAAAAAGAAAGTGACTGTAAAGCGAGGTGCTTTCAGGAACACAACTGTGTTTCTCTCAATATTGGTCCCTCGGGAAACAATGGAGCTTATTTGTGTGAACTGAGTGATTCTGATCATGAGATGCACTCTGAGGCGCTCAAGCCAAGAGATGGCTTCACCTATCACTCGACTGAGGTTAGTTTAACAAGCAAGATTGGAAACAATTTTTTTCCAGCCTTATTTTGCATAGTAAATTTATTGAACGCGTTCGATATGATATAATGGAATCAATATGTAGCGCGTTTTGCTATCATTAGGCATGTAATATATATATATATATTTTTTTTTTCCATATTTTTCACTTTAGCGTAGACTTCCTTCTATCCATTCGTATGCATCGTATCGTATGTAGCTTGCCGGACTTTAGAGCACTTTACATGCCATATTAGGAAATTTGCGAAGCGCAGCGTAAGACCTCAGTAATTTGTTATGACAAATGGAGCAAACACATGACAAACAAGTACTTCGAATTCGAACAAAACAGTGGTAATCGCAGGTTAGCTAAGATCTAAGTGATTGCAGAGTAGAAACCTGTGGAGGGAAAAAAAAATCAGGCATCGATGGGATTCGAGCCCATTCCTCCCAGAAACTGGTTGGTTGCTGCAAGTTTGTTTTTTAAATTTTTAGAACGCTTGTGTGAAGAATCCCTGCCTTCTTCATCAGTCTTGTCAAAATGGCTTCACGGATAAAGGATACCGGTGTGTAGGTAAAGGTAACATGACTCAGTTAGTCTTAATCCTGTAAAAGGTGGACGGTAAAGCTGCCAAAGCAGAGCACTTAACGATTTATTTTTGGCAAAAGATGGCGGAAATGTTAAAACGAAATAGAGGAAGCTTGTGCTTGATAACATTGCATCCTATATAAAACAAGTTGAATAACAACAATACCGATAGAGAATATAAAGAGCGTTTTTGTATCGAGTGTTACGGAAAAGCAGTCTAAGTATATTTTTTTCTTCAATTGCCATCTTTATCTACCTTTGCCTTACATTTCATTTTTTTTTTTCGGTGACATGCTCGGTTAAAAACATTTTCATGAAAGTAATAATCATAACAATAATGATAAAGAAGTTTCCTCCAACAGGTTTACCAGTTATTCCTCGTTCTTTTTTTCCAGAGTTGCCCAATTCAACTCCAAATGAGCCAAAAACCTCTACAAACCCCATTGGTAAGAGAACTAAATGTTTTCTATATCTTTGTTATTTTACTGAATGTGAAACTTATTTCTCCTCGGGATGTTTCAATTTAGTGGCGTTCAATAGATAATGCAAATACGGGCGACGTTGTCGCCTGAAAAGGATTGGGAATAAATATAAAAATGGTCATGTTTCATAATGGAACTGACAACATCAAGAGGCAACTATAGTATTCATAGCAAGGGCGTATTCATCACGATAAATAAACGAAATAATTTGTTACGAAATCAAGCGGCTTCTTCCTTTCTTTTTCTTTTTTTTTTTTTTTTTTTTTTTTTTTTTTTCTAGAGTTGCCTAGTACAACTTCACATAAGGCAGATACCTCCACGAAAATGAACGGTAATACAGATTCTCTGTCAATAAATATTTAAGCAAATATTTTAAATTGCATGTAGCCTCCCTTTTCCGCATAAAAAAAATCGATCAATTTTCATTTCCCCCGAAGAAGTCGCAATGACCTCCATAAAACATTTACAAGCTGCCTGTGGTAAAAATAACCGCATTTATCGTGTCACTTGTATCATAACATTTTTGTCGCTCCTTTTGTTAAAGAATGAATTGACAGCATGCAGCAATTAACAACCAGCAGATTACGAACTCCAGATTTCTATTGCTTGATAGTTGACGAGAAATAAAGACCCAACTAAGCTGCCGGCTTGTTTGACACTTTGTTTACTCAATCAGTCGAATTATACATCACCAATGTATTATTTTCCTTTCATCTAGAAACTCCAAGTCCAAATTTCTATTTGAGCAACCGGTTATATTTAACCCTTCCAATTTGAAGCCCTTTGCTGCTTATTCTTTTTAGAGTCTTCCAGTTCGCTTGAAACCCTACCAAAAACTATCTCCACGAAGCCAACTGGTAATACCATCAAAGTTCTCTTGCACCCACTGAAAAATAATGAACTCTAAATCCCACTTTTGTTTCTTCTATCTTTTTATTTGTCAATCTATTTCTTCCTTTGTTTCTTTTACTTTATTTTCTCTCATTGAATTTTTTTTTGTCCAGTGTTACCACCAACGGTATCAAGTACTGCTGCTTCGCCTACCATAGTCGTTGGTAAATTAAAAACATGTATTACATTTTTTGTCAATGTTCCTCATAAAAATTGAATTTAGGATAAATGCACCTTGCACCAACAGTGTAGTATTGCCTCTTTAGGCTGTTTTGTGGGTCTGCATGTGGGTCTCACAATAGTCAAGCCTCCTCTTATGCGTAGAAAATTAATCCTAAAATGGACATTTTTCGGTCCTTTTTTGTTAAAAAAGAAAGAAATGCAGAACCCCCTTGCAGTACCATATATTGGGAGGGTGGGTTTTGAGAAATTTGAGTTGATCATGATAAAATTTACCTGATCACCCCTGAAGGCTCTGCTATAGTCTTAAGACCCTCCCCCCCCCGCCCAATAGCAATTGATTGGCAGTTAATTGACTTATCCTCACTCCGCTTCCCTGAAAAACATATAGTTCCCCCAAAAATGATCCCACACCCCCACTTACCCCCCACCTCCTCCCTGGCGATAAATGTTTCCTGACCTGACAACTTTCCATTGAAGATATTAACCGGTGCACTAATGACAGCAAAGTATGTGGTGTGAATGCGACGTGCATAAAGACTGATTACTCTTATGGCTGCACCTGCAAAGAAGGAGTCACGAGAGCTGGAGGGTTTTGTTCAGGTAAATTGATTCTAAAGCATCAAAAATGTTCTTTAAATGCCACCAAATGGTTACTTACTACTTTGAAAAACTAGAAGATAATGGATTAGAATAAGAAGTACGAGGGACTTAAAGTAAAATCAATTTTTGGCGTAAACATAGAGAATTTGAAGGGGAAAAATTCTTAATTTCGCTATATTTGGCAAATGGCGAAGATGCTTGCTGATAAGTGGGTAGAAATGCTTTTTAAGTTTTCTTTCGTCTTAGAATTACTTTGCTTATCCTACATTTTCTAAATTATTGTCAGATAACAAAATATTACTAGATCTGTGTCAGATCATATTCATATTAATAGAACGATTTAAACTGTTTATAGAAGACACTAGTCTGACGAAATATCACTACATTTACGTCTCTACAAAACATCTCCACGCAACGAACAAAAGAAAAAACACCTACAATCAGACAAAATAAAAACGTTATCTACCAAGATCGATTCTTAAAGAGAAAAGCTGTGCCCTCTGGTGCTCGAGGCTTGGGATATAGTTCTATCTAGGACGACCTAGACCCCTTGACAAGTGACATATATTCAACTGTGAATATAAACCAGATATCCAATGCTTAAACAGATGACGAATGTCGCACCATTATTTTCCAAACTCCAATACACAACAAAGTCATAGAGGGCAACGTCATCAGAACTGAAGAGGTTTCACATCAGGGGAGCTGTAATGAAATGTGTTATATGGAACCTAGCTGTGTGTCCATGAACTTTGGACCCAAGGTGGGAGGAAACTTCACCTGCGAATTGAATCAGGATCATTCTTCGGAGGGAGACCAAAGCCCGCCTGTTCCACAAAGAAAAAAAGGTCACATTTATCTCGCTATTGAGGTAAGATGGGCGATTCCATAGTCAGCTGTTTCCTTCTTTTAAAGTGAGTAAGTTTCTCAAGAAACTGTGGTGCTGTGTCGGTGGAGGAGGAGGCCTGGTAATACAAGATAAATTTCCCTCTAGAGCTGACGGTTGTAGCGTAAGTACATCGTGAGGGCAAAGGGCAAAAAATTCACACATTTGCAATGCTTTTGCGAAAGACTAACGCTCCAAACATCAGCATTAACAACAAATTATCCGGTAATTCCCATCTGAAATTACTCGCGCAAGGGATTAGGAGAAAAGGATTATAACGGTTTTCTATCGGGTACGATGATTGGAAGACATATGCTTGGTATTGGTATGATTTGACTCTTTAAGAATCTCGAAAGTCCAAGGATGATAACAAAATAAGGGATAATCCATTTTTTCTTTAAACAGAATCCCTGCAGCAGCAATCCATGTTCAAACAATGGCACGTGTCAAGCTGGATACACTGATAAAGGGTTTCGCTGCAAATGTCCTTCAGGGTTCACTGGAGCACACTGCAATGAAGGTAGATACAGAACTGTAAAGGGGAATTTATGATATCGAATGAGAGTCATAGAGTATTCTGCGGGATAAAAATTTCCTCTTTTTTCTTTCTCACTAGCTTGCAGCTTTGACTTTGAAGATGGAATCAGCGCATGGGAAATGACAGGCACAGCTTTCATTTACCAGCCAACATTTGGTGACAATCCAGTGGCACGCCGTAGAGAAAGCGCCAATCAGCAAGGGGACTGGTGGGTAGGGGGAGCTGAGAAACGACCCAGCGAGAGCGATCCTGCGGGAAAACTGTACGGCGACTCACCCAAGGGAACTCTCATTTCTCCTTGTTTCCGTATCGCTGGCAGAGATATCTCGTTTCTCATCGGTGGAGGATGTAGCATAAGTGATATCCGTGCGGAGCTTATTGTCGACAACCAGGTGAGATTATCACTTTGACCATTATGTTTCCTTTGATTCTTTAGAAACAACCTGGGTAGATTTATAAACGTATCAGATATTTAGTCTTTCAAAATTGCGAAACCATTTTGAGGTACGAGATATCTATGAGATTCGTTTAGGTTTATAATAAGCTATTTACAAGGAAAAAACATATTTTAAAAAAGAGCCAAATGTTTTCGACTCCTGGTCATCATCAGAGTAAATGATAGTGACTCTAAAAACGATCTATAGCTAGTGCCGAAAACGTTTTGTTTTTACTTTTTAAATATATTTTTGCCTTTTCGATGGCTCATTTTGAGTTTCCTCGAGAGAGGTTCCAAGAGGGAACCAACCTCGCGTCTGGCACATTTTAGTTGTCTTTGGCTTATACAACGTTGAAACAATTTTTTTTTTCTTAGGTGCAGAGCAATCAGCACATTTAATGCCGTAGTATATTGCTTCAATAAAAAAGCGTCTGCTCCTTATTTGAAATAATCATTATAAATATGTCGGCATTCATCAAAACAAAGGTTTAAAACTGTTTGATAAGTTTGCTGTTACATATAGGTTGTCAGAACAGAAACAGGCAACTGTAAAGAGACAATGTATCGTAAGAGCTGGGACGTAAAAGAATTCATTGGTCAATACGCCCAAGTCAGACTAGTTGATGAGAGGGATCGTGTTTGGGGTCACATCAACTTTGATGACCTGAAGGGAGATATTATTTGTCCTCACTATTCAGACGAAAACAACTGAAGGGAAAGTCACGGCACAAAGGATAAGCGTTTTTCAGGTTTTTACAGATAGTCGCCTTGTGACTCTACAGTAAGGTTTTACAGCTTTTGATATAGTATTGTTCTTTAGAACTTGCTTCGTGCTTGCTTAGATAGGCACACTCACTCTTTTTATAGGAACAGTAGAAAAGTGTCATGAAACAATTTTATGAGCGTGGCAAAAGATGCTATAATCATGACATCTACTTGTTACATTGGATTACCGCAACAAAATGCTTTAGATGCTAGAAATTATATTACATTAGAATGCTTCTTTTTTTCTTGATATTTCTGTTGAAGGTCTTTTTGAACACTCAATATTCACTTTGAAAAATACAAGCCGTAAAAATTCCTACTGTTTTTGTTCAGGATTACATTTTCGAGTAGGTTTCCAAAACAGGCTCCAAATTGTGCAATAGTTTTCCATAGTTAAAAAAAAATAGTATCGAAGTTGCAGGAATCAAGTTATTGAAACAGCCAAGGTAGATTGATAAACGTATTTGAGATTTGGTTTTCCAAAATTGCCAAACTTACACTGCATTTCAGTAAGTGCAATCCATTGCAATTAGCACACGCAATGCCATATTATTACTGTTTGTAACTCAAAACATTCCTTTCAATACAGTCATGCTACCTATGTCAGCATTTATCGAAACAGGGGTATAAAGGTTTTTGTGTTTATTACGTTAAGGTTGTCAGAAATGAGACAGGTAACTATTCGTAAGCTATGTATCGTAAGAGCTGGAACGTAGAAGAGTTCATTGGTCAACATGCCTAAGTCAGACCAGTTGATAAGAGATCTGCCTCATTTGAACTTTTAAGCACTTCCTCCAACTTTTTGAAAATGTTTCCTAAAACGGTTTGGGGGGCCGTGGGTAGTCAGATTGTGCGAGCTAGGCTCCAAGTCCTTTAAGCACTTAGTATTTGTATGTAAAGAAGTTATTAGTATTGATATCATTCTTTTTATATGCAATTTAGTAGAACCAGCAAGTTGTGCACCGGGTGAAAAAGAGAAGTGTTCCAACTTATCAAATTCATCTGCCACTTAAAAGATGAGACGGATTCGCTGACTGTAAGATATCTTGAAAACTGCAAAGGCAGAGATGAACTGGCTATGATATCGTGACAGATTTATGGATGAGCACATAATTTTTATCTGAGTGTAAGGTGATAAGTGTAGTGTTGTTTATAATGCTATACTAGCCACAGGCGGCCTAAGCTCCAGCTGTCAGATGATCATCTTGCGAAATTATTTATGGTAAAATTATAAGAGTTTGTATGGGAATATTTACGACCGCTCTAAAAATAAACAAAATAAGTCAAATTCAATAAAAATACCTCACCTTACTTCTACAGGGCATTGCTTGCTATCTGACCGCTTACTAGGTTGAAGGGAACCCATTTTACGAGTTATCCATTTCGAATTGTTTTAGTTACATAAGAAAAGCTCAAGGCTGCACACTCCAGTCTGAACGCCCGATCCGAGAAGCGAAAACTCCAAGCTCAAAATGACGGGTGGCTACAAATCCAAAGCAGCATCCAAGCACATATACTGTAGTTTCATTTCAACTCACTACAAATTCAATCTCCCAGTTAAACCGTCGCTAAGCAGCAGTTTGCTTAAAAAATTTCCAGTTTAGACGTTTCTAACGGCCCGCGTACACATTCACCTTGACAATTGAAACTGAGGACAACACCCGTGGTTCTAAAACTATTTGCTCATGCCAAATGACGGTGTACAGGAGTTTCTGATTGGTTATTTACTATTAAAGAGAGAGGTAAAGGCTGGAGCACTTCTTATTAGACATTTTTACCAGTGCAGCCTTTGAACTAAGCGTTCAGGACAGATTTATTATGCGTGTCTCGCGATGATTTTATTGTATCCTATCAATTTCATTTGTAGTGAACCTCTGCTTTACGACCACCTCGTTAATATGACCACCTTATTATTACAACTACTATTTTAAGGCCCGGCAAAATGTGCATACATTTTCTAATAAAAAACACCCCGTTGATGCGACCAACGACCACTTTTTTAATTCCCAACGTGCATATTTATTTTGTTTTTAATCTCGTCAATACGACCACTAATACGGATAAGCGGCGACAGAAAAGGATGTCCGCGATTATGATGATAACGGCGTTCAAGGACAGGCGCTAGCTAGTTTGTTGGATATTCTGTGTTTTTTCAGTCTGAGGGAAACTCTAAAACATCAAATGAACTCGCGAAAGTGATTAGTCAGGTGCAAAGTGACTGGCTTGAGCATAGGATAAGCCAATCAAGAGTGACAGATTTTTTACCAAATCATCTTCATAAATGGAACTGAAGCCCGCTCCATGCACGTCATCTTGGTTTTGTAAATACGTGCGGCAGTTCGTTCCCGTTTGTTTGGTTTCAGTCGCTCATGTCTAAATGGTTCTGTTTTAATTAAGTATATTTTATTATTTAAATGCAATGTAAATTCTTAAGAACAGTTGTTTGAAGATGAAACTTTGATACGCTTGGAATGCAAGTCATCATCAACACGCCGGCTATAAAAAATGACCCTACCCTGGCAATACGACCACCCCGTTAATACGACCACTTTATTTTGGCCCGTTGTTGGTCGTATTAACGGGGTTCTACTGTAATTGTTATTCATGATCAAAGTAAAACCATTGTAATATTTAATTTTTAGTAGTTGGTATCTTCTTTGTCATGTTTACAAACCACGTGGTAAAACTATATGCTCTGAAGCGAATTTGACCGTAGAGGTCAAATTAGATTTGGGCAAAACCTACTGAGAGAGCGAAGAGCTCCTGCTAGATTCCACGGGAGAAATAATTTCTTATTTATAGGCAGTGCCAAGGCATTACAATTTTTCTATTCAGATTTCAACAAACTATATCAGAAGTAAATGATACAACATATACTGCATATTTAGAGGAGACCACGATCTTATCAATCTATTGTGTCTGATAGTTTGTCGCTATAAAAGCTTTTTTTTTTTTCATTAGTAGTTGAAATGCAATTTGATATAAAGAAACATGCTTTCGAAGCAAAGCCATTGAATGAAGCAGATATAGTTGTTCTCGAGACTGGTACACTGTTTCCCTTCTCAAGATGTCTCGCTTCATTTTTGTTCTGTGTGGCTCAAGACGGTATGATATGCTTTGGATGTGCAACAAACATTGTGTGTTGAGTCGAAGACGGTCCAAACTGGTGTCTGTGCATGTTGCGTAATCGGGGTTTTAGGGATGTCTTTCCTAGAGAAAACAGCTTTAATCATGGGAAATGTTTGACATCAGTTAGGGAATAGCTTTAAACGAATATTTGAATTTAATACTGAAAATCATCGCCGTAGAGGCAAAGATCGTCAACAGAAGATATTCTTTGATGACGCACGCGTCCTTTTCACAAACAAGAACATTTACTAGCTAAAGGAAAAGAAGTTCATAATATTACTGCCCTTAGTTTAAACAATTGCAGTCACATATCAAACTACTACCATTGCTACTTTCTTTTTCTTGTTTTTATATTTTTACTATTTGCAAGATATTCAGAGCACACACTCATTGCTTCTTTAATTACAAATCATGTGGAGAATGTATTGGCGTTATTTTTTTTGTGTTTGGAAAGAACAAATTGGACTGAAAATAGCTGAACGTAATTGAAATCGCGACGGTCAGTCTCAAAAGGTGAGATAAAAAAGTTATGAACATGTGTCCCGATTTTATATCCTTTTATCCGCACAGCTTGAAAGAAGCATCACCATGACTACATCATTTCACTGTAACTTCTCCCATCAACAGTGTCTTTGAATTGCTGAGGCCTGAGGTTTTTTGTATGTTATTTTTATATATATCATGTTTTGTAAATATATATATGTATATATATATATATATATATATATATATTTAATGATGATATATATATAAACCCCTGAAGAGTGAAGCGATTCACGAAACAGGCTTGTCGGGAAATATATATATATATATATATATATATATATATATATATATGTATGTATGTATGTATAGATATCTCATTATTTCAGTTTGTTTTGCCTAGATTTGATTTTTTTTATGAAATGAGGGCGGATGAAAAATATATCAAAAGTCACGTATCTTTACCTGATATTACCCTACCGTATTTATTAACCGTATATGAATTTCATAATTTCATTCCCTTTTGCTATTTGAATACTGAACAGATGAAGAATGTCGATCCATTGTTTTCAAAGAGCCAATACGGGACAAAGTCATGGAGGGGCACTTATGTGCTATATGGAGCCCAATTGTGTGTCCATAAATTTGGAGCCTTCGCAAGGAGGCAACTACATTTGTAAGTTGAACGTAGCTGTAAAAACTCCGGGTATATTTTGTTCAGTACTACTCGTGAATACATTAGACGACTCGTATCGATCCGTAGTATTGGATATATCTGATTGCGCCAAGAGCTGATAACATTGGCTAAAACATGCTAGGGCAGGGGGAGATTTCGGAAGAATTTCTTGCAGGAAACGAAGGGATGGGATTGGGTGGTCAGAAATAAATAAATACCATTTACTGTCAATAGAGTTCTGTAGTTCCTGTAGTACAATCGCATAAACTAACACATTGGGCTTAGGTGAAGATCCTTAGAAAAAACTCGTAATATTCATTTTCTTTATTAAGGAAGTTTCTACAGACGTAGAAGAAGGTATCTTTATGCAATTTGGTCGAAAAGAAAGTGAAAGTGATCCGCGAACAAAACTTCTGGGTGCTTTGTTAGTGACTATTTTAAGCACGACAGTTGGTAAACGATACTGAAAGATCATTATCATAAGTAGGACCGGAAGACGTCTGCTTCAGCAGGACGGGCAGTTGACGTAATACAATATAAAAACCACGAGCCTTTGTTATTTGCAGCTACTTGAGAGTACATGCAAAAAAGGGTCAAATCAGAAAAGACCTTTAATTTATCGTCGACGAAGTGTGAAGTGAGCTTATATAAACAAAAGAATCGGTGGAAAACCGTCTGACGTCGAGTAAAAAATCGAATCGAAAATAACATCCTTCCAAGCTGAGAGGAGTAAAAGAGGAGAAATGTTTAGGTGATACTTGAGGTCTTTCATCTCAGTTTCATCACTTCACCACCATAGCAGTGGAGCAACACTAATGTAATACTGTAATTAGTACTGTCGATAAATGTTATAGCTCAGCCCAAACATCACTGGGGTCAAGAAAGATAGATTATTACTCAAGGAAACGAACCCAAGATGAAATATAACCAGCTGTAAGAGACAAGTGAGCGATTTAGCTTTGTAAGAAATAATTCATGTGTTAGACAAGAGTAATTAAATAATTTTCATGGATTATTTGAGTGAGCAAACTACCAAACAGGTAAATTTTTAAATCAGTCATTAGGCAAATAGGTACGAGCATGATATAGTGCTCGCTTAGAGAAATCATATGTAAAAAACACCAGACCCTCAAATTGTTTTAGTTGATACGTCACCTCTTGGCTCCAGATACTTCGTGGATGGGCAGTATGCAGTGCTAAAGACGCTTCTCTAATATGAAGCTACTTTAAGGAAAGCTATCTCTTGAGTTTTCTGTAGCATTGTGGTTAAACATCCAAGCTCAATCCGAAGGAATGGGCTCTATTCTTTATATAGTACTCAGACTGTTTTTATCTTGTTACGCTCGTGTCAAAATATGTAATTATTTTCTTCAATTTAAGGCGTACGATCTTTATTTCTCTTAAATGTAGCCTTCATAAAGTCGCGGCTGATCTGGCCTTCGAAGCAACCCATCTTTTTCTAAGCGACATCCGTTCGACGGTTGGTGACGACATCTTTGCCAAGTTTCTCAACCTGAATTCAGACGAGAGCATGGCTTTGGTAATCGATGTATCAGTCAGCATGAGCGGTGAGTCCTTGAATAACTGAGGGGGGTTCGAGTATGTTATGAAATGGTATAAGTGAACCCTAGTTTGCAAAGTCATTTGCTAAGATTATTTTGCTTGATCAATCGTTGTATTTCTCCATGAACTATTTCTTCTCTCAAGATGACACGGTGAGTCTAGGTCAGTGTATGTAATGCAAAGGACCTGGTAAATTAATTCTTCACAAAGTATGCGCGTAACTTTGCAAAATCCTATTATTTGCACAAGTGGTAAGATCGTCGCAATAGTTACATAAAGTATTTCTTTAAATCTTTTAAAATTGATGAAATTGAGGACGTCAAGAAACTCACAACTGACTTCGTTCGCAAAACTCTGAAAAAGAAAGGAGCATCCTTCACGTACATACTTGTGCCATTTAGCGATCCAGGTAAGTTACGGTCAAGACAAGTGAGTCACACAATCGGCACTCTTCACGTTAATGTGGCCTTTAAACCCTGAGTAATACATCACCTCCTGAATGGGATGCTAATCAATCTTTAGGAACCCATTTCCCCAATATTTCGTAAGTTTTTCTGGGAATGTTCGTTGGTACTCTGGAAATACCCCTGAGTGGAGACAGGTGTGTCAAAATACCTTTCACGCCCAAGTCCCAGCACAATAAACCAGGACAGTGTTCGAACTCTGGCCTGAAAATGCTTACAGTTTAATAAGAGAGGGTTTTCTGCAAACCAACCACGCTGAGGGACTTTATGAGTTGATAAGCTTTAAACAACGTGCTATTTTACTCAACTGGACTCACAATGACGAGGGTTTACTTCATGAATTTAACTTGGTCTACGATTTGCTATGGAGAATTATAGATATCAATGTGTTATTAGCTCATACTCTCTTTCACAGAGGTTGGCCCTGTCACAGTGACAAACGACGCCCATCAAGTGATCAACCCGGTAAAAAAATTAACTGCAAGCGGAGGAGGAGATTGTCCGGAGCTGGGAATGACTGGTCTCTATCAGGCTCTTCTCCACTGCCTACCTGAAAGTGTGATCTATTACATTTCGGGTGCTGACGCGAAAGACTCCCAGCGTGAAAATGAGGTCAGGTCCCTTGCGAAGGACAAAAAAGTTAAAATATCTTTCATTCTGACTGGTCAGTGTGGCCGACGCAGACGCAGGCGCAGACGGGATTTTTCACAAAGTGGTATTCAGGACTTAGCAGTCGTTCCCAAAGAGATTCATCGAGTAAGGAGAAATGCTTAAGGTCAAGCACTTTACTAGGCTCTCGCTACTGAGACAGGGGGGCAAGTCCTGGAAACTAGTAAAGCTCAAGTAGCTGATATTGTCAAGGTGATCGATCCTGCTGGTTCATCAAACTCATCCGTGGCTCAGCAAGACGTTGGATTGCTAAACATCAAGGAAACTTCAGCACAGTACTTTAGTGGAGTTGTTTATATTGTTTATATCGACAGCACACTAAAGAGTTTAGTTCTGGATCGCCAGATTTACATGTCACTAATGGTGAAGGTGAGGGGACAGAAAAAAATGGCTATAACATGAAAAAAAAAATGGCTAATGTCATCATTATTGTTGCTATCGTAATCCTTATTCACTGCTATCATTCCCGTCATCTTTACTTTTATTAATGCCAGTATAGTAATGATGATGAAGAGGATGGTGATGTTAGTGCAGGGAAATAGTCGAGCGTGCACGTAAAAGCCACTTGAAAAAATCCTTATTCATTCATGCATTTAGGAAAGAGGAAAGATAATTTCAGGTTTTTACGCCCAGCTTGTCCATGAATGAAATCATTCAGCTTATTTAATATTCAGTAATACTCTGTTTTTCTTGATGGAAATTCAGGAATGCAGGAACAAATCATCAGCTCCTCTAGTAAGCTTCTAATAAAACTTGAACAGCGGCTCGCTGAAGCTTATTGTCAGCTGTCAGGATCCCTATACATTGCAAGCTACTGGTTCCAGTCCAACAGACTTTACATACCAGCTTCTGGACGTAGAGGACGAGGAACGAGGAAGCACAAGGCGAGTGCTTGGAAATCCTCTGAGAGGTAAGACAGTCATAGAAACCAATTAGAAGAATGTAAATCACACGCTTGCGCGTCGATAACCTTCAAGATTTCTATAACTGAACTGAAAAATTATCTTTGAATTAGCCTCTGGGAGGACCTTTTCTCAGGAAAAGTTAATGCGAAATATTTGTTGAAACCTCAATTGAAATGATAACTCGCTGTCTGACGATCAAGCTTTCACGGCCAATGGAAAATTTGAACTCATATTTGGTAGGGAAAAAGCCAAGTCCTTTTGGTCACTCCATTACAGGTCAAACTTTGCTTCTTACATTGGACTTCGTTGGTCAAGAAATTAAAGAAGTGACCAATTTAACTCTTGTTGGAATTGGCGGAACAAGCCTTGAAACCTTCAACATAACACAAGGAAAAGGATTCTACCAGGATTTCTATTACGTCAAATTCATACCATCGACGGACAGGTTTAGAATTAAATTGACAGGGTTTGACACAACGTCCATAGTAGTAACAGTTCAAACGCCATTTTTCCAGGGGGATCTTTAGAGTTGGAAATCAGCGTTGCAAACACTGGAGATTTTCAGCAATTGTATTTCAATGCTTCAGATGATCTGAACTTTTTCAGAAGAATCAACCCATCCCAACAAAGCTTAGGAAAGAATGATTCGCTTCTCCCTCGAGTTTCTCTGGCAGCTCCGAGTGACGCAAAGTATGGTGTCACCAGCAATGTCACGGTATTCGTATCTCAGGACTCGTGTTTTACTCAACTCGTGAATTTCATGGTCTTATTTGTTACTGTTGCTTCAAAGGGGAGTGAAACGGAAGAAAAGGTTTCAAAGTTATAAGGTTAAAGGTATTTTACGAGAAGAACATAATCAGAAAACTCTTTCAGTGGAAAATACACGTCATTATTTGTCACCATCATTATTACCTGGTCCTAAGTCATCATCATTACAACTGCTATTATCATTATTACCGTCGTCATTAATACACTAAACTCCTCGTTGAGTGAGTCATTATCTTCCATTGATTAGTTGCTATGTAAGGGAAACGTTGACAAATGTCAGTGTTGGGCAATATCAAAGAAAAACGTATAATTAACTTTCATTCATGTTACACCATAAGTGGATCATGCGCAAGAGTATACGGAAGACCTGAGTGTGTGTCCAGCACGCGGGTTGCGCATGTCACGTTCAATGACTCCGGAGAAGGGCTTTTGTCTATTACGTCACGAGAAAACCGTGATGGAACTCTTCAAGATAAGTGGAGTCATTCCTCTACTTTTTGCTGAGTTTCTAAAAGTCTCAAAAGAAAGTTATTCTTAAGACAGGCAGGAAAATTTCACAGTAAGGTACTTTCATGAGGAACCATAAATTAGCGACTTCCTAGAAGGATTCTTTCAAGACTTCTGTTCCAATCATTCCAAACAGATAGCAATCAACTGGCAAAAATCGCCTAAACTAACATTTCTTTTATGACTTCATTTCGGGGCTGTGAACACGCCCATCTCAGCATCATTCACATCCAGCTGTTGCCATCCAAAGGTCATCTTCGTCGGAGTGGATCTTGTTGGAAACATGGGAACTTGCTCTGTAAGCCTCTTCCCCGACATCGTATCATTTAGAGTCAATGCAAACACCTCCGAAGTGACTCTTTACCCAGGAGAAACCATAAAGGTACCTTTCACACTCGTCAACCTTGGCTCCGAAGGGTCCTTTTTATTTCAAGTGACCAAGACTTCCTCGCTCATAAGTTACGTCATCCCCTTCAGCCTCGCTCTGAATAAAAACGCAAATACCACCGGTCACATGGTTATTGCTTCGCGTGGTAACACCAGCGAGGTAAAGACAATAAGCGTGAGGGCTGTTGCACAGTCAGATATTGTGAATGTTAAAGAGGTGAAACTATTTGATGTTAAGGTTTTTGTCACACCATGGGGACAACGAATAACAAGTACACCTGGAACATCAACGGCAGCGCTCGAATACATCCAGTTACAGGCAAATGTTCCCACTCAAAAATTGTCTTTGAAAACTGGAGAAATTTTAAAGCTTAACTTTACAGTTATGAATTTGGCAGCGGCTGAAACCTTCACCTTCAATGTAAGTATATAATAATTTGTAATAAATAACAATTAGTCAAAGACAACTTTAAAATCACGTGTGACAATTGCAGGGAAACATGAACTACAATGCCTTGACCAAAGACTTCCTTTCCCTCCATAGAAGCACTACTTGTCTGTTAGCCGTTAATCAGCAACAGCTGTACTAGGTGAACATATCATTTAAAGCTTGTCCAAAGTTTTAAAAATGAATCCCACCACGATTGCTCCTGTTTAATCAATCTGTGGCTTTCTACTTCCAGGTGCTGACACTGACATCACAACCTCGTATAAATGGCAATATTGAACCGTCGCGAACATTTATGGATCATCAACAAAATAATTCCTTTCTATTAATCCTTTCATCTGAGCCCAACACCTCTCTTAGCATTGTCACGCAAGTCAATGTCACGGCCACGCCTGCGTCACACAATGCCGAAGTAAAAAAGTTAGTCGTTTTTTCGTTGACTGTGACAACCGACCAAAAGACTTTATCAAAAAATAAAGAATCGGGGAAGAAGAGCCGAGAGAAAGATGATGAAATGAAAAATTGGCAAATTCTTTTAATTACGTTAGCGATTCTATTCATTACCTTGAACGATGTGATTGTAAATACGGAAACCTGAATCTAACGCCAAGAAATCATCCAATACATGATTCGATCTTGTAATCGCTGAGCATATTCATAGCAAGCTGACTGTGCATCACAGTCAATAAGTATGACAGGACACTTCTCGTCTGATTGACATGGAGTTACGATCTCATCCATTGAGTACATTATCGTATATTTTACTCTGTTCATCAGTTTATTTTTTCAACAAAGTCTAAAATACACTTTGATTCACCCAGGTTCATAGGGCCACAACTTTACTTTTCGCTTTCGTTTTCCCTCTTGTTTTCTCTCGTTTCTTGATTTTGTTGTTTTTGTTTTGTTTTTTTGCTTTTGGTTTTGGTTTTGCTTTCGCTTTTGATTTTTTTGTTTTATGTTTGTTTTCTGCTGATTAGCTAATAACTTAAAATGGTTTGTTTTATGATTGCCTACATTTTTTTTCAGTTTTTCATTTAGTGGTAGTCAGTCGTGTTCGACACTATGCTGAAGAATAAGAAGTGTAGTAGATATATTTAAGATCAGTAAGTTATATGCTTATATTCAAAGGCTTGTAATAGTAGCGCATTATTTCAATAAACTGTTTAATGAATGCATCTAATGCACGCCGCTGACTTGATTTCTAAATACATATATCTGCGTAAATGCGTACTTACTTATCTAGGCTTTTGGAAATTTAACTTGGCATTTTCGTTGTCAATTGCGACTGAGAAATAATTTTTTCGTGACAAAACGGATAATCTTTTCCTCTGTCATTTCGGTAAGTTAAAAATATACAACTATGGATCAGTACTCTTTACCTTTACTTCGCTAAATATTCTATTCTCGATATTGTAAAAAAGATAAATATAATAATCTTACACGGTGCTTTCTATAATTCGACTTTCCTTCCTTTCATGGGATCCAGAAGGTTTCTGTAGGACACCATCGACCTCCACTTCTTGAGGGAGACTGCGCTATAACATTCGTGGTCCTTCCAAAGCGATTCTAATGGCGCCTCAGGGTGAGGCGATGAGAATAACCAGAACAGCAATGGTCAGAATCTATCATAACAAATATACAAAAGATGGACGTATTGTTATCTTTTAATTTTAAGATTTATGGGTTCCATCTAACATGAAATCGATAATCATAAAAGAATTCGTGCACTCTGAGAAAGCAACTTACCTGTATTCCAAACCCCTCTTCAATTTGCCCTGTGAAGCCCCTCTGTGGAGCTAAGTCCAGCGAAACAGAACCAATGGCAGCCTAAATTAAGCACATGGTTCAATGAATAATTTGAACATTCGATAGATTCCTGCCTTCCTCCAACCTTCCCCTCCCCCTCCCCTCTCTCTCCCACACTCTCCTCCTCCTTATCTCCCAACCACCATCTCTCCTTCCCTTCCTACCTCAGCCTTCACCTATCCTCCATCCCTTCCTTTTTCGGTTCCCTCCTTCTTTCTTTTTTTCTATGCTTGTTTGCTCCCTCCATGCCTCCTTTCTAAAGGAACTCCCGTAATCTGCCAAATTTAGTATCTGTTGATGTTCTGTTTATTCTTTACTAACCTGAAACGTAACTTTTGGTTACCACGCTATGGCAATAAACAGTCTCTCCTTCGAATTGAGGTCATTACCGAGCAAGCCAAGATAAGTGGTGAAGAGCCGTATAACCAGACTAACAACCAAACTTGTAATACCCGTTGCTACCAGGAAAAAAAGGGAAAAAATCATTTCTTGGGGTAAGACCCATTGAGATGTTCAGCTGAGTATTCAGTATCTCATACGGCAATCAGCCAATACTGACACTTTTCGTCGACTGAACCCATTAGCAGGGAGGGAAGGGGACTTACAAAAATGTCTGATTCTGCAATGAAGATAAGTCTTTCGCCATGTAACAAGTAAAAATTATCAACTCTCTAGAATAATATACATACCACCACAAAGTAATACCTAATAATTTGATCATACAAATTATTAATGGCGATAATTTTATTTGTTACTCCCTCGAGGGGCCTTTCCTTAGCCAATGTAAAGAAACATTCAAAAAATCAAAATAGACAAAAATTAGCTTAGAGCCATTGCAGACACAAGGTGAAACAGTTGGCTTTTGACAGAGTAAAGACAAGGAGTTAACCTTGGAGAGACTGGGAACAAAATTAATACAGATTGTAGCTTCGTGTCCCTACATATTAAGGTTCCAACATCCTGCCTGTAGATTATTCCACTGTAATAACTCACCGAAAACTTTACTGTTCATGTACTCTACACTGACTTCAGCTCCCACAAGGCTAAACAGAAGTGGTTCAAACACGTGCCACACTAGAGACATCACCATGGCTACATGGGCCTATAAATGTACACAAACTTAAAAATAAGAATCCATGATCCCATGTGCAATAATTAATAAAAATTATTGCTTGTCTCCTTCAAATAATTTTTTTTTTCTGAAGGAAAAAATAGGGGAGTTCACTAATAATGGCAATAGGGCTAAATGGACTCCAATTCGGTCTATAATCATACGAGTGATTAACAAAATTGAACGACTGCGAAATGAGAGTCTGATTTATTAATCGCGAGTATGATTACGGACAGAATTGGACGACACGAAGTCCTGTTACCAATTAATCAAAACTATGACAAAATTTGAGAAAGAAACTAGGTAAAACTAAACATTGACTTAATGTTTTTAAACAATAATATAACAGTTAACTCGGCGAAATGGGAGACAGAAGCGCATGCACATGAAGTGTTCTGTCCACTTACACAGGCATCAGTGACTTGTTAACTGTCCCTTTAGCTGTCCTATTACACTGTCAAATTAAAACATGACGCGTACTCTGTTCTATTAGTTCTCAAATCGGGCTGGTGATAAGCAATCGCGTTTGAGTTTTAGACGTTTTAACGGCCCGCGTACACATTCACCTTGACACACGACCGTTGAAGACCAGCTTGGTAACCCTGTCTCCTTTGCAAACTGAGCCCCGCCGTTACTTGGCACCTGTGTATATAAAACAATTTGCTCATGCCAAGTGACAGTGCACAGGAGTTTCTGACCGGATATTTACTATTAAAAAAAAAAGAGGTAAAGGCTGAATAATACATCCTCATCAAATACATCCTCATCACAAATAGAATTTACTGCCTGCCAACATAGTTTGTAGCATGGCACTAATGACACTGAAGTATTACGTGTACGTGACAAACATTTAAATGTAACATAAGAACTCCATTGTAGATACGTTTATACTTTACATTGTTAAAAAAGGTTTGAGTTTTTATACATCACGTCTTATGTGTAAAAATTGTTTTTTGTTTGTTTTTTTTTTTGTGCCTCCACAGATTTAGACCGACAAGTACATGTAATAGAGATACCTGCTATGGAAGGGAAATAGTAGGAATTTCTATAAGGACAGAACTTATAATTATAACCGCGACTCGCGATGATTTTATCGTACCCCACCAAATGCATTTACTTGTTATTCATGATCAAAGTAAAACCATTGCAATATTTAGTAGTTAGTATCTTCTTCGTCATGTATACAAACCACGTGGTAGAACTACATGCACTGAAACGAATTTGACCCTAGAGTTCAAATTAGATTTGGGCAAAACCTCCCGATTGGAATTCCACGGAAGAAGCCATTTCTTATTCATAGGCAATGCCAAGGCAATACAATTTTTCTATTCAGATCTCAACAAACTATATCAAAAATAAATGATGTAACACATATTGCATATTTAGAGGGGACCACGATCTTATCAATCTATTGTGTCTGTTAGTTTGTCGCCATAACAGCATTTATTTCATTGGTATTTCATTGGTAGATGAAAATGCAATTTGATATAAAGAAAAATGTTTTTAAAACAAAGTCTTTGAATGAAGCAGGTACAGTTGTTCTCGAGACTGGTACTCTGTTTTCCTCCTCAAGATGTCTTGCTTCATTTTTATTCTACAGTTATACTTTTGCATAATTCCTTCAAAGGCTGTGGCTCAAGACGGTATGATATGCTTTAGATGTTCAACAAACTCGTGTATTGAGTCGAAATACGGTTTAAACTGGTGTCTATACATGTTACGTAATCGGGGTTTTAGGAATGTCTTTCCTAGAGAAAACAGCTTTAATCATGGGAAATGTTTGACATCAGTTAGGGAATAGTTTTAAACGGATATATTAATTTAAGACTGAAAATCATCGCTGTAGAAGCAGAGATCGTCAACAGAAGATATTCTATGATGACGCACGCCGCCTTTTCACAAACAAGAATATCTACTCGTTTCAGGAAAAGAAACTCATAACTTTACTGCCCATAGTTTTAACAATTGCAGTCACATATCAAACTACTACCATAGGTACTTTCTTTTTCTTGTTTTCAAATTTTTATTATTTTCTTGATATTAAGCGTATACGCTCATTACTTCTTCGGTTAAAAATCATGTGGAGAATGCATTAGGGTTATTTTTGTATGTGTGTGTTTGGAAAGAGCAAATTGAACATAAATATATGATTATAGCTGAACATAATTGAAATGGCGCCGGTCAATCTCAAAAGGTACTAATGAGCGTGAGATAAAAATGTTATGGACATCTGCCCCGATGTTTTATCCTTTTATCCGCATCGCTTGAAAGAGCCACCACCATGATTACATGATTACGCTGTAACTTCTCCCACCAACAGTGTTTTTTAATTGCTAAGTCTTAACTTAAATTTTTGTTTTTGTATGTTTTTTATGTGTCATGTTTTGTTGATATATCTAGAAAAAGATATCTCATTACTTCAGCTTCTTTTGCTTTTTTTTTTGATAATTTTTTTTTCGTGAAAATGAGGGCGGGTGAAAATATATCAAAAGTCCCGTATCTTTACCTGATATTACCCTGCTATTGAAATCTCTATCTCTAGACCAAAACCGTGCATGAACTTGATAATTTTATTCTCTTTTGTTATTTTAAAACTAAACAGGTGAAGAAAGTCGAGCCATTGTTTTCAAAGAACCAATACGGGACAAAGTCATGGAGGGGCACTTAATCAGGCTTGTAGAGGTACCCCACCAAGGGAGCTGTAATGTGCTATGCTATATGGAGCCCAATTGTGTGTCCATAAACTTGGGGCCTTCGCAAGGAGGCAACTACATTTGTGAGTTGAACAATGCTTCAGACGAAAGTCCAGGCTCATCCGACCTTCAGAGTAAGCAAGATTATATCCATCTAAGCATCGAGGTAAAGTGACTTATTTCAGACGGCGGACAATTATTGTGCGCAGTAATTTTGTCAGATTACTTCTTAAGCTAGCCTTGCAATCCTTGTATTGAATTAAGGTGATTCCTTAATATTGCACCATGCATCACGAGAAACTTTTTGACCCGATTTCGTATGAATTTGAATTATTTTTCCACAGATTATATATTACGTTGTTCCATAAGTCCTATCGACTCTCTACCTATCGCCCAAGCGTTTCTTTTTAAACTTTCGTTTAAAAACTACTGCAAAATGCACCGTGAACCGATAAAATAGAGCACGTGATTAGTACCAATACGGTAATGAATGGGGTGATATTGGCCCATCATATCTCTTTGGTGGCCTATCGTTTGTATGGTAGTTCTAGATACAGTGATTGGCGGTGAACACTTGAGGAAAATTAGGAATCACCTGAGCAAGGTAAAATACCAAAGCTAACGTATACCAGTGGTGTTATCTGTACAGTGTTAAAAAAGGGAAAAATCAAAGAGCCCGTGTCGAACAAGAATGGGAGCCTTTCTTAATAAATCAACCACTACTCAACCTGACAAAAATCCAGTGACTCGATTAATCGATTTCCTGGTTTAATGATTGACAAAGTGTAATTGATTCTAATATTCAATTGATCAGAGAGCCTAAGGAAGTTATCAATCCAGCAAGACTGTGTTCCTTTGATAATAAGTAATAAATAACCATGGATATTTATAATACGCAGTAATTTTTTCTTGATCAGAATCCATGCAGCAGCAGTCCCTGTTTCAACAATGGCACTTGTCAAGCTGGATACACTGATAAAGGATTTCGTTGTAAATGCCCTTCAGGGTTTACCGGCGCATACTGTTAGAAAGGTAATTGAATACAAAACTGTAAAATGAACTCCATACCACATGATAATCAAGAAGTATAAAAATTTCATACATATTTGATGTTTGTTGTTACTTGTAGGTTGTCCGAGCAGAAACAGGCAACCGTAACGAGACAATGTTCCGTAAGAGCTGAGACGTAAAGGAATTCATTGGTCAATACGCCCAAGTCAGACTAGTTGATAAGAGTTCTGGTGATTGGGGTCACATCAAATTTAATGAACTTAAAGGAGATATCATTTGTCCTCACTATTTAGACGAAAACAACTGAAGGGAAAGTAAGGGCACAAAGGATAAGCATTTTTCAGGTTTTTACAGATAGTCACCTTTGGTTTGTTTGTGTCAGCCAAGCAAGCGCACCACACACAAAATGAAATAGAACAAAAAAAATAACAAGACTGAAACCTAGAAATTTAAAGAAACCGGAAACAATAACAATAACTAAAAATGCAAACAAATCATTAAACAGCATTTAAACCCTCAAAACGCTTTCTAAATCGTTAGAAAGCATTCACACCCATACAGTAAACCAAGAAGAAAGAAAGACACGTAGGAACCGAGCAACAATTGGACACAAACAAAGGAAATAGTCAAACATTTAAACCATTTTTACCTGGATGAACCTTATTTTATGATGTAAGAATGGCACCGTTGACTACAAATTTTGTAAACCTGAATAATGTAATAAAATGAACTTAATCCAATTCTGTTGTTTTCATTGTTAATTTTCCCTCATATAATCAGTTGCAATCTCGACATTTCTAAAAGTTTCCGTGCAACAGGTATGTTAATGTGTCACGTAACTTTCTACACAGGCTTGCTCTTTACATGACATTTCAAAATTTAGTTTCAGATGCCAAGACTATTAAGTCATTTCCTGTATAGGGTTCTTAGCATTTGTGTGATCCCCTCTCGTTAATTACCCAACAATCTTTAGTCGTATCATTTACAGGAGTTTAAGACTGAAGCACTACTTACAATTATTAGACATATTTACCAGTGCAGCCTTTGAACCCAAGCTTTCATGACAGCTGGAAATATGCAAATTTTTGCCGCGTGTTTAATTTTAGCGCCTTTCCTATCTTTTACGGTCCATGCATTTCTTCCAAGGATTAACTCAGCAAAAGCAAAATCAGAAACAAAGGATCACACTTTGATCACAAGAAATGGGTTACTTAAGACAGTTATATACTTTTTCTTCGACAACCCCCAGTATTTGAAGGACGAATCCTTGACTGATTTTCTTCAAGGTGTCCTATCTGAATTAGGAGAGCAACCGACTGCAGGTAAAGATGCTTTGAACACCATCTCTTCGCAAATCAAGTTCATCAATGCCATCAACGCGATTCAGAGCGCTAACGTGGAAGTTGATCCATTAAACAGGAAGGCAGAGGAACACTTTGATGGCGAGAAGTTCCAACAAGGCGCAAAGCGCCTCATCCGATTGCGCCAAGAGCTGATAACTTCCCTTCTGAAGGGTGATAAGCTAAAACATGCTCGGAACTTGGCAGGTTCCGCACTGCACACTTTACAAGATTTCTACAGCCGCTCAAACTGGATAGAGCTCGGCAATTCCGTTCCATTTGATGTTTTGGGTCAACCCGGAAACGAGATTTCGGAAATATTCGTTGCAGGACCGAATGAAGCAACATGCACGGGCTGTCTCTCAGACCAAGACAGAAATGATAAATGTGGGACAAATCTGATCACAGGAAAACTTACGAGCGGATATCGGTCAGGACAAGACGTAAGGAAACCGGTAAACAAAGGAAAGTGTAGCCACGGTGGGAGGACAGACGACAGTAGTTTTCAGTCTGCGACAGGTGGAATTAACAAAGATTCTACGTCGATAGAGGAATCACCCCATGCAAGGTATGAGACCTTTGATAAAGAAAAAAATGCCATGTATTAGCAATTGCGTGCTGTAGTTCTTGTAGCATAAAATAATGCATTCGGCTAAGGTAAAGATCGTTATAGTGTGGTTGATCGTCCCGGTGAGTGTAGGTGAAGGTGAAGATCCTTAAAAAAAAAATTCACAGGATTCATTTTCTTGTATTAGAGAAGTTCCTATAGAGGTAGAAGAACGTATCTTTATGCAATTTGGTCGAAATTAAAGTGAAAGTGCACTACCAAGTTATCGAAACTTCCGGGTGCTTTGTCAGCGACTATTTTGAGCACGACAGTTGGTAAAGGATAACGAAAGATCATTGCTATAATTAGGACCGGAAGAAGTCCGTTTCAGCAAGACGGGCAATTGACATAATATAATATCTTAAAAACGAGCCTTTGTTACTCAGCCGCTACTTGTAAGTATAAATACTGAAAAAGGGTCAAATTAAAGAAGACCTTTAGTTTATCTTCGATGAAGTGTGAAATGAGCTTATTTAATGAAAAGCATCGGTGAACTACCGTCTGACGTCTAAAAAACATCCTTTAAAACTGAGAGGGGTGAAAGAGGGAAGATCTTTATATGATACCTGATGTCTTCCATCTCAGTTTCGCCATGCCGTATAAAATCGAAGAAGGGGTCTTGTTTAACCACACAGTTTATCAACACTACATAACAATGATGATACTGAATAATAATCACCAGCCTTTGTTTATAAGTAATTACTTAACACAACAAACCTCACACGAATGTACCGGAAGTGTCAAATTGGCATATATTGTAATTCTATTTTTGGTGATATGACTAATGTGCTTTTGTAAACAAAGCGAGTGAAAAGAAACCACCAAAAGATTTCATGCGTCCTGCGAAGAGAGACGTGTTCGTGATCTCAGAGCTCTTTCATCTCAGTTTCATCATGGAACGTTGAACATCGAGTCCATGAACAGGAAGCGAAAAATTCGATTTGTTCACTCGAGGAATTGATCTTTCCTGATCTCTCGCACAAAAATACAGTTGGCTCATTCGAGTACTAATCAGTTCACAGAGCAGGACAAGTTTATAGGCTTTTATGAATGCAATTAGAGTGCTGTGAAGAAAAACTAGTGTAATGCTAAAATTTATATTACGAATAAATGCATTGGCTCAGGCCAAACATCACTGGGGCCAAGAAACAATAGATTACACAAGGAAACGAAATATAAATGAAATATAACCAACTGTGATCTGAGAGAACCATGCGCGCTTTAGCTTTGTAAGAAATAATTCACGAGTTAGACTTGGGTAATGAAACAATTTTCATTTAATATTTGAGTGAGAAGACTACGAAAAGAGGTAAATTTTTAAATCAGTCTTTCGGCAAAGAAGTGCGAGCATGATTTAGTCTTGAGGAATCAAATGTAGAACACCAGACCCTCGGATTGTTTTCGTTGGTGCGTCACGACTCTGCTCCAGAGCATCATTGGTAACATCTACGACAAGCAACCTGCATACCTCTTGGATGGGCAGTATTTAGTACTAAAGACGCTTCTCTAATATGAACCTACTTTAAGCAAGGCTATCCCTTGAGTTCTCTGAGCATTGTGGTTAAACGTCCAAGCTCAATCTTGAGGACTGCATGGGGACCTTTCTTTGTATGGTATTCAGATTTTCTCTATCTTGTCACGCTCGTTTCAAAACATGTAACCATTTTTTTTAATTTGACGCGTACCATCTTGATTTCTCTTAAATTTAGCCTTCATAAAGTCGCGGCTGATCTGGCCTTCGAAGCAACATATCTTTTTCTAAGTGACATCCGTTCGACGGTTGGCGACGACATCTTCGCCAAGTTTCTCAACTTGAATTCAGACGAGAGCATGGCTTTGGTAATTGATGTATCAGGCAGCATGAGCGGTGAGTCCTTTGAGCTTTGCGATTAAATTACTGAAGGAAAAAATTGGAGGGTGGGGAGGTACGAGGGGGCCTTCGAGTTCGTTATGAAATGATGTAAGTAAATCTTGGTTTGCAATGTCATTTGTTAGGATTATTTTGCTTGTTCAACGATTTTATTTCCCTATAAACTATTTGTTTTCTCTAAAAAATGACACGGAGTCTAGGTCAAATTATTTATGAGTGTATGTAATACAAAGGACCTGGTTAATTTATTCTTTGCGAAGTGTGCGCTCAACTTCGCAAAATCACTTTATTTGCACAAGTGGTAAGATCGTCACAATAGTTACATAAAGCATTTCTTTTAAATATTTCAAAATAGATGAAATCGAGGAAGTCAAGAGAGTCTCAGTTGACTTCGTTCGCAACACTCTGGAAAAGGAAGGAGTATCCTTCACGTACATACTTGTGCCGTTTAGCGATCCAGGTAAGTCTGCGCTTGAGACAAGTGAGCTACACAATCGGCGCTCTTTCCGTTTCTGTGAACTTTAAACCTTGTGCATATTACAACACCTCTTGGATGGGACGCTAATCAATCTTATGAGACCCACTCCCACCCTTGCTTCCCAAATATTTCGTCAGTTCTCTGTGAGTGTCCCCTGGTACCCTGGAATACCCCTGAGTAGAGAGAGGCATGTCAAAATATGTTTCTCGCCCGAGTCTTAACACAATAAACCAGGAAAATGCTCGAACTCTGGCCGGAAAATGTTTACAGTTTAATAAGAGAAGGTCGTCCGTAAACCAACTATACTGAGGGACTTTAGGAGTTGATGAACTTTAAACAACGTGCTGTTTTACTTGGACTCACAAAGATGGGGGCTGACTCCATGAATTTAACCTGGTCTACGTTTCGCTATGGAGAGATGTGTTATTAGCTCATATTTTCTCCCACAGAGGTTGGCCCTGTCACCGTGACAAACGACCCCTATCAAGTGATCAACGCGGTAAAAAATTTAACTGCAAACGGAGGCGGAGATTGTCCGGAGCTGGGAATGACTGGTCTTTATCAGGCTCTTCTCCACTGCCTACCTGAAAGTGCGATCTACTACTTTTCGGATGCAGACGCGAAAGACTTCCAGCGTGAAAATGAGGTCATGTCCCTTGCGAAGGACAAGAAAGTTAAAATCTCTTTCATTCTAACTGGTCAGTGCAGCCGACGCAGACGGGATTTGTCAGCGAGTCGTATCCAGGACGTCGCGGTCGTCCCCAAAGAGATTCATCGAGTAAGGAGAAATGCTCAAGGTCAAGCACTTTACCAGGCTCTCGCCACTGAGACAGGGGGACAAGTCCTAAAACTAGTAAGGCTCAAGTAGCTGATGTTGTCAAGGTGATCGATCCTGCTGGTTCATCAAACTCATCCGTGGCTCTGCAAGAAGTTGAATTGCTAAACATTAAGGAAACTTCAGCACGTTACTTTAGCAGAGTTGTTTATATTGTTGATATCGACAGCACACTAAAGAGTTTAGTTCTCATACTAACAGCTGCTGGATCACCAAATTTACAAGTAACTAGTGTTGAAGGTAATGGAGCAGAAAAGAATGGTTTTAACATGAAAAAAGTGTGACTAATGTCATCATTATTATGACCATCATCATCCTTATTCACGGCTATCATTACTGTCATCTTGCTATAGTAATGATGATGAAAATGATGGTGATGGTAGTGCAGGGGTATAGAGAGCGTGCACGAAAAAGCCTCTTTAAAAAAAAAACCTCATTCATTCATTTATGAAGGAGAGAGATAATTTGATTTCAGATTGTAATGCCAACAAGTCTAAGAATGTAATCAACTAGCCTATGTAATATTCAGTAATAATCTTTGTTTTTCTTTAAGGAAATTCAGGAATACAGGAAAACATTATCAGCTCCTCTAGTGAGCTTCTAATAAAAGAGATCGCCAATTTAAACAGCAGCTCACTGAAGCTTACCGTCAGCTGTCAGGGTCCCTATACATTGCAAGCTACTGGTTCCAGTTCAATCGACTTTACATACCAGCTTTTGGACGTAGAGGACGAGGAACGAGGAAACACAAGGCGAGTGCTTGGAAATCCTCTAAGAGGTAAGACAGTCACAGAAACCAATCAGAAACCAGTCACAGAAACCAATCACACGCTTGCGTATCGATAACCTTCCAGATTTGTATAACTGAATTGATAAATTCTCTTTCAAACAGCCCACAGGAAGGCCCTTCCTCAGGATAAGTTAATGCGAAGTATTTGTTGAAATCTCAATTGAAATGATAACTCGCTGCCTGACAATCAAGCTTTCACGGCCAAGGGCAAATTTGAACTAATTTTTGGTAGGGAAAAAAAGCCAAGTCCTATTGTTCACTCCATTACAGGTCAAACTTTGCTTCTTACATTGGACTTCGTTGGTCAAGAAATTGACGAAGTGACCAATTTAACTCTTGTTGGCATTGACGGAACAAGCTTGGAAACCTTCAACATAACACAAGGAGAAGGGTTCTACCAGGATTTCTATTACGTCAAATTCATTCCATCAGCAGACAGGTTTAGAATTAAAGTGACAGGTTTTGACACAACAGGAGCCAAATTTCAGCGGGTGAAACCAACCTTATTTACTCTTGGTGACGTCAAACTGTCCCAAAACGTCCAGTAGTAACAGTTCAAACGCCATTTTCCCAGGAGAATCTTCAGAGTTGGAAATCAGCGTTGTAAACACTGGAGATTTTCAGCAATTGTATTTCAATGCTTCAGATGATCTGAACTTTTTCAGAAGTATTAACCCATCCCAACGAAGCTTAGGAAAGAATGATTCGCTTCTCCTTCGAGTTTTTCTAGCAGCTCCGAGTGACGCAAAGTATGGTGTCACCAGCACTGTCACGGTATTCGTATCTCAGGATTCGGGGTTCACGCAACTCGTGAATTTCATGGTTTTATTTGTTACTGTTGCTTCAAAGGTGAGTGAAATTAAAGAAAAGTTTGCAAAGTTAAAAGGTTAAAGGCATTTTACGAGAAGAAACATAATCAGAAAACTCTTTCAGTGAAAGATACACGTTTAATAGATTTCTTCTCCTTGGAAGCTATTATTATTTATCACTACCATTATCACCTGGTCCTAAGTCATCATCACCATCACCATTATTACAACTGCTATCATTATCATCATCATTAATACACTAAGCTCCTTGTTGAGTTGTTTTCTTCCATTGATTCGTCGTTATGTAAGCGAAATGGTGACAAATGTCAATGTGAGGAAATATCAAAGAAAAACACAGACCTAACTTTCATTCATGTGCCACCGTTATTTGACATCAACAGGCCCCAGATCTCTCCCCACCATTATGTAATGTAACGAGCCAGAGTGGGTCATGCGCAGGGGTATACGGAAGACCTGAGTGTGTTTCCAGCACGTGGGTTGCGCATGTCACGTTCAACGACTCCGGAGAAGGGCTTTTGTCTATTACGTCACGAGAAAATCGTAATGGAACTCTCAAAGGTAAATGAAGTCATTCCTCTGTTTTTTTTGTTTTTTTTTGAGTGTCTAATAATCTCAAATGAAAGTTATTCTTAAGTCACGCAGGAAAATTCTACAAGGAACCGAAAATTTGCGACTTCTTAGAAGGATTCTGCCAAGACTTCGAATCCAATCTCTCAAAACAGATAGTGATCAACTGGTAAAAATCGCCTAGACTAACATTTCCTTTATTACTTTCCATACGCAGATAAAAAATTTCTTTTCCGGGATTGATATTTGCGCAATGCAAATCAATAATTTTTATCACTAATATTACTTTATTTTCGTTCAGTGGCTGCTTTCAACCAGGGAGCTGCTAACACGCCGATTTCAGCATCATTCACATCCAGCTGTTGTCATCCAAAGGTCATCTTCGTCGGAGTGGATCTCGTTGGAAACATGGGAACTTGCTCTGTAAGCCTCGTTCCAGACATCGTGTCATTTAGAGCCAATCCAAACACCTCCGATGTGACTCTGTACCCAGGAGAAACCATAAAGGTACCTTTCACACTCGTCAACCTTGGCTCCAAAGGGTCCTTTTTGTTTCGAGTAACTAAGACGTCCTCGCTCATAAGTTACGTCATCCCCTTCAGCCTCGCTCTGAAAACAAACGCAAGTACTACAGGTCACGTGGTTATTGCTTCGCGTTTTAACACCAGTGAGGTGAAGACAATAAGCGTGAGGGCTATTGCACAGTCAGATGCTGTAAATGTTAAAGAGGTGAACCTGTTTAATGTTACGGTTTTTGTCACGCCACGGGGACAACGAATAACAAGTACACCTGGAACATCGACGGCAGCGCTCAAATACATCCGGTTACAGGCAAATGTTCCTACTCATGACTTGTCTTTGGAAACTGGAGAAAGTTCAAAGTTTAACTTTACAGTTATGAATTTGGCTACGGCTGAAACTTTCACCTTCCATGTAAGTATATAGTAATTGGTAATAAATGACAATCATGTTTGACAATTGCCGGGAAACATGAAATATAATCCTGGACAAAAGACTTCTTTTCATTCCATAGAGGCACTGCTTATCCGTTACTTTTTTATTAGCAACATCCCTACTTGATGATATCACTCAAGCTTGTCCATAGTTTTGGAGTGATGAATCCCACCACGATTGCTCCTGTTTAATCAGTTTGTTGCTTTCTATTCCCAGGTGCTGACATCAGAACCTCGTATAAATGGCAATATTGAACCGTCTCCAACATTTATGGATCATCAACAAACTACTTCATTTCTATTAATCCTTTCATCTGAGCCCAACACCCCTCTTGGCATCGTCACGCAAGTCAATATCACAGCCACGCCTGCGTCACAAAATGCCGATGTTAAAAAGTTAGTCGTTTTCTCGTTGACTGTGACAATCGATCGAAAGACCTCATCAAAAGATAAAGAATCGGGGGAGAAGAGCCGAGAGAAAGGTGATGAAATGAAAAAATGGCAAATTCTTTTAATTTTCGGCACGGCTACGTTAGCGATTCTACTTATTACCTTTTTGGTAATACTGGGAGTAAGTCGCAGGTATTGCCGTAGAGGAAGGCCTGAAAACCACACAGTCAATAATGCGAATATCAACTTAGGCCATGAACCTGACGATGTGATCGCCAGTACATACACCTAACTCTAACGTCAAGAAATCATCCAATACATGGCTCGATCTTGTAATCGCTGAGCATACTCTGGAAAGTTGACTGTGCATCACAGTCAATTAGTATGGAAGGACACTTTCCGTTTGACACGGAGTTGAGATCTCATCCATTGCGAGCATTATCGCATATTTTATTCTGTTCATCTTTTATTTTTTCATCAAAGTATAAAATACACTTTACTTTGATTTACCCACGTTCTCAGAGCCACAACTTTAACTTTCGCTGTTCGTTTTTCCTTAAGGTTTAATTTTGTTTATTTCTTTACTTTTCTGTTTTGTTTTGTTTTTTGTTTTGTTTTGTTTCTTTTTCGCGTTTGGTTTCACTTATGATTTGTTTCTGTTTAATGTTTGTTTTCCAACGATTAGTTAATAACATGGTTTGTTTTATTGTTTCCAACAACTTTTTAGTTTTTCATTTAGTATTAGTCAGTCGTGTGTGACTCTCTGCTGTAGAATAAGAAGCACAGTGGACATTGAAGATCAGTAAGTTATATGCTTCTGGTCAAATGCTTGTAACAGTAGCGCATTATCCTAATAAACTATTTAATGAATGCATTTAATGAAAGCCGCTGACTTTATTTCTAATTATTTAAATCTGCGTGAATGCACTAGTACTTTTCTAAGCTTTTTGCAAGTTTAACTTGGCATTTTCGTTGTCAATTGCGACTGTACAATAATTATTTCATAGCAAAACTGATAATCTTTTCTTTTATCATTTCGGTAAGTTAAAAATATACAACTATAGTTCAGTACTCTTCAGATTTGCTTCGCTAAGTAGTCTGTTCTCGAAATCGTAAAAAAATATAATAATATTACACGGTGCTTTCTATACATCGACTTTCCCTCCTTTCATGGGATCCGGAAGATTTCTGTAGAACACCATCGACCTCAACTTCTTGAGGGAGACTGCGCTCTAACATTCGCGGTCCTGCCAAAACGATTCCAATGGCGCCGATGGGTGAGGTGATAAGAATAACCAGAACAGCAATGGTCAGAATCTATCATAACAAATATACAAACAGTGGAAGTATCTTTTAGCTTGAAGATTAATAGGTTCCTTCTAACATCAAATCCATAAACATAATCATAAAAGAATTCGTGCACTCTAAGAAAGCAACTCACCTGTATTCCAAACTCCTCTTCAATTTGCCCTGTGAAGCCCTTCTGTCGAGCTAAGTCCAGCGAAACAGAACCAATGGCAGCCTAAATTTCGCACACGGTTCAACAAATAATTAGAACATTCAATAGATTCGTTCCGTCCTTTAACCTTCCCCTTCCCCTCCCCTCTCTCTCCCACACCCCTCCCTCCTTATCTCCCTACCTCCATCTCTCCTTCCCTTGCTACCTCTGCCTTCAGCACGCCTCATTTCTAAAGAAACTCCCGTACTCGGCCAGATTTAATACCTGTTGATATCCTGTTTATTTTTTACATACCTGAACCGTAGCTTTTGGTGACCACGCTATGGCAATAAACAGTCTCTCCTTCAAACTGAGGTCATTACCAAGCAAGCCAAGATAAGTGGCGAAGAGCCGTATAACCAGACTAACAACCAAACTTGCAATACCCGTTCCTACCAGGAAAAAAAAGGTAAAAAATCATTTTTAGGGTTAGGCCAATTGAGATGATCAGCTGACTGTATTCAGTAACTCATACGACAATGAGCCAATACTGACACTTTTCATCAACTGAACTCATCGGCAATTTGATTCATTCAGGACTGTATACCTCCTGTTTAATTATGACATAATGATAATCATAACGTTAATGTTTGACTCTGGAATACAAAAACGTCTATCGCCATGCGACAAGTTAAAAATCACCAACTCTCTAGAATAATACCACCACCAAGTGATACCTAATAATTTGATAATAAAAATAACCAACAATAATAACTTTATTTGTTACTTCCTCGAGGGGTCTTTCCTAACCAATGTAAAGAAATATTCAAAAAAATAAATAGACAAAAAAAAATTTTGTCATAACCCTTGCAGGCACAACGTGAACCACTGAGTTGGGTTTTGACAAAGATAAGGAGTTGACCTTGGGGGGACTGGGAAAAAATCCAGATTGAAGGTGAGCAACAACCATACTAAAGTTTCAACACCCTGCCTGTAGATTATTCCATTGTAATAACTCACCAACAACCTTACTGTTCATGTACTCTACACTGACTTCAGCCCCCACAAGGCCAAACAGTAGTGGTTCAAACACTTGCCATACTAGAGACATCACCAGGGCTACAGGGACCTACAAATGAAAATAAAGCTTAAAATAAGGATCTATTATCCCATGTCCAACTATTAATAAGAATTGTTTCATGACTCCTTCAAAATGAACTTTTTTTTTCTAAAGGAAAAAACAGGGGAGTCTTTTTCATTTGATGAAATTTCATTTTCAGAATTTCATTTGATGAACAGATAAATATTAAGTAAATCAATGATCCTCACAGGCGAGCTGAAATTTGAGCAGAAGAAGCCTTCAATGGTACTCAGACTTTGACAGGATTTGCACCCCTGCCTCCCAGATAGTAGTTGGTGCTACCACTAACTGAGCTATGAAGCAACACATTATATGGAAGCTGGGCACATTTTAGAGGGTGCATTGAGGTTGACAATGAGGTTTCCTATGATTTTGGAATTTACTTTCAACTGACCTGTAGCTACTAGGTTTAAGATAGAGATGTGTATTTCAATCATCTACTCAAGATGTATTGAAGAAGACAGGATAGACTGGCTGGTACACTTGATACCTTACAAAGTCCACATTTCATTTTTCAAACCATTTACCTTCCCATCAATTCTAGGCAGTATTAGTTGACAAACAGTAATGTACCTTCCCCTGCTGTGTCCAGCCATAAGCAGCAACAGTTGACATGGTTAGGACCCCAAGAGCCCCAGCACCAGAGAACTTTGCCACATTACTACCAAATACTGATAACAGTGAAAGTGACAGCAGAATCACTACTCTGTTTTGAGCCAAGTTAGTCTAAGGAAACAAATGCAGAGATGGTAAAAGAAATCAGTTACAAATTAAAACAGCTAGGCGTTTATCAAAAAGCAGTGTGGTGTATTCCGTGATGGTACACCTTGAAAGTCAGCAAAATTGCAACAAACTTAGTAATACATACTTAAACAAACTAGGCCAAGTCATCGGAAAATGTTTAAATTGTGAAAAAAAGAAAAAGGGGATAAAAAGGCTGTCAACACATCTGCTTTAAATACTATTTTTTCATCCAAACCAGAGCTTAACCACAGAACAAACACAGAAAGAAATAATAACACTGGTAGTTTACAATAATTCAAAAAAAATTTGAATTCTCTATTTAAGCTCTTCATTACTGTTTACCTCATTCTCATTAGGAAAATACCAGCAAATTAAACCAGCAAGGCATCCAAGAATTATTCCCAGAGCCAACTCTATTGGTCCTCGGAATATGCTGAATACAAGGTTACCTTAAAAATAATGAAATATGAACTGATTAAACTGTGAGAGTAAAGTCAACCAACATGCCTTGAAGTAAAGAAAGATCCTTGCAGGAGAGACAAATTGAATAAATTAAAAACATAGCCTTTGAGGGGCCCAGTCCAACCCATCCCTCCCAGATACTAGTGAGACAGTTAGGTCTCCTACAGCTATGAAGTGACCTGTAGGGAGTGAGACAAATTTTACAATGTTATTCATTACTATAAAGGACTCTGAATTTCAATTAATTAAAACCTGAAAACCCACAACTGATCTGACTAAACAGATCATTATTTTTACCTGAGCCAAATGCTATTCCTAAGCAGATCCCAAATGCACTTATGCAAAGGACATTGTCAAAGGAAGCAGCAGCCATGACAAGGGTTGGTATTCCTTTCTTGACTCCATAATGCTGCTCTTGTAGCTCTAACAAACAAGGTATTACAACAGCAAGAGAAACAGCTGCTTGAACAAATCTAAAAAAATGCAAGTAAATAATTAAAAGTAAATAAAAAAAATCATTTCCATGTTGAACATGGAAATATCAACATTTAACCAGCTTTAGAGGTCAACTTAATGTAGGAGCCTCTTATGAAAAGGTATCTCTTTTTGAACCTGGAAGAAAAGTGTTTTACAGTACTGTTCAATCAGAGTGTGCAAGAAAGATAACCGTGGCAACCTTTCTTTCTTTTTTTATTTCTTGTTTTTTGTTTTTTCCTTTTTCAAATGGAATCCATTGGTGCTTCAAGAAAGAAAATGAAGATGCCATCCTTGCCCAATGATTCTTGCTCTGAGCCCTTGGAGAGCAAGGATGCAAAGAATGTGTTTCAGGGACAAGGATACGGGCTTACTGATCTAGAGAGATTCTCCTTGATGCTCTCTGAAGGACATGTTTGTAAAGAAGGTGTGAATTTACTTGGTTCTGTGTAACCAACTTAAAGAGCTCTTTTGGAGGTTTTCATTTCAATTCCCAAAAACACTTATTTTGTACCTCAGGATGTATTAGTTCAATTAATCTGTAATTTTCAGGGCTGTATCCTCTCATTGAGTTGAGTTGGACAATTTCTCCATAAGTTGAATTTTAAGAAAGTTATTGTGAACTCACCTAATAATTTTGGTGAACTTTGGACAGGTACTGTGCCCATAATATAGATGACTCCCAAAATTCCCCACCTCATCCAAGAGAATGACCCTAGTACTTTGTTTTGACACTAAAAGTACTTGATTTCATGCAATCTTAGTACAGTTATCTTTTCTCAAGTATACCTAGGTTTTTCACACCATGAGGTTGACAGATTGATCTGGTGTCAAATAACAAATTAGTTTAGGGCAACATATTAGTTATATTCATTGTCTGTGATTCCTAAGCTTTCCTTTGGTTTATAAGTTAATATGGTTCAGAAATATAGTTATTGAGGTAATCTTGTTTGAAAAGAGTGTCTTTTTTCATGTTTACCCCCTCCTTAAGACTAGTCTGAGTCTGATCATAATCTAGTCCTAGACAAGTTAAACACATATATTTTGGTCCTCTTATCTTTGAGCTGCACTGTAGCCAGATTTTTTGGAAAATTAAAATCTTAATACTAACTTAAAATCTGAAAGGAAAATTTTTTCTCTCAGCAGAAGTAGTCCTACTAAAAGAGGATAGGTAATTCTCATTTAGCAATACAAAAAAGTTTTATCATCATTTTTTTAGGTTTGGTTCAGTTTTTCTTTTTAACTTACTATGAGGTTTTTTCTTTTGGCCAGAAACCTATTGTCACCTGTGTTGTTTACACCGAGTGAGCATTTAATCCGACCTCTACATCCATTCTTTAATCGTTAACATCTTTGGTGGTTAAGATCATGCTTCATCCCATAAACTTTTCTTTAAGTATGCTTATTTTCTTGTCAAAAATTTGAAGGTGCCATAACATTCTTGCCAAGATCTTCAACAATCTTCCATTTCCTTGCCAGGATCTTCAAGGATCACTGAAATTCTTGTCAAGATCTTTTAGGATCTTCAAATCTCTTGCCAAGATCTTTAATTTGCTTGTCAAAATCTTCAAGGAACCTACTTTTTCTTGACATGATCTTCAAAGTTCTTTCAATTTCCTGCCAAGATCTTTTATTTTCTTTCCAAGATTTTTAATTTTCTTGCCAAGATTCAGGATCTTGGCAGGAAAGTAAAAGATCCTTGAAGATCTTGGCAGAAAATGAGAGATCCTCAAAGATCTTAACAAGAATTCAGAAGATCCTCAAAGAATTTTCAAAGATCTTTATAGAATCTTCAAAGTTCTTGTAAAGATCTTTGAAGATCCAGAAAATATCTTCAAGGATCTTGACAGGAAAACGAAAAATACTTCAAGATCTTAGCAAGAAAATGAAAGATCCTTAAAGATCTTGCCAAGACCTTTGAAGATCCTTGAAGATCTTGGAGAGAAAATGAAAGATCCTCGAAGATCTTAGCAAGGAAATGAAAGATCCTTGAAGATCTTGGCAAGAAAATGAAAGATCCTTGAAGATCTTGGCAAAAAAATGAAGGATCCTTGAAGATCTTAACAAGAATTTTGAAGATCTTCAGAGATCTTCCAAAGATCCATGTGAAGATCTTCAAAGGTCCTCATGAAGATCCTGAAAGATCCTTAAAGATCTTTGAAAGATTTTCACTAGGGTTGGTTAGCATGACACAAAACTTAATGGAAGGATATGGAAGAAAAGTGGAGCTTTAAAAATGGGAGGGGGAGTTGATAAGGAGTTGGTGTGAGTAGGTGAACTAATCGACTTTGTAATTCTTTAGCAAGAGAATTAAAGGCATGTACATACCCAAGTTGAAAAGCCCAAAGCCACTTCATGTCTAAGAGAAGATGCACGAGTACGGCAGCCATAACAGCTTCTAGTATACAAGGGAGAAATGCTAATCTAGCTAGAGTAAACTTCAGTCTTCTCAATGCAGCTGTGTTTAACCCGAGTCCTGAACGAACAAGTATCACAACTAAAGCCATACTTCGTAAGGTAGAGGACCAGCGTTTGTCGATGTGGCGAGCCATGTCTATACCGCGCACGTTTCGCAGAAGAAATCCAGCCGCGAGCATGCCCAGCAAGGGAGGAAGGTGAAGATAGGGAATTTTATTAACGACGAATCCACACAAACTTGCCGCAACGATCACTATAAATATCCCGAAAATATTTCCACCAGGTAAAGCATCGGCACCAATAATGGACCATAGCACTGCCCAAATCAAAACAACTATGAGCCCTCGTGTCAAAACCCGTCCGAAAAATCGGCTTGGAGGTAAAACGAGTCCTGCTGAAACAAGTCGCTTTTTTAATTTTTCCATGTGAGTTGTTGACGCTGTTTCATCGATCGAGGATTGTTGGGCAGCTGATTCATCATTTGTATTCCCAGATTTTGAATCCATATCTTTTCCCCAAATACACTGAATTAACGTTGATCTGGTGTGAAAGAAGTAATTCACTCTATGTTATTTGCTGCCCCAATGTGTTTTCTTTCGAGCATCTTTTCGCCAGGCGCTCTCTATTCCGTCCCAGTTCTCTGCTGAATAAAAGTTTCGCTGTGCACAGGACAAGGAACAATGCACATGAGAAGTCCACAGGACACCCAAACACCCAAATCGACCGTCAGCGACCAAGGAAGAATTCCTCGTTAAAATACGATTACAATAATAGCGATTACAATAACGCGAAGAAAAATGATGAGAATATCATTTATTAGTTGATCCAATACCAAATTATCAGAACATGATAAGAATTATACATGGCAGACAAGAGAATTCCTTATGAGACCTGTTAGAAACGGTTATACTGCCAGACAAAAAAAGTTCTTTGGCGCTAAAAAGAACTTCTTATTTTGTCTGCATATTACTTATAAACTCAGCTCTTAAAATTGGTGGAGATAACACTCTAATTGTGTAATTCCAGTTAAACTCCTCTCAAATAAACGCCTTCCAAAGGTGACCTAAGCATAAAGATCTTATTAAACTAATTCTGCTCACTCTTTTGTTATAGTCATAACAGCTAAGAGTGTTCAAAACTAGGTCGAAAATGCACTGTATTGGACCATACACTTGCAGTACTCTTGGGCACTCTTCGATTTTGGGACAAAATTGGGAGCGATTTTCGGGCTAAATTAGGGAGAAGTTTCACGATACAATTTCAAGCAAAAAAATGTTTTTTTGGAAGATTTTTTTCAACTGAAATGTGCGTTGTAAATCGCATTCGGGAAGTTTCGTTATGTCTAGCAAGTTCATGGTCCAATCTCGTTCCCAGAGGTCCCTTAATGCCTTGCGGGCAGGATTAGGGAGCGAATACAAACAATCGATAAAAATAACCAATGGATCCCATCAAATCTTTGAGAAATATAGTCTTTATTGATGCAAAAGAGATATAAAACACTGTATTGTACAGCAATTGACAAATCTTCAACTACATTTGCACGATCGTCGACGTTTCTTCGGAATAGCTGTCTTCTGCTCTTCTGTAGTTTGAAGATTTATGACATACTTATCCACCCTTTCCTCGACAATATCCACCTGCAGATCACGTTCTCCATGCACTCTATTTCGTCTTCGCCTTTCCAGTTCTTTGACCAACATTTCTTTTGCTATCTTCCTGAACAACAGCTCTACATTATATCCGGTAAGAGCACTAGTCTCCACATAGGGCACACGAAATAATTCCGCTACCGAACTGGCACAGTCGTAAGAAATCTGTGAAAGAGAATTTTATAGCGTAAGGCGCTGATTTCAAAAGAGAAGCCTACCTTTTTACACTGGTCTTTACTACGATTTTAATGAGTCGGATAACGAAATTCATCCTTCTGTATGATTAAATACAAATTAAGTAAAAGAAATAAACGATTTTACTTTTCAGAATTTTGTTTATTTGCTATTGTTATCACTATGAGGGACATTGAAGCGTATTTTTCAGGCTAAAATGGAGATTTTGGCGGGCCATACACTCGCACGTTTGCGTGATTCTCGAGACTAGTTTTTTGGCTTTCTCTTTTTTTTTTTAATTTTTGTTCCTCTATGCCTTTCAAAGTGATAATACTTGCAATACGATTTACGCCCTTAGCCACAAATATTTTTTGGGCTCTTTTTCAGAATCATTTAAACTTAGCATTAAACTTAGCATTAAACATTTAGCCTAAAACACAATTATGAACTCTATTGTGTTATTGATATTATTATTATCATCACTATTTTTGTTATTATTAGTATTATTATTATTATTATTATTATTATTATTACTATCATTTCATTGCCTTTCTACGTGAAATCTCATGCTCAATTCCTCCTCTGATGCAAAATCGTGCTAAAATTTTGAATAGAACCCACCTGCCGATTAGTTTTGTCATCCACTTTATTTCCCACCAGAACAATCAACGAATCCTTTGTTTGACCACATTTTTCTTTCAGTGCCAGCTCGATCCAATCGGGCACATTGTCCAATGAGCCGCAATTCGTCACATCAAAACAGACCAAGATCACATGACAGTCACGGAGATAAGAAGGTATGAGACAACGAAAACGCTCTTGGCCAGCGGTATCCCAGATTTGCAGACGGACAGCAATTCCATCTGAAATTTCGAGAAATAACTTTTACCATTGTAATGGCTCAAGGTGTCCAAAATGTTATTTTCTAGCCAAGATATTACAAAAACTTGCTATTGTATGCTTTTGACATATACCGAGAGCTACTGTCTTGTGTGGCTGTTTAAAATTCTGGTGAGATGAATAGGTTCTGACTTCCTAGAGACAGGAAGCATATACATTACATTTCAAAGTTTGCACGTGCGCAGATATTTGACAAGTGTGTCTTTTCGGCTGTATACACATCTGGGCAAAAAAAAATTAGTGCTGGCCTTTCCTTCCCTCGCCCAGTTCGTCTTCATTATTGAAATAAAGTAGAAGGTTGAAGAGTTTGTTTCTAATGGGCATTCTTTTAGTGTTGGAACCAATACAGTTAATAAAGAAGCGAGCGTCACAAAATTAATAACTCCCCTCCCCCTCTCCTCCTACGCAACCCACTCTCCTGTTCGTCCCTCTTCGAAAGTAGCGGTCTTAAATCTGCAACGAAAATATCGCATGAAACAAGCTTCTGTCCTTACGAAAATAATTTGCTTACTTTGGACTACAGAGGGCCGCTCCTAGCTTATCATGTAAATGAATCCACTTTTACAGAAAATTTATTACGTTCAGCCCCTGAAAGTACGCAAATCAAAATTAATATTTACACTATTAAAATCTATTCACCTAGATAGCATGTCTTCGTGAAAAAATCTATTCCAATGGTTGGCAGATATTTGTCTTCGTATCCTTTGTAAACGAACTTCCACACCAAGGCTGACTTTCCCACACCTTGATCACCCAAAACAACCACTTTGAACTTGCTGATATTGTCAGATGGGGAGTCTGAGTCGAAATGGCGTCTCGTTTGCATCTTCCCTCACACTTCTCTCATATGGTATAGTTCTTTATGACGTCACACAGAGCGTGAAGCGTACGCTTGAGGCACGCGCATAAAGACTGGCACTAGTCATGCGTCCTATAGTTATAGCGATTGCGCACGAAGATCAGTTTTGGCCGGTCACGTCCCAATCTCCCACAGAAAATTTCAAAGGAAAACCACCCAATTCGCTCGTAATTAACCGCTTACATGTGGATTTAATTAGTATCAAATGACCGCTTGTATGCGTTAATTTGATACTAATTAAATCCGCATGTAAGCGGTTAATTACGAGCGAATGGAGTGGGAAAACATGAGCAAAGATCGTTGTCACGCACATTTTCAAAAAAAAAGAAAAAAGAGATAAAACAGTTCATCGAAATCTGCAAAAGGAAAAGAATTTAGGGAAAGGAAGATTTCAGACTTTTTGGACACAAACCTTACTTTAATAATGAGTGTCCTTTTGATCAGCCATTACTTTTGTCAAAGATGCAAATCCTTGGTAACGAGTGTTTCAGACTAGCTCACCTGTTATCCACGGACTCCGTAATTCCTTAGTCGCCTCAGGCTTTTCAGCCGAAAAAACTTCCTGGAGAGACTGAGCACGATAATGACCTGAAGTACAGCGGATACCTTTCAATCTGTCATGTAACTCATTTATGACACACTTAGTTTCATCTTCGTCTGTGAACTCGCCACGTTTGGTTACTGGTGCTTCAAAGTTTCTTTTGTATATATGATAATTTCTAAATACAGATAAGAACAGTTCAACAAGGGATATTGCTAAACCAACTACATGAAAGACTTCAAATATGATGACCAGATCTCGATCCGCTGATGCTGCTAAAAGAAGCGTTAGTTCTTCAACAAACAAGGAAGAACTTGAACGAAACAACAGCCATGTAGACTTTCGCTCAACGACAAACGGTGTGGACAAAAAGACAGCTGGCGAGAAAAACATGAAAACTCATCAGGCAAGCCTTAAGGGAGACAGAGGGAATATAGCCGTTCTTACGTTTCTGTATGTTCTTCAAGGAATCCCTCTAGGGCTGGCCGGCGCTATGCCGATGTTGCTTCAAACACGAAAAGTCGCGTACAAAGATCAGGCAACGTTTAGTTTCGTATTTTGGCCTTTTAGCATGAAGTTGTTGTGGGCGCCTATCGTAGACACTCTTTACTTTTCGCGATTTGGCCGAAGGAAATCATGGCTTGTTCCTGTGCAATATTTGTTAGGAATTTTTATGCTCGTACTTTCAAAGGTAAGTTTCTTATGATTGGACGCGCGTTCATGCAGGTACTTATTAATTAAATGCCCAGTCATTCTGCTGATGATACAACCTGTACAGAAATTTGTTTCAAACTTTGCTTGTTGATTGTTCATCTTAAAGATAATTAAATTTGGAATGAAACCAGAAGATCTCCTCGCCCAATCCTGGGGATGGTGTCTTGTTGTGCTTAAGGAATTTGTCTTTCTCTGTCTTATCACCGAATTTGAGATTTACTAATTAGTTGATCCTAGCATTATTCAGGATGAATGTCACATATGAACCAAGAAATCTATAACCTGGCTCACCACAGAGTTTTCTGTGGCTCAGATTACAGGTTCAGTTCCTCATGGGGAACCAGAGTTTTTTACTTGTCTCGTGCTCATTTCAAAACGAAAAACATCTGGGCAAGATTTCCATTAACCTTCGTACATCATTATGCATACAATTCGTGAATGAAATAAACTGTGGCATAAACAATACATTCCCCTTAGGAGTACAGCTTTGTTTTAGTATAGTATGGAGTTGTAGTGGAATCTCTCTAACATCTTTCTTTATTTCATAATACCAAGTTTAAAATATACCTTCTCTCTTATACTATTTACCCACAAAAACTTCAATATTTGCTTTTTTTCAGCACATAAATGAACTGTTGGGTGAAAGTAGTGAAGAAGGGCCAAGTATCATCTTTTTAACAGGGATTTTCTTTTGTTTGAATTTCCTTGCTGCAACTCAAGATATTGCTGTGGATGGTTGGGCACTGACAATGTTGTCCAGGGAAAATGTTGGCTGGGCGTCAACTTGCAACACAGTTGGCCAAACAGCAGGATTCTTTATGGGGAATGTTGTATTCTTAGCTCTTAGCTCTGCTGACTTCAGTAACAGGTATCTTCGATCACAACCATCATCAGATGGAGTTGTCACCTTTTCGGGATTTTTTTACTTCTGGGGAATTGTTTTTTTAATCACCACAACACTAGTTGGGTTGCTGAAACGGGAAAAGTCAGAACAAGAGCTCCATGGAGAAGAGTCTGTGGAAGGAGTAGTCGATGGGTATAAAACATTGGGCAAAATTTTGCGCTGTCCCAGTATTTTGAAATTGATCGTTATCTTGCTAACATTTAAGGTAAGATTTATTATCCACTAACACCTTAACATCAGTATGTACATTCTCCATATCATTCTTCAGGCAATTCCTAAGGTGCTGACAAGGAGAATGTATTAAACAATCCTGAGCCTGTATAGTTGGTGATAATGTACTAAATTCCCGTGACCTAAATGTGTGATTCAGGCGTAATATTATAAGTAGAATTTAGGAGCTAGTCACTCTTGGTATTCGTGTTTCAGGGTTATCATTAGAAGCCAGTAGTCAGCACAAACCTGCTGGCTGTCAGACCATTTTTACTTTGTGAATTGTGACAGAAAAGAAATATATTTTTGAACCATTTTTAAGATCAATATCTGCCAAAAAAATTGTTACTCAAATAAGTCCCAGAATGCTAGAAAACATGGCAAAGAGAGTTTCAATTTTCATATTTCATGGGGATAGCATGCTCCTGGATCTCCCAGAACTTGCAAAACATGTTGCTTGCACAATCTAACTCAATTGAGCCTTCTAGTGTTTAGTTCAGATCATACATTTTCTAAAGACAAGCCTGCACTTTCTCTTACAATGGAACCCCACAGTGCGCTGGAAAATGTTTTCTTTTTCTTTGATTTTTTAGTATCTAATGACAGATGTAATGTTTTGCATACTTTATGGTTACAAAGTACGTTTATTAAGTAAAAATTGATACTGTTCTATTCATTTTTTTTCCCAGAAAAATAGAAAGCACTACTCTATTTATTTTTTTTTTGTTTCACAATGAAATTTGGGATAGAAGTGGAAACATTCTGATAAGGGCTATTCTTGTATTCATCTTCTTTATATTTGTGCTGTATCTGTGTTTATTCTTCTTTTGTCTTTTGTAATTGCTCAATTTTCAGTTTGTTTTTTTATTAGACTAATTTTGCTTAATACATACATGCATAAGTAAGTTACAGTAACATTTTAGCTCGACCAACATTTCTACTCTGCCAAGGGTCAGTTACTCTTCTACATGTACCTTGAAACTGTGAATATAATATTATTAGGGGTGCCCATTATTTAAAAGCCCTGTGGTTTCTCATGTTTAGGATGTGGAATACATTAGTAGATTCTATGTACTGGGAAAATACTTGACTTAAATTCATGTGCAAATTCTTGACATTCAGGTTGGCTTCTCTGCAGCTGACTCTGTGACTGGCCTCAAGCTGATTGAAGCTGGAGTTCCCAAAGAGAATCTAGCTCTTCTTGCCATTCCCATGGTTCCAATACAGATTTTATTGCCACTTTATATCAGCAGATATACAGCAGGTTGGTAAATATGAATGTGACTCTTCAAAAAAATGTGCAGATGACAATACTTATAGGCATGTTCATAAATGCATGATACTTGATGTTTATTAATTTGATTATTTTGAGATGAATGCATACATATCAATTAAGAAATAACAGTTTAATTGTAAACAGTTTTCACTGTATTGAGGGAGATCTCAAAACTAGTAACAGCTGATATGAAAACTAAAGGAAAACACGCCCCATAAGAGTGACAAGCATCTGAATTCTCCTTACAATGTCACCTTCAAATGGCACTTTAATGTCCCAACAATGAAGGAAATGATCAGTAACTAAAAAGGCTCTAGGTTGTTAAACAAATTCTCCTTGTCAGCACCTTAGGAAATACAAAGAGAACAGTATGGAGAATATGCATTCTGATGTAAGAGTGTGAAGGGTCAATGGTTCATTCTGATGGGGGGGGAGGGGGTGGGTTGGATCTGAAATTGTTGTGTTCTTTCTTTTGTGAGAATCTCTGTTTCTCTTCACAGGTCCACGTCCTCTTGATTTGGGTCTTAAGGCCTTTCCTTATAGACTGCTTATGGGTGTGGTCATCATGATGTGTGTCTGGTGGGCCAATATTGTGCGTGGGCCTGGGGAGGAATTCTTTCCGTTATACTTTTACTTAACAATTCTGCTGGTGTATGCAATCCATCAGGTACTTTTCATTACTGTTTGTTTTCATGAATTTTCTTGAATAGTTTCAAGAAACCTTTGATCATTTATGATGCACTCTAAAGAAAAAGGGGCCATCATTGGAGGTACTTCGTGTACTACACAGGATTTTTCCATGGAGTAAGTACGGGTGATAAAACATTTTTAAATGTTTCTTTGAGTACTGGTGTTATAGAGAATTTTTTTTTTTCCTTTGGACGAGAAGTGGGTGAAGCTACTCATCCACACAAGTTGGAACTTACGTTAGGCTCTTTCAACATATGTTCTTACTGCGAGGGTATTCAAAGTCTCGTGTATACAGGTGTATGCTGTTTAAGTTGCTTGTTTGACAGCAAACATGCAAACTATCTCGTTATGTCAAGTTGATTTCGTTTTATTAACTGAATTACATGTAGCCACTGCAAAGACTTCATAAAGCTGACGTTTCAGGCCTTAATGTCAACTTTTGTCAGCCCATTCGCTCTAGCAAAGGGCTAACGCTCGAAACATTATCTGTAGATACTCTTGACGGTTACCACTTTACATCATCATCTCAGTTGTCTTGTAATAACCCCCCTCCCCTCCCCCCCCCCCCTTCACTGATGCAGCACCACAGTTTCTGCAGAAACTTACATGTACCTTCTTTATTTATATATATCTGCTTGTCGCGTGATTGCGTTGAAATATTGACGTCGTTATATGTCACTTATCTCTGATGAGGGGAGTAAGTTTTTAAAGAAACTGTGGTGCTCCGTCGTTGGGAGAGTATAGCGGGGTAATTAAGTATTAACAATAGAGTTGATAACGTAAATTGACCACCCTTAAGAGCTTGAAAGCTAACGTTTCGATCGTTCGCTCTTCGTCAATTGTTCTGACAAAGCGCTAGCGATCGAAACGTCAGTTTTCAAACTCATAACGGAGGCCGGTTTACGTGACGTTATCAAATCAGTTGATAATAATAAATTACGCTGTATCTCTGATGAGCCTTAGTCTCCTATTCTGAGCTCTCGTCCTTTTCCTCGTGGACCGCCAACAGGTGTCCCTGTATTGCATGTTTGTGGCCTTCATGGCTTTCCACGCCCGCATCAGCGACCCGCGGGTTGGAGGGACGTACCTAACACTTCTTAACACGGTGACGAACCTGGGAGGAAACTGGTGCCAGACTCTGGCACTGTGGTTGGTGGATGGGCTTACCTGGACAAACTGTATTGGTGCTTCTGTACCGGGACTCCACTGCAGCGGCAAGACAAATGCAAAGGTGTGGGGAAACATCCCGCGAATATTTCTCTATTAGATACATTTTATGATATCGCATTTTCTACCGAAAAGTTTGAGATACTTTGCGGTGCATGTAGCAACTAGGGAAAACCAGATTTACTTTTCCAGACATACAGTTATCAGAGACACATGACACAAATTTATACTTCAGCCTCTAGCCACCTTTGAGAAGTTGCTCACAGGTCGTGCCTCTTACACAATGAACAGCAAACAAATATAAGTGTGGTATTGAGTGTTTTGTTTTGTTCCTCCTCTTTTTGTAGGATTGTACGAATGCTGGAGGCGTTTGCCAAACTATGGTTGACGGCTATTACGTAGAGTCCATCGTTTGTGTCGTCATTGGTATTGTATGGTTGAGATGGAAAGGTCAGAAGACAAGATCTCTGCAAGATTTACCTGAATCAGCTTGGAGATATCAGTAAAATATGGAAAGCAACGAGCTGTATGCATAAAACTTAGGTTTAACTTTGTTCAATACACCTTCTATGTAAGTGTATACCATTTTGCGAAAGTACGGAATATTTTCAAGAACTACCGGAAGTTAACGAAGAAATATAGTTGGTAACAATTGAAACCATGCGCAATATTAATGTAGTGGAAAATTTATTTACACTTCTTTGTTACATAATGATACACTGAAACTTTAATATAAAAGGAAAACGGTGTTGAATGTTACCAATATCAAAATATTAAACGCACAATACTACATTTAAATATAAATTAAATGCGACTACAGACATATATGCACGAGTTAAATTGATAATTCAGCTGAGTCATATCTGCTTGTGCTCGGGCTCTGCCAGTGGTTAATCCTGGGCTCTCGCTTCATACGATTTCCGAACTTATTTCAGTTGGAAATTTCATGGGGCATATGAAAGATGTCATTCCCTCTTTACTCTGTTTTCATATGCTTTTCTTATGATGTTTCAAAGGACTTATACGTCCAAAAATTCGGACTCACGCATGCGCTCTACAGTCTCAACGGTATTAAGTGCCTTATGCCGAACGACCCTGAATATTTCAGTACCCGGTTGTCCTATGAAGCGATTGAGTTAAGTAAATGTATTCGTAAAGAAGATCATCATATGCAAACCTTGAAATATGGTCATTACGAATTATACGCAACTAGTAATTTTGAAATGACCAGTTAAATACAACGTACTGTAACATGTGCGTTTTGTACCAATTTCTGGTGGAAACCATTTTTGGCTATTTTACATTCCGTTAGACTAGCCATAGTAAAAAAACAAGGAGAGGGAGGAGATTATGAGAATTGTAACCCCAAGTGCCACATAGGACTAAACATACTGTTGCCCCGAGCAATGCTTTTGTTTAAGATCGTTGACGAAGTAGATAAACATAGTCTAAATTCTGTGTGGTTCTGAAGAAATAAATGGATTTCCAGATTTCTTTATCAGTGAATTATTTTAGGTGATTAAGTGACTTTCCTGCGTTAGCAAGGAGCTATCTAAACAAAATTCAAGCGTTTGACTAAATTTAAGATGGTCTCGAACTCGGTTTTAACTTAGCAACGGCGAAAGTTTTTCTAAATAACTGGCCTATTGTTGGTTTAAGTATATCTCAATATAATGTACATTTACATGGCATGCAATACGTTACTTACAGCTGTACGATACTTTTATCACTACGCCTACCTTTCATTATTTATTGCAAAAAGTGAAAAATTGTTGCTTTAAACGATCTTGATTTAGAGGGACTTAAACCAGTAGCATCACACACATCTGATTAGGAATTATTTTTGCTATGATGATAAACATAAAAAGTTTCTTTATATTTCCTTTTATTTAGTATCCTCTAGCTAACTAGGGACGCTGTTATCATCTTAATAAGATACATGAAAAAATTACTCAGTTCTAATTGGTTAAGGTGAATGTATTTTTCAGGTAATTCAGTGCAGAAGAGGGTTAATTCGGTGCAAAGAAGTAACAAACCAGGTTGAACAATTCCTTGAGCTGTTTAGCCGGACTATGAACTTTTTTGCGCCTTTAAGATGTAAAAATATAATTGTAGATTATTGTTTTGATCGTACGCTGTTGTTTTGACCACACGCACAAATGTCACTTGCAGGGTTTGAATAAATTATTTTTTCACTCGATGCGCGGGCTTTGCTTCTGCATAATTATGATAAGCTATCTCTTATTTTATCATGTATATCATTGATACGTAATCACATAATTTTTCTCGTACAACTTAGAATAATTAAGCATTTGTAATCATTTTCAAAGACCACAAATTGCACTCGTGCAATCTTTCTAGTCTTAGAAAAAATTTTTAATTTAAATCATACCTAAGTAAATCACATGTAAAATGTTATGAATCTCAAATATGTAGCAGTATAGAAGTAGAGGAGAAGGTCAACTAATGCCAACCTTTTTTTTTTCGCGAATGTCTGACTGTTTTCGAACCAAACGGTCTTATGTTGTCAAAATAACGTCCCCGTCATGTTAAACTGCTCATTCAGGTAGAGATAAAAATACGAAAACAGCTGTTCATTCAACGTGTATAATGAAGAAAAGTGAATGTGAAAGTAACTCCATGCGAATTTCTGCGTATTTAAGGAGAAGCATTAATCGCTCAGATGTTAAAATGGAAAATAACTAAATATCCATTCATCTTATCTGTAATATGAAACAATGAAACATTTAAAATATCCTTAGACAAGGGAAACGCTTTAACATTTCATTGAAGTTAACGCCTTTGTCGATTTAAAATTATACGTTACCGTACCTGTAACTTTTCTCTTATAGCGAAAATATTCCACAGAAAGGAATTAAACTGATACGAAATCAGCAAAACTACTCCTCCAGCGTATTTTGTTTGGTTTGTGCTCACCAGTTTCGTGGAACTGAAAAACAACTTTGCTTGTAATGAATATCCTTGGAGGAACATTTCATGGAAAAGTTTAGCGTGGTATTCTTGCGACCGAACTTTTCTTTACCAGCCTACATCAAAGATGAAACTAGCTTGTGGTGTTTAAAAGATGAGCTGACCAGCTTCGTAGAACTAAAAAACGACTGTGCACGTAACGGAAATCCTTGGAAAAACTTTAACTGGAAGATTTTGGCATGGCATTCGACCTAACTATTCCCTTAGCGGCCTACCTCAAGTGTGAAATTAGCTTGTGGTGTTAATCAGATATGCTGTGCCTCCTTTCAGGACGATCTGAAGCGAAAGTCCATATCAATGCGAGTACTTAACAACTGCTGACCTTCCCTTCCCTTTACCGAACATATACCCTAACTTCTCATCATCTGACTGTCGTTGAGTTAGGGGAGGGGTAAGTGGGCACTTGCTCAGGTACTGAGATTGGTCTGTAAGTCCTCAGCCTAACCCTGCTGCCCACGTCTTAATAGATATCGTCTAACTAGCTATGCCTTTTAACTTATGTGGCTATTCATGAAAAGCAAATCTTGTTATGCAGAGAAGGTGTGCCTGTTCAGATAAGTTTTGAATTCGCAGAAGACTTCTGAGTAAGGCAGACAGGAACTTGTGATCTCAGACAAGAAGATCTCATAATTGATTCCCCTTTCAAATCATCCCAACACTCTTGATAATACAGTACTCCTCTCTGTAGGTAATAGACAGACGAAAGGTGACAACCTACCTTCAAATGCTCTTTGGTATCGGAGACTTTGACATATTGTAAGATGTTGCAATAGTTATGAATCTACAGAGGGAGAAAAACTGAGAATTTCAAAATGTTTGTCCTTTTTCAAAAGGGGGTGTATTTGCTATCTGCTTACTGTTAAGAAGATATCAAGTCAGAACACCTCTCGAGCAGTTTGCCAAGGCATCATTGATAAAGGTGTGTACATGGAGTGAAGAAATAGGCTGGAGAACTTGGCCTTCAAGCTTGCGAAACTATGGGAACCACATTGTGCTAGACTGGCTTTCTTTTGTAATGATCTTACCCTGAGGTAATAATAATAATAATTATTATAATAATGATAATGATAATGATAGTGATAGTTTATAAAAAATTGATAAAAAAACTGTTCGAGTACAACTTGGCAGGTGAATTGCTTGAAAAGAGAAGTTTTTTTAACCAATCACAATCGAGGTAATTTTTTTAATATTTCTATTGCTTCCCAAATGCCTTCTGTTTCGACTGCATAAACAAAGAATAAACATACTGAAGAGTGGCAACGCCAATATCCTTCCCTGATAGTGATTTTTTAAGCACCATGATAGCAAAAATCACACTACTTCGAACTATCTTTTTACACTTGCCGCAACTGGCAATGATACCCATTGAAATTTTGCAATATCAGAATACTACAATTGCATTTAGAAACTTTGATGCTATCCCTGGTTCACTTGAAGCAAATGAGAACGATTTTTAGTTACAACAACCATATCATCAAGCTTTCACTCATTTACACTGTGTTGACCATATTTATTTAGTTTACATATATTTAATTCAGCATACGCCGTAAGATACTAAAAAAATAAGTATGCTGCGGCTGCCATATTACTCTGGGGAAGTCGATGAAACAGATATCATTCCTTTATTTTTACCTGTGCCTGTTAGTTACTACCAGCTAAGTTAAGGAGCTTAACGTGCAAGGATCGAAGCTAATTTTAGTGGGTTGATCATTCCTTGAAATGTTTGGGTTTTTCTCAACAGTGATTCAAGACTTCATTATAATATCACAGTTTTGTTCAATTGCCACTAAGTGCAACATGCAAAAATGCAGCAAAAATGTCTCCAAGCAATTTCCAAAGACACATGCAAAAAGCGTTTAGTTACGTGAAGAGTAAATAATCAAAAAGTGAGTCATGTAAAATTAACAGATACAAAAAAAAGGTCTTACGTTCAATAACTAACAAATAAACAAAAAGCTGGCTTAGACCAGCTTCTAAGGGATAGCTTGATGATTCATCTCAAAACGACCGATCTTTCACCTTTATCCACTTTAGTTTTTTTCTTACTTATGAGCCCGATCTGGGTGCCCCACAGTTAGCTTTCAATTCTCAGTTACAACGGTATTATCATCTGAACCAGAAGTCTCATTTAGAATAAAATGTAAATTTTTGTGAAAATGAAATCAACTTGAACTGGAGGTCTCAGCGTGACCTAAACTCAGTAAGTTAGTAACCAAATTAATGGGATTTACCGCGCCACAAAGATTATTAAAATTTTTGAAATGTTTTGCCTCTAGTAAATCACTTCACCCGGAGGTTTGTTAAGGCCTCATATGATGCGAAATCAATAAGGCGCCCAAGCACATTGCCTTCTTAAAATTTTCATGAATTATCTCCCGTGGAAGATAGCATTATTTAAAGGTGCTTCTGAAATGCAATTTGTCCTTTGCGCAATGAACGTCTTGTTGCGAGGAGATGTGGTGGACGTTTGAAAGAAGATAGCTCTGAATGGTTGATTGGTGCTCCGTAATCAGTACTTAAAGAAAAGTTGCAGAATAAATAGCTGGTTTAATTGACAGAAGAAATGGATCATACTGCTCATTCCGAGTGAATCAAGACACAGAACCTTTTAATCACTATTGACTCACTGCTTTAATGTAAACATGAGTAATGTAGATTTGCAGCTGTTGGATTTGAAAAGAAATTATAAGTTAAACAAAGTGCTACATGAAACTAAAATTGTCGTGTTTTTGTGAGAGAAAGGGAGAAAAAGGAAAGCATTCTTAGATGTCCAAGCTTTTTTGAGAATAGTCATCTAGTTTACATTTCTTTTAGTATAAAGTCAACTAGTTCGTCGACTTTATTGAAAAATAGGCTCATCGTTTTCTGTCGTTTCGAACAATGCTGCATGTAAATAACTCCCACCTTGAAGATGTACCTTCCGAACAATCACAAGAAAACGAAACTGGATCGAGCGAGTCTAGAAATGCGTCCGGAGATCACCATCCTCGCCGTAAAGAAATAGCTTCAAGGCTTCGACCCATTATATATTTGATGAAATTAACCGGAGAGTGCTCTCAGGATGTTTTGGTGCTAAACGAGATACCCGCAACTGGTTCGCGCCTCTTTTCTCGTCTGTACCGCGGAATTGTAACTCTTGGTCAATGGGGTGTCGTGGTGCAGTGCGTTACAACTGTTTTCTTTGAAGGTTTTGCAGATTTGAAGAGATTTTATTTTGTGTTGATCTTCTCCATCTGGGCTCTACAATGTGCAGTAGTTGCAACAATATGTCTATATATTTTCCCAAACAGGCAAACAGAGTCATCCCGTTTTTCGCAATTCTTAAGCAGCTTGTGCAGTGCAGAAAGTAATGAAAGAAGGTCGAAGAAATGTAAGGTGAACTTGATATTGGCTTTAGTCACTTTCTTTGCTATTTTCAACACCCTCTTCGTCATTTCTTTAGACCTCATGTATGGCTCGATAATCTCTCTTCGTCCTTGGAACGGATTTTTGGTTTATCGCTTGAACTTCTTTGCGTTTATCTTCTGCAGTTGCTTTTCATGGGCACTGCCATTTTCGTTGTTTTACGTATCTTGCGATCTACTGCTTGGAATTTTTGAGGATTTGGAGACCAAAGTAAAAGCAGGCGATCCCAATGCCTCCGATATCAGATGGATTCGGCAGGAACATCGCAAACTTTGTGTGCGGGTTGATCTCGCAAATAAAGTTTTTTCTCATCTTCTTTTGGCGGCAGTGGGCTTAGATGTTCCTTTGATGTGTTTCAACTCTCACCAGCTGGTGAAATCGAACGCATCTACGAGTTCAGACTTTACGTTTCTTGTCTCACTTTTGTACTGGTCTGTTTGTGTGGTTGTTAAGTTAGCTTTCATCCTTTTGGCAGGAGTTAGAGTCAACGAAAAGGTAAGATTTTTCCTGTTGCATCGTTGGTTTTCAACACTTTTTTTTTATCCTTATCAAGTAAACTAAGCAGGGCTCCAACCTTAAAATAGCTTTGCGACAGAGTTTTTTGTCTGTGTCAAGATTTCGACATCTGTCCGGTGGCAATTTCTAATGTGCTCAGTTTGTTTACAAAAGAGCCTGTTAAAATGCTTCATCTAAGCTGAATCTGTATTGCAAGGGATTTCATGGCAAAATTTCGTAGATTTCTGCCTCCTTGATAAAAAAAAGAAAAAATATATATATATATATATGTTTAGGTTAAGCAACTTTACTAACGATTGCAAGAAATTTAAACATTGCTTCATGTAAAAACAGTCAATCTAGACGACACAGCATGTCTTAAAATTAATTGATTCTAGCTTAAATCTAGACAAGAAATCTTCCTTTTGTAAAAATCCTAGCAGGAAACGTCGAAGGAGCGAACTAATCTATCATATTTACATGCAAATTATTCTTTTTTGTGCGTTTCAGTCCCTTTTCTTTCTTGAAACAGGAATGACGACACGAGTAATGATGACAGATTGTTCCTCAATCCCTCTCCTAGGCAAAATGATACGAAATTTATTTGAGATAGTTTGCTACAAATATGCATTGCTGAATATCCCTTTTTTGCCTAAATGGTTGCTTATAATGTTCAATATTTTCCAATCTTTATCTTTCTCTTCTTTCTTATAAATACGCGCGCCCTGCCAACTTATGATTAGACTATGATCCAAAGTTAAGACGAACATTGCCTTTCTTATGTTAAACGTATTTGTAACTTTGGAAGAGTAGTTTCAACTTTGAATCTGTAGTTTATAATGAAAATTACAGGCCACCATAGAGAGGATTGTGAAGAAGGTAAACTAAGGAAACAAGAATTTATTTAAGGCCTAATTTCAACACTGTCGAAATAGTATCATAATTAGCTACCTTCATCCTTTCTTCTTCCCTGCAGATTCACAGCTTTTATGACACCTTACAAAGTTTCACTGTTCCTGACAACAAGGGTCACTTAGAGGTAAGAAGTTCTTAGTGTTTTGGAGAAATTTGATGTTTAGGAGAGCCATTTGAGTCACCAAACCGATAGAGGCCAACTAAGTTGTGAACAAAAAAAAAACCGTTAGCTGACAAACTCGTGTAGACGTGCGCTGTAAAATTGGTAGAATCCTTGCTACCCTTCGCAAATCAACACTGCGAAATATTTAAATTTAGCCCGTTTACTTTGGCTTGAAGGGCTGTGGTCACGTTCTCCAGATTTTATTGCAAAATCGGAGAGGTATTTTCTTCTTGATTCATTGGTATTTTATTTATATTTTTTTCTTTTTTTTTTTACCATTTATTATTTTTAGCTTTTACATTTCATGATGCATCTTCGGGGAGAGCCCATTGGATTGTCCATTGGTGGATTGGTGGTGATCGACAAGTCCCTGGCTATCTCGGTATTTCTCTTGGTTTCTCTTCACGGTTATGCCATCGATTTTACCTCGGTTGTTGTTATTTCTTTGCTTTTGATTTTATTTTTATCCATCTAATTACTTGAAATCTAACCCAAAGTCACCTTCTTTCATCTCCTTGCAGCTCGTAGGAATAATCATCTCCTACTTCGCAGTATTGATAACATTGCCAAGTTGAAGAAAAGAAAGGACATGACCAGACGTGAAGCGGATGCATTTTCTGCTCTTACTGTTTCTTTTGCTTTAGTTTTCATATCATTCATGGAATTCTAAAGAGTTTTGAGTCAACACTCATGAATTATCAAAGGAACATTTAATCAAGCTATACCAGTGATGTCTTTACCAGTAGTTCCCATACCTTGAAGTAATTAAAGAGCCTAGTCGTATATATACCCTTGCTGCATAGCTCAAGTTATTTATTGGTGAAAACTTCCTTGTAATAGTTAAATGTCTTATGTCGGAAACTTTGTTGATTCTGCTGTAAGTAGTTGATGGAGATGTATGCTATCGCTCTAATCTATCACCCTTTAAGGAGAATAACAGTTTTGGTGTATGCAAATGTACGCTTGTTCCGTATATAATTCAATTTTTTTAACCTCCAACAATGGAATCCCCAGTAAACCTTAATTATTATGTCACGGATAGATCCTCAAATGCCAACTGTAAATAAAGAAACTGTAGATGGCTTTTTCTAAGCCTTACATTATAAGACTCCTCTTATTCCAGGATATTTATAGAGTCGTTTCCATTTATAATCTGCAGTTAAACTGACTTATTTCATACTTGCCGATAAGTGAAGACGTGTATATAACTACTTTCTCTATAACTATGGTAAGAAAAATCATCTTTTTGGAGCTAAGAAAAATGTAAACTACGTGAAAATGCAAATTCTTTTTCCTTTTAGTCCCAATTTGTTTTATCGTAATATTGATGAAAGCCAAGCTAATTTATTCAATGCTGTTGGTGAGTCGTGGAGAGTTTCAAAAGTCACAGATCATATCATTATGAGCAACTATTACGAGCAACAGTTATAAAAGTTAAAAGCTTAAACTTTCAACTCTTTGAAAAGGAATAAAAGAAAGCTTTATCGCATAACCCTTTTAGCGAAAAACGCACTTTTATTGAAATTTTTTCTATGCAAATACCTGGCTGAGAGCCGCACGCGATGGAAGTGAAAAAGGCCCGAAGGAGCTGCATGGTCCCTGAGATGCGGGCTGAAATAGCTCTTTAATGGAAACTTTTATATATTAAAATGCTTATTGACTGAGTTAGGTAGTCAATGCTCGTGCTTTTCGACACAATGGTGCCGGAATCGCTGAAATTGATATCCTTGTACCTTTGTTTACTATTTTACCCTTCGCCATCTTAGTTGATGTTTGTGGGGCGTACACTATTTCTTTTCTTAATGTGAAGGCACTCTTGTAACGACCGTCGAAATTTTGGCACCCGCCAAGCATACATAAAAGGGTTCGCAAACGAAGATAAGTAAAGAAAAGTATGACTTATTAAGTCAAACCTTCGGAAAGCCATAGTATCCTGACAACTACAGAAATTTAACAGCTGAATCTTAATATAAAAGGGCAAAAAAGAAGCACAGAACAACTTCAAAATGACAAACGAAGTCAGCGCCATTTTCCGCTCTCTCTCAAGGGCATGCCGTAGAGTTATTGTGGAGAGCGATGTTGTTAAACGTTGAAGTTCGTATCTTCTTGCGGAGAGTGAACAAAAAATTCGACAATAAACAAACAGCAAGACAAACACGGGAATTGTGAAATGTGTGTGGGAGAACACCAATAAAATGACTGCCCAGATTTATCCTGCCAAAGGATAGAACGCAGTCAACGTCGTGGCCATTACCCAGCTAACAAAGATGTATGTGTAGACTTTTCGTCCTGTTATTCGCTCGTTGTAATGGAAAGGATCGGTAACTGCTATGTAACGGTCCAGCGCCATCGCAATAACTGTCCATATGCCGTTGATAATGGATGCCCCTCCTGCGACGTTTATAGCTAAGTTAATCCAAGAAGGTTGGGTCTCGTCTTTATACATGAAACATCCAACCAAGCCACGGCCATAACCAATAATAAGTCCGACAAATAAGTCACTTAGAGATAAGTTTGCGATTAAATAGGTGGCGGGTGTTCGAAGACATCTCACAGGATCTAATTTAATGGTAGTGAGAAGAAGAAGATTTCCAAGAACGGTAAGAGTCGCTAAAATGAAGTCTGCAATTGTCAAAGCAAGGAGGTAAGAGTTGTACTCAAAATTAACCATTGCTGTTTTCAGAATACTCTGACTGCTTTGAGGAGCAGCTTTGAGGAGCAGCAATATCCGATAATAACAAGAAAACCTATCACTCATTTGGCCGAGAAACCTGGATTAGCATTTATGTTTAGTCACCTGGTTCAGAAAATAAGTGTATTAATAAAGACGAACTTTCTTTAAAATCCTTTCTCTTGTGGACACCAAATAGCAATGATAAATGACAGGAAAAAATAAAATTAAAGGTAGAATAAAATGCAATGAACGATGAAGAAGCACTGTTCCATACTTATATTTCCCTTAATACCCAATACACTTTATTCCTCTGGGAAAAAAACACAACTATTTACTTAAGTTTTAATTAAATGTCAATACGCTGTCCGCTTTTATTTCCTTTGCTTGTATGTTATTGTACATACTTCCCTCACAAATTAGGTTTTCCTTTTCCTAAACGCCACTAACTTACTTGTTTCTTTGTTCAAAATTCCTTTCAATAATTTAGCCTTTTTCGCATTAGATTTATCGATTTCTTCAAATGTCCAAACAGGAAGTTTTGTGTTCTTAGACAGGTTGCATAAACATCATTCCATGCTATATTAATGTTAGAATTATTAATCTAGCTTAAGTCGATCTTACTGGTTATCGTTAAAGAAACAGTCTCTTCTTTAGCAATATTAGTCGAATGACTGGCTTTATTGGAAAAAAGACTTCTGAACTTATCTGCACTTTTGTCAAGTTGAAGCAACATTTTTTGCATTAGAAAAAGGCGCATGTCAATTGAACCAGCATTTATTTGCATAACTCTCGATATCAGATATGCATACTTGCAAACCCTTCTTGCATTTACATTAAATACAAACTGGCCACCTCAAAAAATTTGGATAAAAGGAAAAGTTAATATCTTAAACGCATGTCAAAAAAAGCCTTTCTGTACCAAAAACTGTTTTACGAAATACTCTCATCCTTGAAGAGCTAAATAACTGCTCCTTTCAGTAGAAAGACTACGCTTACAACGGGAAAGCTAATCATACTTGGAAATATTTTTAAACGAAAATATATGACCACTAGAATAAAAGTTTCGGTTACGACTTTCTTCCTTTCAATTCGAATTACACAAATTTACAATCTGGACTCTCTCCTTTCCGCTCCATCTATATTGAGCACTTGCTGGTTGCTCCATCCTATCTATACCTTCAGGCAATTAACCATTAAAATATGCACTTATATAGTCTACGGCGTACATCTTTAAACCACTAATATAAAACCAGGTGATTCCATTTTTCATCTTTCTTTCTTTCTTTACTTTTTTTTTCTGCCCAGCTAAGGAAATTATGGCTCAAAATTTTTGACAGTGCTGCTGATTTTTTGCTTATCCAACTGGTCCAATCTAGGGCATTGTCCCTCGGTTTCAGCCTTAGAGCTTCGAAAAGGACGAATAATGTGTCGTTGATTTTCCGAGTACTGTCTCATTCTATAAGTCATCTACACACTACCTAACATAATAAGCTACAGCTGAGGATACCAATCTATCTCTAAAAAACATTAACTTAAGTCGCATAACCGTTTACAGACTGATAAACCAGTGGTATTATTGACGTAGCTCCATGATTGCTGTTAACTCGGCAGAGACAACATAACAGCGAAATAAGAAATGATCACTCCGGCGATCTGTCAAAAAATTAAAATAGTAATAAATTGCAAAATTAGCAGATTTTAACCAAAATTGTAACTCTTCGCGTAAATCAAGCTGCCTTTCGCGGAATAGACCTACCGTCAAAGACAAGGACTTGGTGATGACCACAAGACCACCAATTGACAAACCCTGTGGGTCTCCCTGAAGATCAAGCATAAACATCACCAACTGAAAATAGATAAGAATCGATAAATATCAATTTTTGAATCCATAGGAAAAACTCACCATTTTTTATTATTATTATTATTGTTATTTAAACCGCCGCCTGGTTAGCTCATGTCGTAGGGAGCACCGGACTGCCGTATGGGAGGTCGAAGGCTCAAGCCTAAGGCCGAACGACTCAGTGTCCTAAAATGACTAAGGAGAATGTGCTGTCTTCGCTATGGTTAGTTATTTTAGTCTTCTCGAAGATGGACGAAAAACCGTAGGCCCCGTCTCCTGCATTTTATACGCACTGGTTAGAAGAGCATATTTAAGAACCCGTACATTTCTCGCAAAGATTAGGGAACGCATCTCCTGGTATTGTGGTCTGGCCTTAATTCTGAAAATGGAGGCATCTCCAAAAAATTTCCTTCAAAAATTGTGAACTGCTCAATGCAGTCTGGCCAAGGTCCCCCGCAAAGTGTTGTAAAGCGCTATGAGCCGATCAATTTGGCGCTATAGAAATTCTTCATTATTATTATTGTAATTATTATTACTATTATAATTATTTTAAGATAATAGAAAGAGAAATAAAACATTTCAGTTCACCCTCTCTGGAGTAAAAGTGGATGACGAAATTTATAGGGAGAATTAATGGTTTTTAGACTGAGAAGAGGAGCTAGAAAACATAATAATACCGTGAAGAGATAGGGGGCCATGTTGAATCAGCCTGTCACCTGTATTTACAACTGCTTCTACTCCCAAACTTACTTTATCTAAATGGCAGCTAATAATTTGCTCTCTTGTAGATCGAAGAGCCTTCTACATGAGCACAACACATTGTGACACCAGCTTTAAAAAGATTTCTTGAATTTATTTTACAGCTTATTTTTCCTGGGCGGCTTTCATTGCGAATATTTATTTCAATAAAAATATATGTGGAGATTAATCTAAGTTAAGAAAAGGAAAAGTTTCTCTTAATCGCGCAAATATGCAATTACCTTTCCTTCGTCTTCTTTTGAAACAGGAACTGTTCGCAAAATCTTTTGAAAACTGTGAATCTGAAGCATATTGGAATAAAAATAACATTATCAAATATTGAAATTAAAGAAAAACAAATAAGAACTATTCAAGACAATAACAAAGTCAACAGGCCCTACATTGTAATCAATTCAAAAGGTGGAAGCACTTTAAGTGGAACATATGTTTTGCATTTAATAAGAGATGGATGTAAAAGAATAATGAAATTATCCTAGGAAAATAGGATCAAAAAAACAAATAATGATTCAAAATGTACACGTACCCCTTCGCTCACTTTGGATCCAAACAGCATGATAATTGTTAAAACACAAACTGACGCAATGAGCCAGAAAAAGTTATTTCCCATGAACAAATATTTCTTTTCCTCAGTATTCCCAGGTGAATGAACAGCGAGGTACAAATTGAAGCAAATCAAAGGAATGTATAAAGACACCATTTCGAGAAGTAGAGGAGAAAACATCGCAGCGGCCAGTTCCACAACCTCGCATAGTTGGTGATGCTCCACCTTAAAAGAAGCTAGTTGCACTGTTGTTGAGTGCAATGACTGCTGTTTCATCCGCTTACTCAAATCATCAAACAGTTCCGCCAGTATGAGACACGTAATACAGAAAAGGAGTACTGGAAGCAACCACGAACCAACAGCTATTATCAGAAAGATGACGGAAACTATGGCAAAGACAGGTGATTCACTTAAAGGCTTAAAGTCGGCAAGTTTCATATCAAGCTTTAGACATGTCATCAACGATCCCACAGTAGCACTAGCAAATACAAGGAAAAACGCAATTATGCCATTTCTTGATTTGACTGTTACCTTTTCCAACGTAGCATGACTCTTATTGTCGATTAAACCACGAACGAAGTGCTGAAAACGTGATTTTCTTGTTCTTGTTACTGGTGACACAATCAGGGTAATTGTTGCATTCAGTGCTCCCATAAGACACCATAAGCAGAACATTAAAGAAACATAGATCTTCTCAGGGACAAAAAAGCAACTGAGAAAAGCCAAAAAGAAATTGAACCAAAGGCCAGTAACTACCAGACCACAATACATGAGTGAAACATACGCTCTCCTCGACAAACGACCAGAATCATCTGTCAAAGATTTCAGAGTGTTATCCCCGTAGTATATTCCAAACAAATTCATCAGCTTGAGTATAGGCCTGAAGATGTCACTGATCGCCTTAAACAGATGTTCGTTCACATTTTTTGCCTCGGGAGGCGAACCAGTCAAGTTTGAAACTTCGTTCACGGTAGCTTGTTGCTCAGAATTGGAATAGGACATTCCGTTATCTGAAGGCACTGTACATTCGTTTGGAGATACTCTAGCAGGCATAATCATCAGAAGATTGATTCTCAATTAGTTTACAAGGAAACTTGATTATTACCTTTAGTTCTCAGCTATGGTCTCTTAAATTTGTTTCCAGTGATGTCGCTCAATTTGAATTTGGGGAGATCCGTATTCATATTCAAATCGGAAAATACCCACTGTGATCAAAATGACATTTCTTTTTAATTAAAAAACAGTCTTAAATCAAACAAAAAAACTAATCACATTTCAAATCATGCGAAGGTGAGAGAAGCTAGACAAAAAACTACGCCTAGATGTTGGTAATTCATTGTCAAAATAATGGAGTTTGAGAAGCTACCAGTTGTTCAAGCTTGGAGTGAGACTCATAACTAATAATTTTAGCAGGCAAATAAATAATGTATTTTCTCTCCAAACATTTACTTAGCTTTTTTTCCCGTTTCGCTACCTTATTTCAAATTCAGATAAAGTAAGAGAAAATTTGTTTGAATATTAAGCGTGAGGCACAAAAAGAGTTAACGACAGATAGACGAAAACCCTCGAAGCAGTGTGAAGCAAAGTAGGGTTATCATAGTTCTAGTCTGTGTAACGTTGCTTTAAAACTTCAATACATTATCCTTTAACCTTTAAGACTGAAATTTCATGCTCGTCTAACGGTTTATAGTAACAACATTTTGATTATAACAAATAGGCCGACAAACAAATGAAGCAATCAGGTTTATTGTGATCTCCTCGATCTTTTGGGATGCAATCAAGAAAGGGCATTAGCAGAAATTAACGAGGTGTGAGGCACTTGTTTGATGAGTTCTCAGGAAAATGATGAAGTTGATAATTAAAATTTCGTACCAACTCTGCATGGTATGACTCTTTATTTTTGTTTTTTGCTTTTTGTTTTTTGTTTTCTCTTTTTGCTCGGGTATGATTTTGAACTTTTACAATTTCGTAATTAATTTTCTATATTCATATCGATATTTTTTCCTCTCTTCTAGTATGTAAATGATTTACGCGATCAGTAGAGAGAAAGTAATCCTAACGTGTGGTCATGACAATTAAATTTTGATTTTTTTTTTTTGCAGCCACAGTAACAGTGCCTAAACTCTTTTCGTGAAAAAATTCCCCTCCCAAGGCTTTAACTTAAAGACTATTGGTAAAGTGAGTCAATTTTTGGACAAAGGACATCTTGACACTGAAAACATGCTGGTTTTTTAACTTCATTTCCACTGAAAACGAGCCAAGAAAAAAATCAATGAGGGAAACCTGACATTATCTATGAATTTTTTTATGTCCCACTGTGATAGAATTGTTATTTGTATGACATAGTATCTCACAACCAAAGCAATAAAATTATGAACTTAAAATCAAACTAAAAAATTAAAATCCCATCACATTTCCCTAGTTTTTAATGAATTTTATTGATATTTTATTAGCTGTTTCAATCAAGATGGGTTTTTAGTTAGCAGGTTTACAATTTTAAATAATGAAAACGTAATGATTATAATAATTCTCTCACGAAATGCCATCTATCAAGTAAGACTTACTTGGCCCCCTATGAAAAAAGTACGGATATCATTACATTAGAGACACAGCTACTAATATCACGCCAATATCATTACAGCGCCAAAATGCTAAATGTGTTGAAAATACTTTTTCTCTACTAACAGAAATACTATCTACATGGTGTTCACTAAACCTATCATGGGATATCTAAAATATTTACATCATTCGCTAAACAATGTAAGAGTTATTAAATTTGGAAGTATGTTCTTTTTTCTTTAGTCACAATTTCCTTCGGTTATTGGAAAAGTGCCTCTTCAGAAAAAATTATAACTTAAGGACGAGCTCCAAAATAGCAAGTACACTGGAGGTTATAGGTTCAACCAACATGGAACAAAACAATAATTAGATTTTACTTCAACATGATCAAAATTTTCAGTACTTGTGATTACTTTTCGATGGAAGTCTAAGAATCGACACATCTTTTAATGCATTTTGCATTTCTAAAGAACTAAACAGTGTCATATCTTTTAAACGTCAACGTGGTAAAGATAAGAGAACTGCAAAGTAGGACACTATTACCCCAGCAATCTGAAATGAGAAGTAGATTAGTACAGTGAAATTTTACAGAATGTTTAGGCGTTCAGTTAAATTAAATCGCAATTCAATCATAAGCTAATGGAAATTGGATATGATGAAGACAATGCATTAACTTACCGCTAAGGACGTTGACTTGGTTATGACCAGCAATCCTCCAATTGATAAACCCTTCGGTTCTCCTTGAAGGTCGAGTAAAAACAACAGTACCTGGAAAAGATGGGAGAGGAAGGATGAGAGTTTTGAAAAGGATTGGAAAGGCTGTACACAAGAGTGTTGCCTTTGATTCGCGCAAGTATTTTGGAAAAAAAGCGTTAAAAAAATAGAAGTTACCTTGGCTTCCTCCGCTGTAGAGACGGGCATAGTTTGCAAAATGCTCTGAAAACTGTGAATCTGAAAGACAAATGTTAAATTATGAAATTTAAGTACATGCACAAGAGCATAATAAAAAAACACAAAAAACGAAAGGTCTACACCCACCATCTCTATTAGGATAAAACTTCAAATCCAAAATGTTTCACAAATAGGATAATCAATAAAAGACATGTTTCCCCTAACAAACCTTTTCGTTGACTTTAGATCCAAAGAAAAGGACAGTTGCTAAGATTCCTGCCGCAACAAAACACCAGGAAAGGGTGGTAGCATTAACTTCATATCCTCTCGGAAAATGACGGAGTTGTAAAAACTGATGCACAACATTGGGATGTATAACGCCACAACCCCGAGAAGGAGTGGAGCGAGCATCTTGTCGGCAAGTTCGACCACCTCGCATAACCTGTGATGTTCCATTTTTAAAGATGTAAAGTTCGCTGAGAGCGGAGGTAGTGATGACATTCTCTTATAAAGCCCATCAAAACATTTTAGAAGGATTCTACAGGTTAGATAGAAGAAATACATCGAAAGTAACCAAACAGCACTCCCAGTAAATAAAGAGAACTGCGCAATCACTCGAAAGCCATACCACTCATTCCAAGGCTTACAACAAGCAAGGCCAAAGTTCAATTTCTGATCACTAACAATAGAAAACGTAACAGTTTCCACATAAAGTAAACAGAGAACTATGAAGCCTTTTTCTCGACTTTTTCTTCACTGAATTTAAATTAATACCTCTGCTGTTTTCTAATAAGCTCAGAAGATATTGTTGGAATCGTGACTTTTTGCCAATAGCCAGAGGAAGAACAATCAATGAGGTTATTCCACAGATAACTATTAAAAGGTTGCCAAGAGTAAACATCAAAAACACGAATACTGCCCCTGAAGCAAAAATCCCGGAGACAGCCATAACGAAGTTTAAACATAAAAGGGATATCATCAGACCACAATACATTTTCGAGCATATATTCCTTCCTTGTCGACTAGTCGGCGTGCATTCCAAGTGTTTTAAATTGGTTTGTCCATAGTACGCTCCGAAAAGCTTCAACAACTTCAGCACAGGGCTATATAATTCGTTTAATGACTTTAAAATCTGCTCGTTGCCAGTTGCGTCTTCAGGGATTGAAACGACGAACGATGATACACTCTTTTGACGAGAATGGAGGGACCCCGACATCTCCTTTGTTATTGATACTTGAGACAGCATATTTTTGTTATTTGAAGGAATTTCGGTCTAAAATGCGGTCCATTCCAAACTAAGATAACCACTGTTGCTTTCCAAAACGCATCAGAATACACAGCTAATGCAATGTCCCAACATGCCTTGAGCAAGCTGTAGTGTTTTCAATCGCATTATAGAAGAAACGGAAGAAATTATTGATCGACGCCCAGAATTGGAAAATTTGAAAGCAAAACAAGGAGGTTCAGTTCCCGAAATGGCGCCACCGAGGCTGAAGTTCACTTCAGCTGTGTATACGTAGTCACGGTTGAACCGGGCGAAATACGGCAGAAATTCTACACGACAAAACGACTCATTATTGCCTAAATTCTCTCACTTGTTACTAGGGCCGCGTTCACCAAGTTGAAACGAGCTGTTGACTCGACAGTTCTAGAATAATTGGAAATGCGTTTGAATTCACTGCCCACTATTTCATTATAACTGGTTGCTCGCTTTATTGATAGTAGTTGGCCTTGTTTGTTTATAAAAATGATGTTAAAATTACTTCAGTCAGGCATGTTGCTTATTTGCATTTGTCTGGCGTGAATTTGTTCCTTTGAGACTAAGTCATGATGTCCTCTGTATTTCTTCCCCAGGAATGTTTCGTGTCAGAACTTTTAACGTCATATCGAAAGGCATCGGCTTTTAACATAGAGGGGAAATAATTTTTTCTAATTATTTTCTTCTTCCTCCTAAAAGATATTTGGAAGTAAAGTGATCTATAATTTAATAGCTCTTGCTCTGAATATTAAACATCGGTGCCGTTTGCTCTTTGCACGTTTATTTACGCGTAACAAACAAAATTAAAGTGCGTAGCTCTCTTGTGTGTTGTTCAAAGGAAATTAAGGGCTCATGTGTTTTCGGCGATATTTGACCAAATAATAGTTTCAGCGTAGAAGAGTTTTCGACAATGGGCAATATATTTCAGGCAGAATTGTTCCAGAAAAATTAATTTGATCAAATTTCCATATCGTTCGTTGTTGATTTAAACATTTCCCTACGAATATCGTACCGTTAGCTTCCGAAATGAGGAGGGAATTGTCATTATGCGTGCGCAGTAATGTGGCAATTCTTTAATGAACGATAGATAAATGTTTCGTTTTAAACGCGCTCGAACTCAGTATTTAATCAAGAGAAATATTGCGGTTGACACAAATGCGCATGACAGAACAACTATTACGAGAAAGATAGGGAACTGCCAAACTTTAAACAAAGTAAAACAAACAATGAAAAAGAATTGATATCAGCTTTTTGCAGTGCACAACAGTTCATTGCACAATGTCGTAACACACTTTGTTAAATGTATATCGTGCTTAGAAAGCAAAAAAACTAAAGGATAAAAAATAATGAATTGTAGTGAACTAAAGAAAAATACATCACATTTTCCCAGTTTTGAGAGAATTTTATCGATTAAGACGTGAATTTTCTTAATCAATATGGTTTTTAAGCAACTTTTACAAATATCAATGTGAACTGATAAAAAAATTAAACACTAAGCAATCTCTAAAGAAATTGTATCATTTGTTATAAGCCTAGTAATATTACTACCAAAAACCGGTTCTTATTATGGCGCCATAATATTACAAATTTTTACAATCCTTTGTCAGTACAACCTACAAAACTATTATCATAGCTTACAATAAACCTATCAAGGGCTATCTGGGCATAATTATAAGGATTTATATCAGTCACTAAATAAGACTAATTATTAAATTTTTGCATATCTCATTTCTATACCACAATTTTTTCGTATAAATGAAAAGCATGCTCCAGAGCACAAGTCATAACTTTACAACAACCTTTAAAAAGGCAAGTCTACTGAAGGCTGCATTGCTACCAAAAAGGATAAAATGTTACAAGGCTTCTCCTTGACATCAATTTTTACCTCGAGAAAACCAACAATTTCAGTGATAGAGACTAGCCCTCGATTGAAATCTGAGAACCATCTCATTGACATAACTAAACGATGTTATATCTTTCAAACATCAACGCGGCAAAGAAAGAAGAACTGTGAAGTAGGAGACTATCATTCCAGCAATCTGAAATAGAACATTATCAGACAGTGAAATTTCGCAAAATTTGTAGGGGTTTCATTAAGTTCAAACTCAATTCAACCATAAGCGAGAAGAAACTAAACAAGATGAAGATCACAGGTCTTACCGCCAAGGATGTGGACTTGGATATGACCAGCAATCCTCCAATTGATAAACCTTTCGGTTCTCCTTGAAGGTCGAGTAAAAATAGCAATACCTGGAAATGGTCAGAAAGGAAGAAGGCTTTAGGAATTACTAAAAGCGTGGGAAAGGCTTTCGATAAAATTGGTTGCCTTTGATTTGCGTGAAGCATTTTGCGAAACAGGAAATGGGGTTGGAATAAGGTAATAAATACATAGATAGAGAAAATGAGAGTTACCTTTGCTTCTTCTGCTGTCGAGACGGGAAGCGTTTGCAAAATCTTTTGAAAACTGTGAATCTAAAAAAAAGAATCTGAGGAATACTAAGTGTATATAAATAGGAACATAATAAATATACTACACCAACCGACGGTACAACAACAAAAATGCAAACTGGTAAATCAAAAACGTTTAAAAGGCAGATCGATCAATGAACTGATATGAAATTTTCCCGGCACACCTTTTCGCTGACTTTAGATCCAAAGAACAGGACAATTGCTAAGACGCCTGCTGCAATAAAGCACCAGGAAATATCAGCAGCAAGAGCCATCAACTTCAAATCCTCTCGGAAAATGACAGAGTTGTAAAAACTGATGCACAGCATTGGGATGTACAACGCCACAACCCCGAGAAGGAGTGGGGCGAGCATCTTGTCGGCAAGTTCGACTACTTCGCATAACTTGTGATGTTCCATTTTTAAAGATGGAAAGTCCGCTGAGAGCGGAGGTAATGATGACATTCTCTTATAAAGCCCATCGAAACATTCTACTAGGATTCTACAGGTTAGATAGAAGAAATACATCGAAAGCAACCACACTGCACTGCCAATAATTGTAGACAACTGCGCAATCACTCGAAAGCCAAACCACTCACTCCAAGGCTTACAACAAGTAAGGCCAAGGTCCAACTTTTGATCACCGATAACGGCAAACGTAACAATTGGTACATAAAGTAAACAGATAACTATGAAGCCTTTTCTCGACTTTTTCCTCACAAAATTAAAATTGATACCTTTGCTGTTTGTGATTAAGCTACGAAGATATTGTTCGAATCGACTTCTTCTGGTAGTAGTTAAAGGAAGGAAAGCTAATGAGGTTATTCCACAGATAACTATCATAAGTTTTATAAGAGTAAACATCAAAAAGACAAATTCTGCCCCTGAAGTAAAAATCCCAGAGACAGCCATAACGCAGTCTAAGCATAAAAGGGAAATCATCAGACCACAATATATCTTCGAAAATATTTGTTTTCCACGCGGACTGGTTGGCGTGCATTCCAAATGTTTTAAATTAGTTTGTCCATAGTACGCCCCGAAAAGCTTCAACAACTTTAGCGCAGGGCTGTATATTTCGTTCAATCTCTTTAAAAACAGCTGGTTGCCATTTGCGTCGTCAGGGATTGAAACGACGAACGTATCTGCTTTGTTTTGGCGAGAATGGAGTGACTCAGACGCCATGTTTCTAGGTGATACTTGAGAGGACATATGCCTGCGATTTGAAGGGAGTTCCGTCCAAAATATACTGCAGTTTGTCTTGAGTTTTTGGTGGCGGATCCAATAACAATCCCCAGTGCGTCTACTATGTTCTGTTTGTTGAATAAAAGGTTGTTATTTCAAATGTATTAGTAAACACAGCCGAATGGGAAAGTGCAATTTTCGAGCACGCGCACAGCGGGCCACAAACGACGAACAGCGGGCTGTTACTGCACCGATAAACAGCCCAATGAGAGGAAGGCCAGTGATGACGCAGAATCGCGGAAAACTCGCTCTTTAACAGCGCTTACTTTGATAAATGACTTTACCTTTATTTATATTAAGCAATGAAAATGACTACATACTGTCCACAGGATAAGAAGGAAACGAAGAAGGATTAGTTTAAACAATGTAAAATTATACAGATATAAAAAAGCGAAGAAATTAAAATTAACAATGATGACATGATGCAATTCCTGGAGATGGGCCACAAACAAACCAGTAATCAAACATTAATGACATTTTCTTTTATCCACATTAAATTACACGTTATTGAAGAACTTAAAATGCATAAACATTTTTTTCTTGGGAAGTTAAAATAAATTTAATCCCAACTTGCTCAGTTTTAATGTGCTTTCTAGGATTTTTGAAAGGGAAAGCAAACAAAGTTAATTAAATTTCACACGCTGAGTTAAAATACAAACTACTGATTCTGTCAGGAGCCGAAAAGAGTTTTTGATCGAGAGAAATTTGTTGAAGGTGGATATTTTCGGGGAAGACATGATTTATAATTATTCTCGCTACCAATACAAAAACTTTAATATACAAAGAAACAACATTTACTTAAGTCAATCTCCACGAGGGTTAGAAATACTAGTTTTGAAGGTTATGCTTGGATAACTGTGCGATGACTTATATATACTTCAGCTGTAATATTTCTCGCGTCTAATTAATTTCAATAACTACCTGTTCTTCCTATAGACCGGATTTTATGTGATGCTGGAACAAACTTTGAGTCTCTTTGTCTTAACTCGTCGGGATAGCTATTCCTCTTGAGATGAATGAAAATATAACGCAAGAGCACATTTCTCAAGAAGACATATGAATAATTATGGAAGAATGGCAGCAGTAACCCAAAATTTTTCACATGCAAATTTTCAGAACATTTTCATTAACGACTTTTTTTGTGTGTGTTTCTAAACAGCCTGTTCTGGCAAAGGGCCTGTTTTGCAAAGTGCCTGTTCTGGCAAAATGCCTGCTCTGGCAAAGAGCCTGCTCTGGCAAAGAGCTTGCTCTGGCATCTTCTTAAAACTCTTTGCCTGAAGCATATTCTTGACACAAAGATGACTCAAATCATTTACGAACAACAGAGCAGGGACACTGACAACTTTTTTCGGTGTATGTTATCGTTGTTGTATTCTTTTGGTCTGTTTGTTTGTGGTTTTTTTTAATTTTCTACAATGTTTCTTTTTTTTTTGTTTTTGTATTTTTTTCTTACTTGTGTTAAGTCTTCTTGGCTCTCTTTTCCGTTTTTTCTCCCCTCCTTTTTGGTTGTTAGTTTATTTTATTTTGTTTTGGTTTGTTTTGTTTTGTTTTTGGTTTTGTTTCCTGTTTTCTTTCCTTTCGCGCTAGTTCACCTCGTAACTTCGTTTTGCTTCTTGTGTGTGTTCATTTTTTGCTTTTTATATTTGTACACTCGTTTTCTTTTTAGTGTTTTGGCTTTGTTGTTAAATGTTTATTTTCAATTAGTTGTTGTTTTGTTTTGTTTTATTTTGTCTTAAGAAACTAAAAAACTGATGCGTTTACCATTCAACGCACGAAAATAGTTCCATAAGGGTTTTTTACTCCTTCGATCTGATTAGCTTTAGAAGTTCCACATGGATCGTGGATGGGTGCCATGGAACCTGTACAGATATCGAAGAAATAAACCAAACTCCGTACATCCCTGTCAGCTCTCAGCTTTACACCACATTCGTTAATTCCAATTATAGCTGGCACAACATCAGCACATTTTTTAGTCCAACCGTTTATCATTCTGCAGGTAATATCTCCTTTAAGTCTTTCAACCAAACTACCTTCAGCCGGTATGCACGCAATCCAGTTATTGATGTTGGATTTGAGAAGAAATTCACTTCCCAATAATTTCCAAAGACTGAAATTCATAGCTCCAAAATCTGTCTCACTTAGAGGCACCTTTGTCAAAGACGAGGTTTGCGACACGAAAGGCCAGTTGGGGATTGGAGTTACGGCATTGGTGTCACTCAGGAAATTGTTGTAATCAGTGAAAGTATAGCTGTAAACAAGAGTCCAGCCGCCGCCATCAGTTTCCATATCACAATACGCTTGGAAAGCATTTGGGTTATCCTCATCTGGGTTAATCCAGTAAACATCTGTTGGATAACTAGGTATTAGGCGCTTAACCTCCATGCAAGATTTAACGGCGGTAGTGTTTTTCATGCCTACAGCTGAAACAGGAGAATGCAGCATATGTTAGTGCGATTTTGTTTTATTTACTGACTGCTTGTTTGTGGCTTGGCGTTTGGTTCATTGCTTCATAAGCATACTTTTCACATCCTAAAGTAAACTTTCATTCAATAGTTAGATCACCGTGTCTCATAAAGAGATCGCATCTCAGGGCTTACTTAAAACTCTGTAGATCAGCTAAGGTGCTGACGTAAAGATTTTTTTACCGATCAAGAGCTTCTTTATCTGGTGATCATTTCATTTATTATTGTAACCTAAATGTGTGATTCAGCGGTAATATCGTAAGGGAAAATTGGATGAAAATCCTTCTTGGGGGTCAACGGGTTAAGGGATTTGCTGACGGGGGCTGATTGATCGATCGATCGATCGATGAGGTCTAACGCGATCACACGTTCGATATTTGGTGATCTATCGATATACCGTTTGAATGATTGGATATTTCATTATGCTTTTGTTTGCTTGTTTGAAAAAATTGTAACAAGTGTAATCAAACCTTCACAATTCCCTTGAGTTACTCCAGGCTTACAAAAGCATCTTTCTCTATTGGAACTGTCCCGTTGGCAAACAGCATATGAAGGGCAGAAAACATCACCACACATTTCCTGTCAGAAACCACATGAGGAAAAGAGTTCGTCCTCTGTTCTTCCTTTCTGTCTCACTGCGCTCTATTTGTATTTCTTAGTCTTAAGGACAGCTAGGTTAAGCAAAAGCAGGCTATACAATGTAAAGTCCACTGAGATAAAATTCAATGTTAGATTTCATTCCTGACAAACATAGTTCCAAACTTTACTCTTCTGCCCTCGTCCTCTATTCTCAAAATTGATTTGAAGAAATGATGATATTTACCTGAGCTGTTTGATACACGAACCCGTCTCGAGGTTGTAAATCATCTGGGTGGGATGATGCATCTACGTCGTTTAGTTCACAAGTGAAGCCATGTACTCTGGCCAAGGAGGGACCATAGTTGTAAGAGAAGCAATTCTTCTCCATGTAACATTTCAGCTGGCAATGCTCCTCGTCTTCAACTTTGAAATCCACAATCACGTGGTTTGAAAGCGCAACACCAGATTTAGCATTTGTAAATCGGAGACTTCTGCAAATATCTTGGAAAATGAAAAGAATGCAATTATCATTGGAAAAATGATGCTTTAAGGATAAGTTTCCCACAAATACTGCAGTCTGTGTGATGTTCTCCCGTGGGAAAGCAAAAAATGTAAAAATGAAAGAAAATGCAGAAAAGAAAAATGTAAATGAAGTTCACGTGACCAAGTGACAACACGAACAGTCGAGTTGCCACGACAACGTCAAAGGAATTCAATTCCTAATTAACATATTTGATGAGGATCTTTATCGTTACTAACTACAAGAGTATCTTAATTTGTTTCTTCTTAATTTCCCATTGAGGGATTTTAATTTGTCAAGGTTGATTGCTGGTCGTTGCAATTCGTGTGGCTATGCACAAATGCCGTATATTTTAAAGAAACTTTTAGACTAAATAAGCCCTAAACTCCACCATTTAAAGACGGACATGAGAGAGAACTGTCTCTGGACCTTTTACTTGGTTTGCCTTTAAACAAACAAATACCATAAAACAAACCAAAAATTGCACAAATTCACTAAAATGAATATAAATCATAATTTTAGAAGTTCAAAATTTTCTCAAATACTTATAATTACTTGATGCAACAGTAGTTTCTGGAAGGCTATTTCGCCTATCGCATCGCCACTCGACTAGTGTTCTGATCACTTCTCTTACATTTGGACATCATCGCAAGAGCTACATAAGTGTATAAAGAGACATACCGCTCACGAAACCATATTTTGGCAATAACCAAAGAAGTAGTGATACCAGAAAGACCTCTTTCAACGCCATCAGGAAAGAATTGTCGTTAAGAGTCTTAAGAGAAACTATATCATAGCTGTTACCATTAACCGGGTAGTGACACCTTGCATGGCAGAATTTTGACAATTTCTATTTCAGTGTTACAGCGAAGATGAAAGGTGTGTTGATGGGGTCAGAGTCATAATGAATGTTATAATTACATCATTAGTTACTATGGCTATTGGAAAGCAATCAAAACTAAGCCATCAATAATTTATTACTTCTAGCGAAATTGCTCATTTGTATACGTATAGGACGTCCTTTCAATTGAATACTAATTAAAAACTCTCCTTTTTATTTATTTATTTTTTTTCGTTTTCGTTAATGATATGACTTTTGTTTGAACATCTGCTAGAACTTAGCCTCAATCCGCTTTGGAGTTGACTGCTATTCTTCTCCCTATGAATTATCAATGTGACAACATTCAGTTGAGCTGTCAACTCAAAAACACCATACATAATGACGCAACCTTATACCGAATCCCTTTGAATCTCGTTCAATCTCATTTGGGCATATCTTAGAGCAATTTAATTTCTTTCACACAGCTCTTTCGACAATGAATTTCATCTCATAATCTTTTGTTTCTTTAATTTGAGAGATATAGTCCGGCTAAAACAAATTAAATCAGAAATATCAAAATCACGAAAAGCGTGTCAGCAGAAAGTTAAGGAATATCTCTCAGTGAATGTCATCTTTATTCCCAAGTTTTAGGTGGGGAGTATTCGATCAGGCTTCGCGTTTCTCGAATTCAGGGGATACTTAGGGATTTCGTTTTCGTAGCATGAATTGGAGTATGCAAATTTGCTGATTCTCTCAAACCTCCCGCGGTATCTAAGCATGTATTGTCTTTCTTCTACCTTATCCAGACTTCAAATTTTCTAACTAGAAAACCGGACAAGTTCTTCGAAAAACACTGACATACCACCAAGGCCCAACAAAGACAAGAGTTCTAATCCCCAATTAGAAGTTTTAGCCCACCCGGCTGTCAATGGTATCTTTACATCTGCGAATCCGCTTAATTGTTTGCAAAACTTCGCAGTACGAGTATTTTCTTTTCTTTTTTGAGCAGATCCAGTGACAAGCAACTGACTGCTGATTTCACCCCTCTTGGTAAGGCTTCGTTGGAAAAAATTCTGTATGCCTTTTCTTGGGCACGATGGAAGGAAAATCGGTTATGGTCGATGGATTCCGTTGGAGAGTCGTTCCATCGGTCATGAAACTTAGCAGTTTTTCAGTGAATTTTCTGAGTTCTCATTTTAGATGAATTAACAAAAGCGATTCATTGAGGCATTAGCAGGTAGAGAAATGTTGCTTAGAGCTTGTGAGACTCCAAGAACCGTTCATGGGTCTCTTAGTCGACAACTTTAAATATTTCCAGAGAAGTCTTTTATCTATCATACCAAGAAATTAACAACAAAGTGAGGATTATTTTGACTTTCAGACAAAATTATTTGATAGTAGTAATCAGAAGGATTATGAATGTATGCTCAAACCCCATAAAGAGCTTTTCCTCCATAACTTAGGAAAAAAACTGGCTCCCCGTTGATAAAGAGTTTTCTGTGCGTCTATCGATAAGCTTATAATACCTCTGACTTATAAAATTACAGAGTTGATCAATATTGCCTATATATTCCTCTAAAGGATATGTCATTATTAGACTAGTTTCAGTCGAGATTAATCATCGGTATTTTTCAATGCACATTTTGAGATTACCGTAGGAGTAACAGCTTATGTATAATTCCGGCAAATCCGCAAAGATAAATATCACACCGGCTGTCGTGTCGGATCTTCTAATGGGTAATATTCATACCTGGGCCACCAAATAAGAATGCTGCCCGACAGAAATATATCTTTAGTCTCTAAATCATTGAATTTGTCCTATGAGATTCTCCGTTTTACAACCATCTTTATGTTTTACTGAGGAAATTTTGGACTCTGCCTCAATTTTTAACGTTCGTAAACCGCTGTGAAAGACTCTTTTAACAATTAAAACTCCCCAGCGATGCTGTTCGTCATTCCAATGTAGAAACGGCGGTTGTTAAAAATAATTCTTCAATCCAAGAGTTAAAATTCTGTGTCTTCGATAACAAGAACCTTAAACGTGCTATTGTCGATCGTATACTCCTCTACCGTTAATTCTTCTTGTTTGTGAAGAATTTGCAACAAAACGTTGACCATTTCGAATTTCGATGTGGTTCGCCTCAGTCCGGCTTCCGCCAAAGCCTTTTTCTCCTTGAGTTTTTGTTCCTCTTCACTGTCCAGGTAATTTGTTTTGCTCTTTCTCAGGGCACATTCTGTTTCTTGAAGGATTTTATCCAGATTTGTTTGGACTCTTGATATAGCATCGTGTTGGGCCTTTGAATTTTCCATAGCAACCTTCAGGATTAACTGTTACTCAATTGAACGAGATCTAATTGCTGTAATTGTTTGGTAATCGAGTCCTCGTCGTTGAAAGATGTCTCTTTTCTTCTTTTTTCCCAACGTCTTTGTCTACTGTTCTGTATCAGGCTAGATTCGTTTCACGAGAGAACAAAGATTCACTTGAAGAATAATTCTACCCTTGCTGCTTACATAAGCGACTCTCACGGAAATTTTATCTGCGATCGCCATGTAATCACATCATTATAATGATCATATACTACACCCTTGAATATTTTTAGGTCTTAAAAAGTTTTCTCCGATCAATCAGCATTCCACGAGTGACAGCTAAGGGTTGAAGGGAATTTTTTGCCGACCACACCAGGCTGTAGATTAGAAGCCGCAATTTAACCAAACTGGCTACAGAGCTTTCGAAATACCGCAAGCGCGAACAATGCAATGTAGCTGTTTTAACTTGCAACGCTTCGAGATGAATGCAATTTTTTTTTTCGCTTATCGGCAAAAATGAAAAAGCTTGTCAGACAACGGAAATATATTTAAGGGATAGAGATATGGAAGAGATAAGCCTTATTTTTATTGCATTTATTCTAAAAATACCCAAATAAATTACTTTAGCCGGATTAAGGTGTACGCGTCTTATAGGTATCAAATTTAGAATTTCTTTTCTGTGTCTAAATTTGATTCATACGAAATCCTGTTTGTTTCAAAACATGTACGTGTCGCAGCAGGCAAACTCAAAGTAGCTGACCCAATATGAGTCCTTTTCCTTGCTGGATTATCATGATAAGAATCTAAATGCAAATATCACTTTGCGCCTCATTATAGGGGGTTAAGGGGAGGGAGGGAAAGGTTAAAAGTGAAATAAACAGACCGGCCATGCAGTCGGACACGTCTTACGATGTTTCAAGGGAGGGGTGGAGGTATACTTCTCCTATAAAAAGTTCAAGAAAGTACTTTGCAGAAGTAATGAAGACGATGATCAAGGAACACCGTGCGTTGTTTGTGGTTTGTTCTTGATTTTTTGTGTTGAAGATGGCATTTGTCGATCGAAAACGGGGTCAGGATTTAAAAAAAATTTGGTGTCGTACCCCTATCAAGAATCTGAAAAATTCTCCCTCTCCCGAGGAGCTCTGTTCTTTGTGCCTGGAAAGAATAATGAAACGATTTCAAAAGAAAGAAGGAAAGAAAAACCTTGACACTAAAAGTCATACACGGAGATCGCACAGCAGAGCATTCTAACACTGGGACCCTTCTCCAAAATTTGAATTCCCAACCATTCTTGAAATCACTAATTTTAGACTGAACAGTAAATTTAAGTTACATACATACCCACCCTTAATCTTGGTGGTTTCAGGAAGTTTCATCTGATCAGGCATTTCATTCGGGAAACTTTGGCTCTAAATTTAAAGTTTACAGAAGGACGTTTGTATGTTTAAGACAATGGGGGGAGGGGTGCACTGTATAGATATATTGAACGCCCCTCCTACTAAATTAACAAGAGGAAAAAAAAAAAAAAAAAAGAGAAGATATCTAAGAATTTCGAAGAGGTTGGAAGGAGTTTAACTATGACGGATGTGATGTTATTGACGTCAAATATCGCCCATCTACCCGACTAAGGATTACGGTTCACGGTGGGAATCCCTGACAAGAATAAATCTCTTGCGTAAAGCCCTTGATTTTGAACTCAATCCGCATTAATGTTTGCTAGGTTTTATTTACTGAATCCCTACTCTACGATATATTTTTTCTTCCTCGTTCGTTGTGAAAGGTAAATAATATTACCATAGTTCCCTAGTGAAAGAGCGAGTGCTCGGCCTTCTTCCGGGAAGTATGTTTTCGCTCAATGATATAACATCCTTCGATTCTCGGTAATGTTTTGTAGAAGACCTACTGGCAATTGCAATTTCAGACATTCCGCCTTCGTCTTATTATGTCTGGCTATTTTACCATTTCACTCTTTCAGATCTTATTGCTTATTCTTCTAACTGTCTACCACATAGTTCTTATGATGTTAGTTAGAAGAATTTGATAGTAAATAATAATCCCTATTTGGCATGCATATTAACGAAATCTCATTGTGTTATTTTTCACTATGACAGTGCAAGGTGTCGGTTAAACATAACTATTTACAAGAGAATATAAATCTCTTGCTATCTATCAAATCCTAAAAACGTCTCCATTGGAACTGAGTGCCGTCACATTCAGCCAGAAGAGAATTATTCAGCTATTATTTAAAATAACAAGAGATTATGACCTTTTCTCTTCTCTGTTAAATTTTCTTGAAAATGGACATCATTAAGTTAAGATTTGCTTCACCATTTCTGGTTAATCCATTATTAAAACCTTTTCACAATGAGCGGGAGCAAGTTATCCCATACTCTCAAAACATCTTTTTCGACGTTAGCACGATATACACTTTAATTATAGCTCTGGTCTGTTTCTGGCTGGTCCAAGAAGAAATTTGTATTCACGCGCATCTTAAGAAAAACGAGCATTAATAGCAACTCATAATGTTTAGGGCTTCCTGCAGGAGTTTGGGCCAATCACACCGGTCGTGGCAAATGAGAGTTCCGTTTTAAAATAACTGATCTGTTCAGTCAGTTCTTATGAATCGGACTCAACTCAAGTCGACTGGGACGAGTCAGCTGACGAAAGGCAGTTTACGGTACATCGCGTGAAGGACTGAAACGAAAAACAGGTCACGCTTTACGTCATGTCATATCGCAATGATAACACAACTTTTAAGATCCACCATATGGATTTTTAGATTGCTTTAAGGACCTTTAAACCTTTGGAAAGTTTATCAAAAGTGACCGATAAGTCTCCAAGTCTCTGGATAGGATGACTTGCATCTTTGAAATACCGTATTAAGCATAACGTTTGATAACAGACAAATTTCAGTTTGGAACCAAGGGTTGCCGCAAACTTTTCAATCAAGGTCTCAACATTTTTTATTTAACCGAGTTTTCTCGTCGGAGAAAGGCTTGCATTGGGGAGAAATCTTTACTCAAGAGGAAATGCTGACATGAGCAGCACCTTTTAAATTTTTCTCAAAAATCGTTTGGGAAAATATTAAAGAGAATCGAGCTGTAGAAACGAGATGCACAAGTTATCATATAATTGAAACTCACCATTATCTTATAGGCTTTATCTGTTAAGCATAGGTTCTTTAACAGATTGATGCAAAAAGTTTCGTCTCTTCCCGCACACACACGCACAAACAAATACGAGAATGAGCTACATTTCTTACTAATGACAGCTTAAGATAAACAGAGCTTGTTTGTGAAGGTCAAAGTTGAAACATAAACCATCTGTAGCGTGTACATTCGCATACCACAGTCAAAATCCACTCAACCTTGTATTTTCCTTGACTTAAGCACTGCCGTATGTTTTGTTTCTTGAAGCAACACCGCTGTGTTGTAGATGACAGGTTCACTTGAATTAAAGAAACGTTTTACCACATTTACATGGAGTAGATATGTAACAATTGAAGGTTACAGTTTTTTCGGGGGGGGGTCTTTTTTTTTGACTGATGATAACCAGAAGTGGCGTGACAAAGTGGTTATATCAGTATATTTCCAGAGAGTATTCATGCGAGAAAAATTCAGGGTTCCATTTGATATCAATCACTCAGTCCGCAGGGTTAAAAGGCCTTATGATACTCTACTTATTGTAAACCGCAAATAACTATCATTTCTTGTCTGCAAACTTTATCCTCCCCCATTTCTTTTGTTATCAATGTCGCCGATATCGGTGCAATGTCCTAATTTCAAATCGCCATTGTTGTCCTGAACGTATATACAACTATGCCGTAAATTCCTTATTGCAAGATGATGTCCCAATTCTCCGCATGTCATAGTTCCGTGTCCTCCAGAACGTGAACCTTAAATGTATATCCGTTCATGGTATACTCCTTAACAGTTTGGACTTCTTGAACTTGTAATATCTGCACTAATAAATGGGCTACTTTGTCAATTTTTGCCTTGTTGTGTCGCGGAGCGTGTTCATTGTACAGTTCTGTCAATTCGTTGAATCTTGAGCTGGATAATTTGGCAAATTGCTGTTCCCTGCTTTGTCTTGAAGAGCCGATCTTTGATAATCGCAGAAAGAAAGCCGCATTTTCTAAGCTGGTCTTTAAGTTCGAAGAGGGCATCCTTGCCGATTACATATAAAAAAAAAACAGACCTTCTGTTTCTCAGAATTGACGGTGAAAACGTCCTTGTCCTTGAGATTTTGCTCTGCTTGAATCGTTCACTCTAGTCGTTTGCTTCGACGTCTTTCCTTTGTCAAATTTGAAAGCTATGCGTGCATTTTTTCCTGTCTCTGTCTCTGTCTCTGTCTCTGTCCACTTATCTCGTGCAGATCATCATACGTTGCATCTTGACAGAGCTGAAGATTTGATCTTGACCCCTGTCAAAGAAAAGGAGCTTTTTAGGTTTTACCAAAATCGATTCCCTCAAGATTTGTTTTTCTCGAGATTGCTATCACTACATGACATCGATAATTGCTTTGTAACACAGCCGGAAAATTCCGAAACACCATTGAAACGTACCTTCTTGTTTGCAAATGTCGACGACCTGTTTTCAGAATAGGCACCTTAATTGTAAGAGTATACGAGTAGTTGCGTGAGAGCTTGTAACAAGATTCTGTGGCTTACCACCAATGAATAGAGCTTGTTTAGGAAAACAAAACAATTGGAAATTAGCACTGGCGGACTTCAAAGTTCAATGATATCATTATCCAAGCAGAACCCTTTATTAAAAGTCCAGCTGGAAGTTCATGTTTGACTTTGTTTGTTCCGTTACCCTTGACATTTAATATCAGGATACACGTAGGCCACGTTAGAAAGTCTGTCTTCCGAGAATATAAGATTACTACAGCAAATGCGTTCACGGAAACATCCGATAAAGGAACAGAAAAAAATGAGTGGAATTTTTTAATTGATCGCGAATCATTGTGTATAGTAATAATAAGCTAAACATTAATCAGTACAAGCATTATCAAAACATACCTGGAGGCATTGAAGCAAACAGTACTGCTGTGAATTTGGAGCAAACACAAGCTAGGTTTTTATAGTTTTGAACAATTCAAAGGCAAACGAAAATCCCTAAGTTTTTGGCAAAAGTATAAACGTCATACATAAACGATAGCACTGACCGACTTAAAAAAACTGTATTAGTCAACTTGTTTACTTGAGTTAGAATGCAGAAATTCGCTAAATATAGTTTTGAATTAGGTAGGTAATTATCTTTATATAGAAAGAAATACAATAGGCAGGGTTCAAACGTAATGGAAATTTTGGGAAGAAGGCGGTTGTTTACGATGCACAACTTTCCTACTTGCAAAGAGATATGAAAAAAATGTTCTCTTTTCTTTTCTTTTCGTGGAATTAATTGCTTATACTTTCCAAAAGAGGTCTCCCTCTTTTAGTTTAGACTAAAACTCTATTTTCTCAGTCTCGCGATCAACGGTTCTGTCTAGTCACACAACTCTCGACATTTTCTGAAGTGTTGTTCTGACGAAGCTCCATCGTACAACTAATGGTATTTCTAAGGATTTTTTTTCTTTTTTTGTAGGAAAAGAAAGCTAGACAAAAGTAGCCAAACTGCCAGAAAAAACGCTTTTTCTCTTTTGCGATTTTCGTTGGTTAGTCTTACCTGGAGGCAAGACTCGCATAAATATACTCGACCCAGGCCCTTAACTACGTACTGTCCAAAAATACGCGATATCAAAGGATTTAATTACCCTCCCTTGAGACGCGCGAAAATACTTCGGTGGCATGCTATTCTTAGGATGGATTTGTGACGTGTTAAGGCCTTCCGCTGTAAACATTCGACTTATCTTACCCGTCACTCCCTTACACAAGAACCGTCAATTTTAACACGTACGGTCGAACACCTATGAAACGGCAGTGGAATGGCAGCTCTATCGGTGCAAGTCAAAACCAATCTGGTAAGCTTGACGCCGTAATAATTCCTTTTAGATATTGACTTTTCTGTATCAGAGACTGTGAGCTTTAACCAGCTAGATTATTCTCAAATATAAACACTAGCAATAGCAATTTGGTTTAAACAATTTATTTGTAGGATTGTCAAAAATAGTGCTCTGACTAAGAAATAACTTCGTGGATATCGATAAAAGTCGACTTAAAATGTCAATTACTAATGTCCTTCTCTTACTCTGTGACATTGCATGGCGACTTTGTCATGATAAACTCTAAAACGTTCAGGAACGTGACCTCGGCTTAACAAATAAGTAGAGGACTGGATGTCCTGTCACATAAATTAGCTTTCCTTTGTATTACCCGCCTGTTTTGCTCTTTTCGTTGTTCTTTCGTTTCTCTTCTTTTCGTCAATTTGCATATTTTCTTCGTATCCTTGAGTGTTCAGTCGATTGTCGGCAAAGCGTGACATGTGTGACATTCTATCTCAACTTGGCATCACATGTCAACGCTGTCTTGCTTCACACCGCATTTTTAAATGCGGAAAAGCTATAACAAGTATTCCTGAGTAACTCTACTCTCTGTATTGCAAGTGCCGGGAAATTATTTAGGAATTATTACTCTCCCAGACTACACCCCTTGTCTAGTGAATAACACAACAAAAATACCCATCAAGCAGGACATTTTAAAATTTCGAAGGAAAGTTGCAATCGTGGACAAGTGTCCTCGAAGTTTTTCATCGTTATTGTACTACTTTTTTACAACAATTCGCGTGAATGCAGGAACAAAGGGAAAAATTTTTTGAACCGAGGATAAAGTAAAACAGCGGCATACGTTATTTAAAAATAGAGGTTACAACATACTTTACTAATAAGTACTTATAAGAACGAATAAGTTCGGTCCATCAAGGTTTTTTTTCTCTTTTTTTTTTCCGCAAACTAATGCACTTTGTAGTCTTTGAGTTCCGAAACTAATCCTCTCAATGCCACGGGGCCACTTCTCTGTGACAAGATCGAGTATGGCAGCCCGGCTAACATTTTTAAAACAGCGCAAGCAATCGATCAGTTAATAGATAATCACTTTACTACTCTATTTATTTTATTAGAGGCATATAATCTAAATTAAGAGAACTCATTGCATCAGTGATCGAGGGAAAGTGCTAGAAATTTCGCAGATTCAAAGAATCATTTTTGAAGACTACCAAAAACCGTTAGGGAATTTTTAAAAAAAGTGAGTGTGATTTCCGCTAAAATTTTACTGTTTTCACATATTTTGATCGCTGCAACCTGAAATTTCTTTTTCTCGATCAATTTTAGCTCTGTCAGCATTTGTACTTTAGGTTCTATAGGGAATGTGCTGGGCTCGTATCTTTTTGTGTCCTCATCGGCTTTTAGAGGACCTATTTGCATATGACGTCACAATTGTCACGGATTTCTTTGATGCTGCTCTGCATTGCAAATATATTTTCTAGAGCATCGTACAAATTATCATTCGCGAAGCGACGCTGTAGTTACAAGCGTTAGATCAAAGGAGCACGTCACTTTGTCAAAGAAGTAGCGAACTCGATCAGTCCAGTTGAAGAAAATGGTGAGTCAAAGATGATCAAATGCTTTCCTTTTAGCATTCAGGTGTTCTTGTGAAGTGAAATTATATTTCAATAACATTTCGTACATTAAAACGAGACACAAACAGCAATCATTTCGAAACGCAGTCCATCGAATTCTTGCAGCAAAATTTAAGAATTATATTAATCTTTCCCTGTTTCAAAAAAAGGCGACACAAAGCTGACTTAATCGAGAGCATTTCACAAAAAGTTAACGCTTCTTTCGTGAAAATTTTGCCTCCTACATCTTTATGTGCTTCAGTGGTTGCTGCAGAATTTTTATCCACCATTGAAGTAATATGCAGCTAAAAGCAGCAGATGAAAAGACAGTTTACGGCGTAAATTTTGCTTCTGAAAATATATAACTAGAAGCAAATGGTTTTGAATCTTTAGAGTCTTACAATTTAAATTTCCTTTAAATTCGTGGATGAAAGTTCGCCAGAATCTTCGAGACGAAAGGGCGTTCAGACGCTTGTAAACAATCAGAAAAATCCCTTGAATATTTACCAATATTAGCTTTAATTCTTTTTGTTTCTACTTGTTTCATTAATTAATCTTAAGCAAATTGCAGGACGAATCCGCAAAAATAGTTAAATTTGTACAATTTAGATGGATAAAGTTTGTTTGGCGAAGTAAGTTTGTCCACTAACTACACAAAATATTTGCATAAGTCGGCATCGTTCGTCACGCAACAGTGCTTTTCAATGCAGTTAAAATTGGTTTTTCAAAACAGAACCCCGAAAAAAACTCCTGTATATATTCTATTCATGCCTCGTCGATTCGCACCTCATATTTTCTGCTTATCACTTCAAGGAGAAGAAACTTCGAGACAACTTCAATACTGCTTGCAGTTTATGCAAAATTTACAAACACACCCATTGCGGTTAAAAAGTCTTGTTCAATCAGGCATTTATTTCTCTGCTGAATGATTTCGGCTTTCCAATATTTAAAAAACAAAACAAAATTTCCACTTGATAGCACATGAGTCGTGCAAAACAAGGCGGGGCAAGAGTGTACGACTCTGACAAATCGATGTCGCATTCTTCAGAGCCATTCACATAGTAGAATCAAATAGATTGTCAGGTAATGACGAATATTGGCACTTTAAGGTGGCACTTTCCATTCTGGCCTCGCCGACATTAAAAGATATGCAAAAGTGGATGTATTTAAATCTACCTAAAATCCAAAATGCGGAAAGGCAGGGAATACTTCTGCAGTTATTTTTGTACTTTTAATGATAATAATGTTATTAATTATAATGCTAAATAATAATAATAATTTTAATAGTTTTAATAATAATAATGATAATGATAATAATACCTGTAAACCTGTAAACATTGAATATAAGCTACTGTAATAATATCTTAAGTGGAGATTCTAATGCTTGTAGCAGTAATAGAAGGAAATTAAATTGTTGAAATAAGTAAAATGTTCCTGAATACTTGATTTCATTGACTTTCATGCACACTTAAGTAAGGTATTCATAAAATGATTAACTATTACTCAAGTGTTTCTTTACACTGCGACAAAACGTGCTATAGTCACTGATGTTAATTCCTCATGGATGTTGGGATTTCATTAAATCTGCAGTTGCTGTATGCTGAAAAGTTTGGCCAATGAGGGTTTCATTATCTGAGACATATAGTTTTGTTTTGCACTGTAATCAATACTGAGCTAAAATAATTTGAGCTGACTTCAATAGTTTTTAGAAAGTGAAAATTTGCTGAAAATTTGTCGTTGCCTTTTAATTTGGAGGTAATGAACCAAGTGATGGTAAAATTGAACAATGAAAGCTATCTAGATAAGAATTTAACCAACTGTTTCACCTCGTTACCCACAGAAGCAAACGTTGAATCGAAAAACTATTTATAAAGTTTGTACGGTGACAGCAATTAAATCCATTGTTTAATAAAATGGGATTTTTATTACTTCAACGCCTAAAAACGTTTTTTGTATTGAAATAGTCGTCAAAGTATGAATTTTGAAAGTAACTGGTGTTTCCTTTTGTATCATCTCTCAGGCCAAGTTCAGCGAGAGGGAGAAGAAACGTAAGTAAAGTAAAAAACATGTTTTAGACAATGTAAGCGCAAACTGCAAAGTTACTTTTACAGTCATTTCTATCGCGAAACAGTAATTCAAATTCATTTTCTTTAGATAACACTTCTTGGCTTATCTGTTCAACAAAAAAAGTTTTAGTTGACTCATTTTGTGTATTGTTTCAATCACAACCAGATTTCCGTGAGGCCTTCGAACTCTTTGATCACGATGGCAGCGGTTTCATCACCACTGACGAGATTGGAGTTGTCATGAGGAGACTGGGACAGAATCCGTCCCCATCGGAATTGGAAGACTTGATCAGGGATGTGGATGCCGATAGTAAGTGAAAATTTTGATACTCTAGCTCTGTCTAACACATTTGCAAAACCAGTGACATGATACAGAAATAAAGACAAAAGAACAGTCATGTAAAAAAGAACATATTTCCATTTTCAACGCTCAAAGCTTACCATCTTTATTAATCCGTTCAGTCTCGACGCTGTCGATATGGCTGATCCTAGCATTATTAATACCCTAATTCATCCGTCATAGTTTTTAGAAAGTGTATTTAAATATATAAATATTTGATTTGATTTCTTTCAAAGAAACTCCTGTCGGCTGAAACTCTTTTCTATTGTTCTTCATTTTCCTCGAGAGGGCATATTCCTCAAACCGCTTATCAGCGGACTGAGAAATGTTTTGGAATTACTTATTGAAATTCAGGAACTGTGATTGTGACCATTAAACTTGCATTTTAAAAGATTAACCTACCGAGTTCCTATTTATGAACTCATTATCGACCAATCAATATATAACTTAACGAGTCTTCTCATTCATTATTATAGACAGTGGCCACATTGACTTCAACGAGTTTCTAGTCATGATGTCTCAGACAAAAGAGAAAGGTCAGCAGGCGGAATTGCGCCAGGCCTTTAGGCTCTTTGATGCAGACGATGATGGTTTCATCACATTTGAGGATCTGAAGAGAGTTATGCGTGTCACTGGAGAAAGTTTGTCGGATAAAGAATTGAAAGACATGTTCACAAAGGCAGATATTAACAAGGATAGCCTTGTTGATATGAAAGGTAAAGTTTGTAGTTTCTGAAAAAGGTATACACAGATAGGGTTCAGAAATAGGAAGGTAGTATTTGGTCACTTTAGCTTGTGAGCAGGCCGTCATTATAAGCGTAGCAGGCTGCACGTTTCACCGCCTGTGGGAAGGTTTGAGTCGAGTCGGGAAGAGGTTTTGCCGGAAGTCTGGAACTAAGGAGTAAGTGCTAGACCCCTCGCAGACCTGTCAACTGTTCGCGTTGCTTTAAGTCTCATAATTTCCCGCGGGTTGAGAAATGTTCATGCTGAAGCGCCAATAATGGGGGTCTCCTCTCAGGCTAAGGCCAGTTAGGCGGTATTGTCTCTCGTGTATCTTACAACCTTACCGTGCTAATTTTGCTATCTCGCTCAACGCCAGAACGATAGAGTAAGGCGTAGATCACCAGAAATAAATGTATACCATTTCCTTTATCGAGACCACTTCGGCAACTGTATGCTTCATGTATCTGTATATGAGCCCTCCTCGACGTTTGAGCTTCGATCAGGCCAGCTATACATGGTGCGTAACGCATTCCAAATCACCTCCCCCTTGCTCGAGATCGATATAGCGAAGCACAACAACGTCGTTGCTTAGCAATGTTTTTCATCATAGTTTTTATTTATTTTCATTTTATTATTTTTCCTATCTTTCTGCAGAGTTCACCAGGATTGTGAGCAACGACTAAATGGACTTCTGTGCCATAAATTTAAATAAGCCAATGAATGATTTGCAGTTTTTGTCTTGTCAAACTGCTGAGTTCAAATATTGCTAAGGTTTAACACTCGTTTGAATGCATACGTACCTTTTGTTTTGTAATCAATCAGGCTTTGCCTGTTTAGAAAGCCGGGGTTAGATGAAATATTATAAAGGCTTGATGTTAGCGATGTTAAAAATAAAATACTGCTTTGTGTTTCCATTCTGGTTTCTTTTATCTTAAATAGATTAATCGGACTTGTATGTTCAGTCCTAGTGGCGGTTCGATGCTTAAGGTAATGAACCCTAACTCCCAATCGAGATGGATTTTTGAATTCTCCTTGCAATTTCGATACATTGTTCTCCTCTCCCTTCTTCGCTCTATTTTAAGATATCAAAGTGGTAATTCAGTGTGCGACAGGCGCACAGTGGAAGATGGGAAGGGCTTCTCCGTCGCCTTGGTAGTTCTAGTCCTAGTCTCCCGATCGAAGCCCCAGAGAGGTCTGAGGACGAAACAAATTATCCATCAAATACATGATGCACGAGAATTAAAAAAAAAAAAAAAAAAAAAAAAAAAAAAAAAAGAAAAAAAAAAGAAAGTGATGAAACTTATAAGCGAAAGAGTGTTGTCTTGGCAAAACAGAAAATTTTCCGAGCTGGTTTTTCGAGAAAAAGAAAAAATTTAGGGGAGAGTTACTAGTCAGATAGCGAGCTAGGAAAAATTGAGATAACACTTTGACTGATTACTACTAACGTGAATGGCAGCTGCGTTTCCTAAGCAGACTAGCTGAGAAGTCTTAAATCTGCATAATTCCACGTCATTTTTTTTGTGGGAAAACCTTACACTGAATTTGTAAAGAAAATGTGTTTTACAGACACAATGCCCAACACGAAACTTTAAAAAACATATTTTTTCTTAGTTTGACTTACATTCTGTCAAAACAACATTAATTATTCAACATGATATTGTTGAGTTACAAAAAAAAAAAAAAAAAAGAAAAAAGAAAAAGAAAAAGAAAGAAAAAAAGAAATTGATGTAACTTATTAGCGAAAGAGTATTCTTGGCAAAAGAGCAGATTATCCGAGCTTTTCGAGTTAAAAGGAAAAAATTTAAGTTTTATAATTATCCAAGCATGCATGCAGTGAAAAATTTGGCAAACCTATGAATGCAATAGGCGTGTATCAGTAAATTTCCGAAATTTCATTGCAACTTGAAACATGTTCGAGACAACCAGAATGGTCCCTTCTGCCGACGTTTCTAGAACCGCAAATTACCGTAAAAAGATATGGATAGAAAGAAAAGAACAGCGTTTTTTTTCAAGAGATCATCGCACCGTAATGATGGAAATTTTGGCAGCGAACCACCTAACTAGGCATGCAAACAAACTTTTTGTCATATGGACGTGTGCTCATTAATATATTTATAATGTCTCTTTTTGTGATTATCAATAAGACAGATATCAGCTCGATTTCCATTTTGACACCTGCACCCAAGAGTTACTGACCACAATCTGTTGTACGGAACCTACCTCTTCCCGGACAATTTTATTGCAACATAATGGTGAGTTGCTGAATTGTAACATGCCGAGTTAGATTTATTATTTAGTGCACAATTGTGGAGGCCAGACAAGAGGAATACTTTTGGCGTGAGCATTTACGTTCCTCCTTGCGTTTTGTAACTGATATGGCTGGCGGCTAGTACTATAGAATTTTTTCAGAGCTACTTCCATAAACGTTGAGGGTCTCTAAGAACTTTTTTTTTCTCTTTCACTGACGCGAAACGAAGACAACACCGTTTTCCCCTTCACGTTTAGAATTGAGTAACAGAAGTGCTGTGTTAGCGGAAATGGACGCGTGGTGAAAACCTTACTGCTTTGTGACAGAATGAAAATAATGAAATTTTTTTCTAAAGAATCTGTTGCCGTGTTTCAAACTTTACCTGGGTCGTTTTTAAAGGATTAAGACATCCTTAAAATCTGCATTTCTCGTTTTATGTATGTTTAATTTAAATATGATTTTATGTTAACTTGAGACGGACGATGTTTTTTAGTGTTAAAGTGGATACTCGTTTGATTGATAAGTTGTTTTCAATAACGTCAAATAGCCCCTTTCGCTATATGCTTTAATTAGAAAGATTCTCGAAAAGCGCTGCTCTCAACCATATTATCATAGTTTGACTTTATATTAAAGACCCAAATTAACGCTTTTTGCCTCTGACATACAACAATTCTGCTAAACACTCACTTTAAATTATTTAGCAACAATCATCAAGCCGTCTTAGGAAAAAAATTGTGCGATGTTTATCAATTATAATTGTTGCTGTGGCTGTATTGTCTCACTGTATGTCCGTGACACAAAGAGAACTTTATAGGATGTTCTGGACATCAGTTTAACTAAAAAAAAAAGCGTGAAATTGAACAAAAAAATCGATCTCAACGGACAATTCCATCACATGTAACTTGTAACTTACGGTCCCTCGTTTTACATGTCCACACTTATAACAACACTAGCTGTGAAACGTAAATTTGGTTGGATTATTCAGCCACAATATTTTGGCTCTGCCTTATCTCCAGGTTGTGACACTAATTGCGAGTTTGTTAGAAATTTTAACCGGTTATCTCATCAGCGAGTCACGTTATCTGTTTATCGAAATAGTAACCATGCTGTTAGCCGGCTGTTGGTAAAATACTGTAATTAGCATGCGATGACAATGAAAATTTTAGAACTCTTTTTCCAGCCTTAGGGCGAATTCGAATTCAATGGCCCATACAGCAGGAGTCCAATGAAATGAATTATTTCGTTCATTTGTTTTAATCCCTCTTTGTTCTTCTGTTTGATTTGTTGTTGTTGTTGTTGTTTTTACTGTGATTTGCTAAATTTTCTTTTCTTTTCTCATTTTTCCCCTTCTTTTCATTCGTTATTTTTCGCGACGCAGAAGAGAGAATATCTTTTATTTTTTTTTATAAATCAACTCAGTCTTTATTTTTCATTTTGCCGTGAAACTCTATCGTTGTAATGGAGACGAAAGCTGAACTTCATAGAATTTGTTTCCATAGAAGTGTAAACAAACGTTTTGCTTTTCTCTGGTAGGCTGAAAATTTTACCGAGGAGGAGGTCCAAGGTAAGTTCGCCAAGTGTTCATTCACGATCCATTCATCTATCCATCCATCCATTCATGTATCAATATGTCTGCATGTATCCACCAGTCTGTCCGGCCGTCTAAAAGTATGTCTGTACATCCATCCGTCTGCCTGTCTACCTGTCTGTCTTTCAACCTATCTTTTTGCCTATTTAAATAAATTCATTGTTTTGTTTGACTAGAGTATAAAGAAGCATTTCAGCTGTTTGATAAAGATGGCGGTGGTACCATTAGCATCAAGGAATTGAAGCAAGTGTTCGAGGCGTTGGGTCAACATCCTTCTGAAGAAGAAGTGCAGAAAATGATCTCGGAGGTCGATGAGGATGGTGAGGTTAAGTGACGTATATATATTACCGAGAGGATTGGGGAGAGGGCTGGGAGTTCAGTTGACACTTACAATCAAGCGACTGTGGAGCGCTTTTCCTTAGTACTTGGCTCATATGAAAGTTATCCGGAACATGACAGTTTTGTCTTCGATGTGAAGCGTAACTCTTTTGATTTAGTCTAGATTTAGTCGATTAGGGTTTAATCGGCAGGATCAATTTCTAGTTGAGAGTCCAAAGTAATCTATGATTGCTTTGGTTTTGCTTAGGTTTTGTGATTAGTATTCAAAACACTTCACGCTTTTAACCAATCGGGTTTTGCTTTACTAGACCCTTTAATTGGTTAAGAAAATAGTTGCCTTTTATCCATTTCGTTTTCTTTCTTTCTTTTTTACTTTTTTGTTCTTAAAGTACCATTGTTTTTTGTTTTTTTCACTGCGTTCGTTTGTCCTGACAAAATTCATCGAAGCGTGCTCTAAATTGCGACGGGCACGCTAAAGAATCAAATACATTTCAAGAACGGTTGCCTAGTAACAATGTATAGTTGAAGTAGAACTTAATTATATGCTATATACTTGTACATTTGTCTAAGTATTCCTTTCTATCCTCCAGGAAGTGGCGAAATAGATTTTGAAGAGTTTCTAAAATTAATGGCAGCCAAGCAAGCAAACATGACAATGGAAGATGAACTAAGAGGTGCATTCAGTGTCTTTGATAGAGATGGAAGTGGATACATCTCATCACAGGAGCTTAAACAGGTCAGCGAAGAGCCAGCCTCTTTCTATCCATGAGTTACCGGAAATTGTATTTTCTTTACTTTCTTTTCAGCCATCAACAGAAAAAAAAAACTTTTGCAGCAGGAGATTATCATAGTTTACAATTTATTGTCAACAATTAATCTAGTCACTTGCTGAGTCATCTCCACTGACTCAGCAAATGACAAGGGAAACTAGTGTACGTACGCCTTCTCGTACGTTGCTATTTGAATACGTCAGTTCAATCAATTTTTCTTTTCTAATTCTATTAGTTCTAATTCCTCTGGCTTAGTGTTACTTATAGTAGCCTGACTGTCACTATAAGGATATCCTGTTAGACCGAATTACATCAATAGGTTGGGTTACTCTCGCAGCATTCATTTGCACATCTTCAAAACGATTTTTAGGTCTTAGAGAATCTCGGCGAGTCACTGACTTATGAGGAGGTTGACGAGATGATGAAGGAAGCCGACCTGGACTGCGACGGACAAGTCAGCTTTGACGGTAAGAAGGACTTCCTTTAGACAGGAGCGTACGGTGAAAACATCAACTATTAAGCAGTCATGTCTGTCGGTCATGCGCAAATCATTTTAGCTTGGTTTACCATTGGTTACACAAATACGTGAGTATTGTGTACTGCAAATGTGTTTGAATTATGTCAACTCTACTCTTATGAGCTCACTATCTGGAATCGAACTCAGAAATACATTTCAAGCTCCAATGGCCAATCAGAACTAGCCAAAATATTTCAAGAAGGTAACGCAAACTCGATCAATAATCAAGCAAACCACAAGAAATGCGGGAAAACGCACGTGACTCAGATGCCGATGGGTTTCAGTTTTGCATCTGATTGGTTAAGAGACATGGTGGCGTGAGTTTTCTCGAACCAATCACATAGCGAAATAAAACATATTCGATGCAATCATCGATTACTCGCGACCCTCATTTGACATTTACCCAAGGTTCTCTATCTTGGCACAATCAAATTTGGGAGAAACTCAGAATTGCTGCTGCAAAGTACCACCTTAAAAGAAAAGAAATGAGTCTCATTAGGTACGCTCTGCAGGTCGTTAAATCCAAGGTCTTTCTTATCTTAAGGTAATTGACTGCTTAACTGTAGGTTATTTTAACTTAGCTTTAAGGCAAAGCGTTTAATTTGTTACGTTGTTTCTTTTCATTTCAGAGTTTGTGAAGATGATGAGCAATGTCAACAAATAGAAACAGATGATAAATTCTTTTCCTGCCAAATTTCTGTTTGCCTCATATATATGTGTGTGTGTGTGTCTTTTGTTTGGGTGTTCTTGTTTGTGTTTTCACGTGTATGTGTGTATGCAGGGGGGTGAAGCGGAAGGAGGTGCTTTTACCCTCTCTTCTTGTCTTCTAGTTAATGGCTGGTCACAGTGCACTGCAGCTGTTATACTCTCTTCTACAGATAATTATGGTTTAAGACAATAAAGAACAATTTGCCCAATGTAGTTCTGTAAAAAAGGATGAAAACTTAGTAGATAGTTGTTAAAAATTTAGACGCCTTTCGTGAGACACGTTGTCCTCGCTTCTGACTTGGGCGGTGACCTCCTGAAGGAAAGCACATTATATGAAACCTTCGATTTCAACATCGAAGATAAGTCGAGATACGGTGCGTTAGACACGATTGTTGATTCATGCCTTTTAATATCTGTCTTGATATTCAGAAATTGGACTTTTCCGGAGAATTCTTTGAGCGAACTTGAAAATTACTGGTTTTTGTACGAGCTCTTGATTGAACACTTTTAGCAGTGCCAGGAATAAAAAAATTACCTCAAGGAGTTTACTCGAGGATGTCGATATCTTTTCCACATGTGGAGGACTTTCTCAGAAGAAGGGTTTCACAATTTTACAATTTTGAAAATGAGGGGCTTGGGACCGATGGACCATTTTCAAATTATAACAATCCTCACTTTGAAAATGAGGCAAATTGCAAAACATATCTTGTGGAACTAGATATAAACAAAAAAAAAACATTTTAATATCAAAGGCTTTACAAATTCCCTTGAGAAGCTTTCAAACAGAGGTTTGATTGCACCCCTTCAGAAATGGCCCATTGCCAAAGAATGGACAAAAACTTTTTGTCTGACAGCAACATTTGACATATAGATTATTCATTCATTGGAAGGTCAGAATAAAGTTAAATCTCATAAACATAACCGAGAATAATCTGATATGGAAATATACAGCCAACAGTTGTGCTGTTTCTGATTACAAACCTAAAAGGAATAAAATGTCTGGTCATGGAAGTTAGCTCAAGTGCCCTCAATTACAACAACAAAACAAGTCACTTGAGTTAATGAGGTGTATGTGTTTCCAGAGATAAAATGAGTTTTACAAAGCCTCAGAGAATATTATTTTTTGTGAAATAGAAAGAATTTGCACATAATTTCTCATCTTGGTGAAACATTAGTGTCACTGAAATCCTCTGAAAACTTGAATGTGTGCCAGTGTACTTGAACAAACATAGAACCCACAGAAAGCAACCTTATGCCTGAGGCTCTCACTGAAAATCACCTTTGTTAATTGGGTTCCCTCATTCAATATCATTATTACTGTATTAAGTTCACAACTCCTTTTCAATAAGGTGTGTAATATTTATTGTGACAAAAGCAGTTTGGAATAAATAACCATGATAATGACATTTTTCTTCACCCTGGTAACACAAGTGAATAAAAACAGGAGTTTTTAACTGGACTGAAAAAAAGGAGAATTTGTGCATTTTTTTTGTTTTTGTTTTTGTTTTTGTTTTTGTTTTTGTTGTTCTTGTAAGTTTCTTTTCCCCTCTTGAAGGAACTTGTGTTTGTGAATCTTTTGAATAATCAAATACCCATAAAAAACCTACAAATTTTTTTCAGTGCTATGGTGTAATATTGATTACTCACTTTAACACCAAGTTCTAAGGACCACTTTTTAAATAAATTTTCCTGGTCAGTAATATTATGGGATAAAAATTCTTAAATAATTTAATGGAATAAAACTTACAGCTCACAGTGATAATAAATGTCCTCCCAATGTAGTAAGGAAGCAAAAATGTAATGTAGCTGATACAGATAGTTGCTTGACTGATCAAACACTTCCAGACAATTGTTTAATCCATTTTCTTTCATTGCTTTTAGGAAAAAACAATGAAGAATGGTCAAAACTTTACTTGCTTGTCATCATCTTAACAAACTCTGTAGACACAAAAAATGAGAAAGGAGTATTAAAAGCAAATAACACTTTCATAAATATTTCATTGGAACCATTACTTTTAAATAAAAAAAATAAATGTATTACAATAATAATGATAAACACATGATTTATTTATAAAAGGTGGGTGTACAGGGGGCAGTTAGGGGGGAGGGAGTGAGTTATTTAAATGACAATGTCAGTCTTAATCATAAGCTTCTATTTAAAAAGTGAAAAACCATGACCTTCATAATTGACTTGTCCATCTCCATCAATGTCTGCTTCTCGAATCATCTCATCAACTTCTTCATCTGTAAGTTTCTCTCCCAGGTTTGTCATCACATGTCGCAACTCAGAGGCACTGATAAAACCATTGCCATCTTTATCAAACACTCGGAAAGCCTCTCTGATTTCCTCTTCACTGTCAGTTTCTCTCATCTTCTTGGCCATCATGGTAAGAAATTCTGGAAAGTCAATTGTTCCATTACCTGAAAAAATGCAGTCATATTTGTGAAATTCTTTGGTGAATAACTTTAACTGCAATAGTACTGAGAGAAACATAACAAAATAACTTAGGAAAGTTAGTCTTCTTTAATCTTTTCACTAGAATCATAATATATCAGAATTTGAAAGGTTGCCATAGGAAAAACTGTCTGAACCAGTAACAAGTATATTGAACATACTTGTTACTGGCTTAACATGATGTACCTTTGTTGAATTCTTTAGATCTCCTAAGCAAGATGTAGCAATGTAAACATCATACCTACACTGTGTTTATCTAGTAGCAATTCAAAACTGATTAGAAAGCATATAATATACAATTTTATTTTTGATATTTATTTATTTTCTGTTTTTTTCCTTCCCTGAGAAATTAGCTATACAACTACTCTTGTAAATCCAAGGTGAAATAAAGGTGATGTGTGTGATCTGGTAAACAGAACAGTACTGGCTCAAATAGGTTTACACATGCAAATTCTCAGTTAACCTTTTAAAAAGTTGGAATTTGCTCTTCTTGTTATTTGTAATCAAGAGATCCAATTTCAAACAATTTTTAGGAATACTCTTACCATCTGCATCTACTTCATTAATCATATCCTGAAGTTCTGCTTCAGTTGGGTTCTGTCCAAGAGATCTCATCACTGTTCCAAGTTCCTTGGTGGTGATTGTGCCATCTCCATCCTTATCAAAGAGCGAGAAAGCCTCTTTGAATTCTGTTTTTTTTTAAGAATGAAGAAGGAAACAGTCGAAAATGTTGTGAATAACAAGCTGAAGCTTATTGTTAAAAAAAAATCCCTTCCCCTCCCTCAGAGGGTTTTCTTGGCCAAATATCTCAGCCCCTCCATACCCCCTACCCCCTCCCCTAGAATTTACTCAAGACCCAAGCTCCATCTTATCTAGATCATAAATAAATTATTTTCTGTAAATAGTGCATTTAAATCTTCCAAAAAATTCAAAATAAAAGACAGTCAAGTTTAATACCTGCAATTTGTTCCTCTGAGAGTTGATCAGCCTTGAAAGGAGAAAGTTAAAACAAAGAAAACACTCTCACTAAGTCAGAAATGTTGAACATGCCATTAACTTTTATTTTAACCAAACTGAATGAGATTAAAATCACTGGTCTGAAACATTATGCAAGGATAAAAGGATTACAGATGTGGGAAAAAATTCCAACACCAAATTATTCAGACATTATGTGTGATTTTCACTCCCTCAACTACATGATTTGAATTAATTTTTCATGGATGTGAGATCAAGTCAAATATCACATCTGTGAGAAACTGTGAATTCAAATAAACCTCCATGATGCTTGTCTAGGATTGGTCAATAATAGATTGACTTATTGCATTTCATCTCATTTGGCTAATCTCTCGTGTTTTGGTTATCGATATTTTAATAGGCTCGCCTGAAGAAATTTATATGAACCGCAAACTCGCCAAAACTGAAATGTGTTTTTAAATAGAAGGAAAAAAAAGTTAAGATAGCTTCCAAATATGTTTAGGTTTGTTCACTTGTCGACAAATAACAATGCAACTTTATTGCTTTCCAAAGATGAAAAATTCATTGGTGTAAAATGAGATAAAAAAAGCCATCGTAATTATGCGGAGGAAAGAATCAATATGAAGAGAGAATTGAATTAGCTGAATCGACGTATTTCGCGTACAATGCAATAACAGAAGATTTCCTTTAATTTTCTTTTTTTTTGAATGATAACTTGAAGATGTCATTTTCCAAAAACTAAGAGCGCACGATGAAGAAAGTGAGAATAAAAATTTTGTATCATATTCATAAGGATATACTCACTTTAGCATTAAAATAATACTTCACTTTAACAACAATTATAGATCATCGAAATATTCTGTATATTCTACTTGCAATCCTAACTTAGGCTTCTTTAAGTGCGGCGAGACTAACTGAGGTTCTTAAAGCCACGATCAGTCGGCTAGAAAAGGTTTCAATCTGACATCCACGGCGCCGAAGAGACGACAAACAATGCTTTCAGTACACGAAAAACATCTGGTTACGTGCCGGAAAAGTCTGACCTGTATGTTTTTTTTTGTATTTTTTTTTTTTATTAGCTTACTTTGATCGTGTACTAAAATAGTAATAATACTAAAGAGCGTTCGCTTGAATTTCACTGGCATAAAGCAGGGACACGAATAATTTCATATGGAATATTCCTACCATTTTTTGTAAAGTTCCGCTGTCAAATGTTTGATTCCCCAAATTAAATTCTCAAGAAAAGGAAAACCCTAATTTTTGTACATCCCAATTAGTGACATAAGGATCCCTATTCGCTTTTTTGAAACAATAGATATCCTTATTAGGTTAAACATTACCAAAAGTGCGTCGGGTTGCGGATAGTGCGGCTGTTTCTTTGTTTGTTTCCTTTTATCTCTCTGTATTTCCTTTTTTATCTTTGAATTAAATTTGCAATTTTCCTGAAACACCAGCCAGATGTTTTTGTTTAAAATTCAATTTTTTTATTCGCGTTTATTCAATTTCTTCTAAACATAAATGAGTTTGCTATTACGTTACCGAATTGTTGAACGAAATGTTCGCGTGACTCTTTGCCACAGTCACGTGTACCCTGCGTCTAATCGTGAGAATCAAAGAGACCAAGAACTCGCTATCAAAGGATAGATCATGAACTTTAGAACTTGAATGCAAAAAAACCAAGATTTCCATTTTCCTTCATTTTAAAACCGAGTGAGCCTCAGATCACATAGCATCCAACGGCACTAGCCTCCTGTTTCTTGATCAGTATCGATTTTAGATTTCATGAGAGCGGGTAGGTAATTCAACACGTGACCACCCGGACGGTAACCATACCGTATTACCTTATTTCTCCAGGACTTTTATCAGTTTATTTAATAAAAATTGTCTCAGTATTAATTTATTTGACTTCTCGTACTTTCTAGTCTCCATCATTGCTGATTTATTTTTATGTTGATTAAAAAAGGATTCTCTGGGCAGACGTTGTCAAATTCTAAGAAAAAGAGAGAAGCTTTATTTGTTAAAGTTCATATCTCAGCTTTTTTTAGGGAGAAGGAAAAAAACAAAATTTAAAATTCCCTTTATTTAAAGAAAATTAAAGTTTGCGTGACAAAAGAAATTTACATCCCGCAGTCGACGCAGTCCCGGAGCGCACGATCCAAATTTGGAGTGACAGGTTAACCAATCACAGACTGTTACGCCTATAACGAGCCTTTCCGAATCCCGATAAAATACTTTATAATTCAAGAAGTTTAATTACATCGGCGTTTGAAGTTTCTTAGAAAGCCTGAGTACATTTGGAAAATCATCGGAAACCTTAGAAATATGGTAAGATTCAACTATTCACGTAACATTTTATCAATCCTACTCATTTAGGTAGCACTGATCATTTGCTAAAGTGGAAGATGAAGTTAACTTGCCTTCTGTACATTATAAATATTTAATATTGGTTCGCTTTTGATTTTCGAATTGGATGCCATATTTCTTGAACTTTTTGATCTTTGGGCACGTCTAGAGTTCGGGTATTGTTATAGCCTATCTAGCGTTGAAGCAATTTGAGACGGATTGATTCCTTGCAAGAAGAAAACTCAGCGAGTTTCGTTTTAGAGGTGATTCCATGCGTGACCGATCATGCCTTCGAATTCGAAATAATTTGACAAGTGTGCGTGCTGAATATACCCACGCGTAGTTCAGTGAAACAAAACTGTTTGTAACACGGTTACCTTGATTTGTTTAATAGTTTTTGTGGGGAATTTTTAAAATATTCTGTACATTGTTTCAAGTTTATTTTATTTCCGAACATGCTAATGGCGCACGTAGTGTGAAAACTTGCACATTTTGTTGCTATCGCAACCCCATATTGATTTCCTGCTGGCTAAATGGGATTGATGAAGGGGCGTCGAGTTGGAAACATAGGGGGAATTGTGAAAGAGTTACTGAAATTGAGGGGAAAAGGTAATAATGTTGACTATGACATGGATTTTATACATGAGCCACTGTCCGAGATGTAAGGGCAACTGCAAGCCACATCATGACATTACTAAATTGATTGATTGATTGGTTGACAACTAATCTAATCAGAAGAAAACTTCACAAATGGAAAAAAAAATGTATGTTTGCGTTCTCAAAACATAGATGTAAATGGGAACTATTAATAATGCAGGGTCCTTGTTGTAACAGAAGGGATGGAGAGTAGTTTTCAAGCCTCTGGATTTACTTTACATATTTCAATTGAAAATGTCTTATGCTGTGCATTCACTTCAAAATGTTGTCTAATATAGCTGGCTAACAAAAATTCCCCTAATTAGTATTCCTTGGTTTATAGACCTTGTGAAAAAAAATTGTTCATTCCAAGAGATCCATTATATAATTTTTCTCTATTTTCTTCCTCTTTTAACATTCTGTGGCAATAATTTCAGGCTGATCAACTAACAGAAGAACAGATTGCTGGTAAGTTATTTGATTCCTTGAAGTAATAATTGCAATAAAACAAAGAAAAAAATAACTTACAGGGATGTAGATAATAGGCGGAAGCCGGGAAAATTACCCGGCTGTGAACACGATTTTTCCGGCTGTAAAGCACTACTTCTTTCTCCAAAATGTTTTTAAATGTTGTCAGAAGATTGTTATTTATTTATTTCGTTTGTTTACACCTTCATTGCTGTCTTACCTGAACTGAAAGGATTGTAAACACTCCATTTGGTGCGACAATTGCATTAATTGCATCGCATTGTCCATTTTGAAGGTTTTTTGCCCTTGATTTTGCCCCCAAAATTAAGGAAAATGCATCTCTGAGAGTATACATTTTCAAAATTTCCCGGGGAGGGCATGGCCCCAGACCCTTTCCTAGGTATAGCGTGCCAAAGGCATGCTAGAGTGGGCCTTTGGCCCAATTACCCGCCTATAATTGTTAGATTCCTGCCTGTTAAAGACTTAAGCTACATCCCTGATATTAGACAAAATCAAGCCGTTTTTGACATGATGAATTAAGTTTCACATATTTTCCTTGCTTTTATTTTATTCTTAATCCTTAAAGTACCATGAGTGACCAAAACAGAATTTCTTCTTAGAATATCAATACAATACCAGGCAGACAAGTGATGGCAATAGAGAAAAACATCAATTAGGGGATTATTAGTTGATCCAATAACAAACTCTCAAAACTAACATCATAACAATTGTACAGCAGACAGTAAGGAGAATTACTACCAAATGAGATTGTGGGAGTGAAAGGGTTCCATACTTTGACTTGTTGAGAAGTCTAGATTCTTAGGTACCAGTTTCTAGCCAAAATGTGTAGCTGAGAAAAGTGATCAAAATTATTTATTTTTGTTGACAACTTTTTGTTTTTGCAGAATTTAAAGAAGCATTCTCGCTCTTTGACAAGGATGGAGATGGTACAATCACCACCAAAGAACTTGGAACAGTGATGAGATCTCTAGGACAGAACCCAACTGAAGCAGAACTTCAGGATATGATCAATGAAGTTGATGCAGATGGTAGGCAAAATATCGGCTTTTCTCAGTTTGTGTTCGATTGCACATGTACCTGACTCACTAACCAGCTCAAAAGTGATGAATAAGTTACATGATTCTGAGATTTTTTATAAATTTGGAATAATAATGTCCTGTTGGAGAAAAATTTTGCATCATAGAAGACTTTAAAAATTAATTGCCTCTTATTCCATAAGTAACTAGCATCTTATTTCTCTTTATATTGTAACAGCTGAATCACAAAGATAGAATTTCTCCCTACAATATCAATATAATACTTAACAGACAAGTGATGAGAATAAAGAAAAATATGAGTTTGGGGATTATAAGTTGATCCAATACCAAATTCTCCAAACTAACATCACAAGAACTGTATAGCAGACAGTAAGGAGAATTATGAAGGAGATTACTGTTAAATAGAAGGATTTGATTGTACAGGAGGTGTAGACGGGGGCAGGAAGGTATACATGGTATGGTACACCTGCCTGTGATTTTTTTTTTTAAATAATAATTTTTTTGGCACCATGCCAGACTTTTCTGATGGTATTCAGTTGTTCACTCTCTCTCTCTCTGTCTCTCTCTCTCTCTCTTCTTGGTGAACAGGTAATGGAACAATTGATTTCCCAGAATTTCTCACCATGATGGCAAGGAAAATGAAGGATACTGACAGTGAGGAGGAGATCAAGGAAGCCTTTAGAGTGTTTGACAAAGATGGAAACGGTTTCATTAGTGCCGCTGAACTACGTCACGTGATGACAAACTTGGGAGAGAAACTTACAGATGAGGAAGTTGATGAGATGATCCGAGAAGCAGATACTGATGGAGATGGGCAAGTAAACTACGAAGGTGAGTGTAGTGTTTTTTTTCTATGTGGATGTTCAATGTCATTCCCTTTTTAAGATTGTCTCTTGCAGAAGCCAAAAGAAATTGGTTTGTGACACTGAAAAGTTGAAATGACTGGTTCCTTTTTTTCTCTTTTGTCTTTGTAGAATTTGTGAAGATGATGACATCAAAGTAGATCAAAACGTAAATTGGAACATGTGTCAACTTGCTGAAGCTTTGATGTAATATACCCTTTATTATGATTGCTCAGTTTGTTTTTTTTTTTTTTTTTCAAAAGAAATAGTGACTTTCTTTCACAATTTAGCTGGCTTTAGAACTAAGAAGTTAGAACTTACTGTAAAAAAATGTTAAGTTAAGATAGCTGTAGGATATTTTTTCTTGAATGAAAGTTTCTGTATTTTAACACACGCGATATACGCATGGATATCTTTTGCGCTTCTTGGGTTACTAAAGGTTTATGTTTGGAAGTTCATGTGTGTGGTGTTTTTTTCTCTAGCATTTACAATTTAGAAAGATTTTTGTCAAATAATTTGTTGATTCCAGTGAAATTATTAGGTTACTAAATCGTATTTCTCTTCCCAGCCCTTTACATGACTACCACCCAACTATTTGATGTGACGTGTGTGTCGTAGCGTGACAATTGGCCCCGAACCTTCATGTATGAGGCCGATCTTAAAAATTTTACCATTTAAAATATGAAGCTTGAATCATTTGATATTTTCCCAAAAGAGCGGCGTGGACCTACTTCACTGTTTGTCACATTCGTCACACTCCAGACTTGCTCGTGTTAAGAGGGATAGGGAAGTTTGTGATTGACGTTTCGTGACCTTTGGGGTCACGCAATCTTTTTGCACATGACAGTCGCATGGTAAGAACGCCGAGTTATGATGTTTCCCCTCAGTAGAAAGAACACTTTCTAAGCGAAATCTGATTTCAGTCGTCATCAATTCCAAAGCCTCTCTTATGTAATAAACCTAGAAATGGTTAACTCGCTACAATGGGTTCTTTTTCGACATTATAAGCGGTCAGATAACAAGCGATGTGCTCTGGAAGTAAGGCGAGGTACTTTTAATCCTAAGAGCAGTCGTATATATTCCCCAGACAAACTCGTATAATTTTGCCATGACTCTTACTTCGCCAGATGATCATCTCACAGTTGGAGCTTGGGCCTGTGGTCTCTCCAGCTCCGTGTTACATAAATAATCTGTGATAAATTTTCCTGTCACACCCCCGCTTACTCCCCCCACCTCCCCCCATACAAAGGAATCTCCGTGAGTCAGTTAAGGTTTCAAGAAAGTATTATTTTACATCCAAGTCACTTTATCTCCCAAGCCTAGTCAAATTCTATATGTTTACAGACATTGATGTGGTGCTCAGACGAAACTACATGATCTCCAGGTTCCCCGAGAAGAAGAATCCGTCGGATAAACCCCCTAAAGGTTTCAAAAAAATTGACGCAGTTGACGCAGCCGACGCAGTTTTAAAAATTCGCCGCAGTCTGCACTTGACGCACTTGACGCACTTGACGCAGGCGACGCAGTTGACGCATTTAATGCATATGAATGATTTAATGACGTCAATCAATGCGGCTTGAAAAACATTCATTCCGGCTTAATCATTTGAGGACTTAATTTTTTGGGCTGAAACTAAATCCCAGCTTTAGAATAAATTTCTTTTAATACTGAATTGATTTTATACGCAGATTTCGATAAAATCTCGCTTTTGTGGTTTTGTTATTGGAGGAAAGAATACTTGATCTATTTTCTAGAAACAGACCAGCCGCAGGCGACGCATTTTCCGCATCAGCAATCCAAATTTGGAATGTCAGTTTCATTTGAATGCACCAATCACGTGCCGTGTTTTTTTCACGCGGCTTCCGAAGATGCTTCGAACGTTTTTACAAGCAATAAATTTTCAAAGTTCTAGAAAGTGGGATTTTTGACGGAGAGCGAACAGAAAATGGTAAGATTTTCATCAATTTATGACATAAAAATTAACCAACTGATAATATCTAAACTTTTCTGTTATAGGTCAGCGCAAAGAACTTTCGTTCAGTCGAATTTTAGCTGTTATTATGCTCCTGAAATCTTGTCTGCTTAATTTCTTCCGCGATTAGATGTGAATACGTTGTTTTCGTAGATTGTTTTGAAGATCTTACGAGTTAAATCAGCAACTATTTTAATTATAGCAGAATGTATAGTTTACAAAGGATCGCCTTGTGCGTTATCGTTGCATGTCTTGTGTTTAGTGTCGTGACAAACCTAATTGAGTTAGCTAATGGAATCCCCACATGGTGCAGAACTTTAAGCTTATGGTCCTGGGTTCACTGCTAAAAAATTCGCTTTGAATCTGTAATTTTAAATCAGAGTTGTGTTTGAAACCCTCTTCATCGATGTAAACCATTCTGGTTAATATATTATGCATGTTTGCTTTTGTGTAAACATTTCTTTCCAACTTAATTGACCTTTTTACAAATATACCATTCTGTTTGTAAAACGGAAGTACTAAGAATTATTTCTTGCACAACTTCTGGGGAAGTCGTTTTGCATCTTTGCTTGAAAAAGAATATGAAAATTTTCACTTTTAGTTAGGGAACCATTGAATTATTGATTAAGGGAGTGATTTCAACTGCTGTCTGCAGCTGCCCCAGTCAAAGGCATCCTGTTTACAAATTATTTCCATGTTGTATGGTTTTCAAAGGAAGAATTGATCAGGGTGTTACAAACATTGACCAATTCTATACCTTAAGGTCATCTCACTTGTTGGAAGAAAATATGAAAAGCATGATTGTCCTTGCCTACAGAGGTTGCATAGGTATAATATATGCAGTCCAACACCTGCACACATTGGTGTGCTAATCTTTGCAAGAGTATTACTTCAAAACCTCATATGTTCACAGTAAATTCTTGAAATTTTGCCACTGATTTAAGGGCTGCCAATTTCTTCATATCCAGGATCTTGGAAAACTGTTGTGTGTTTGTGCACCTTTTTTGCATGACCAATTTATTTTTGCTTTATGTAAGCATGTAATCTTGGTAATGACTTACACAGAGACTACAACTAAATTCTTAAGCTGGGATTTTATGGTTCTTGCAAAGGACTGGTGCAAGACCTTAGTCTTAAAACTTGTGGCATCCTTTAAGAAACCTTGGAGGGAATTGGTTAAGTTCAAATGCTCACAGACTTTCCTTCATCCGAGGGGAACCAAAATGTACAAAGAATATAAAAATATATAGCTGTAGCAGTCATTCAGAATAAGTACACATATTGTGTTTTAAAGCAAACCCAAAATTAAGAATTGTAATCAGCTTCTTGATAAACTTTTTTGTCAATGAAAAAGAATTATTGGACTGCGATGTTAGTTTTTGAGGACAGAATTTTTCAGCTGTCAAGGATTTGTACAATGCATGATATTTCTGACAGATACTGATGTGATCAAATCCAATTTTTTGCATACTCTCCTCTTAAGCAGTGACAGATCTGGCAATAACTTTTTCTGTTTTTATCTCATTAGAACTAATATTTGTTTGTTTTTCAGGCTGATCAACTTACAGAAGAACAGATTGCTGGTAAGTGAAGACTATTTTTTCTAGCATTTTTGGTGTTTACTCTTTCTTAAAGGTGGAGAGAAAGATGTTTAAGTTTTAAGAGTTTCCTGTGATCTATTGTGCATTTTGCAATATCACATGGGATAAGTGCTCACTTAGATGGTTCAGGGCCAAAATCAAACGTTTGCAAATACATGGCAAATAATAAAAAACCAAACTGAGGGGAAAAAATATATAAGAAATTGAAGAAAGTGATAATTACTAGTTTTGGCTGTTAGGTTTCACTTACATGGTACTTCCACTATTTCAGAACTCTCTGTAATTGGTAGTTCTGTATTATCTCCTTTGAATTCCAGTTGGCTTGTCATCATTTGCACCATACACAAATTCAAAAGAATTAATCCAATGGATCCTAAGGTGTAATATGAGCTCTGTTCAACTAAGCAAATTATCATACCCATAACTTGTTTCTGCCTTATCTTCAGAATTCAAAGAAGCGTTCTCGCTCTTTGACAAGGATGGAGATGGTACAATCACCACTAAGGAACTTGGAACAGTGATGAGATCTCTAGGACAGAATCCAACTGAAGCAGAACTTCAGGATATGATCAATGAAGTTGATGCAGATGGTATGTAATGATTAACCTGGAAAATTTCCTTGGCAAGAATGCAGCTTTGAATTAGGCACAGAATAAATGAACAGCAAAAAGTACAATGACTCTTTATATTGGATCAAAAACTGTAGTTTCAAAATTAAGGATTGGTGAAAGCTTGGTATACATGTTCTGCGACGAAATGTGCATTGGCCAGTGCCTGATGTGAGATGCTGGAAATATGTGTTATTTCTAAGAGTGAAACAAGTTAATAGCTAGACTTTTAAGATCTAATTACTAATTCTATACAATTCTTGTGATGTTGGTTCAGAGAATTTAGTATTGGATCAACTGATAATCCCCTAAGTGATTCTTTTCTCCATTCTTATCACTTGTCTGTTTAAGATAATATTGATACTGAAAGGAGAAATTCTCTCTTGGTCACTCAAGAGAGTGAGAGGATTTAATACAATTCTGATCTCTAATGAAACTACAGCTAGTGATGACATGCTGGCACATAGTTGAACATCACTTTTGCAATGGGTGATAGATTCCATTTTATTTATCATTTGGTTGATTTCCAGGTCATGGAATTGACCAAGAATTTATATTTTTTTGAAACAGGTAATGGAACAATTGATTTCCCTGAATTTCTCACCATGATGGCAAGGAAAATGAAGGATACTGACAGTGAGGAAGAAATCAGAGAAGCTTTCCGAGTGTTTGACAAAGATGGAAATGGTTTCATTAGTGCTGCTGAGTTGCGACATGTGATGACAAACCTGGGAGAGAAACTTACAGACGAGGAAGTTGATGAGATGATCCGAGAAGCAGACATTGATGGAGATGGGCAAGTCAATTATGAAGGTAACCCTTACTCTGCAGAGTGCAGTTGTTATAAAGAGATATTTGTAATACCTCTCTTCAACCATGTGGCTGCAGTTCAATTGAACCAGCTCTTCTGAAATCATGGTTAGTTAGATCCTTTGTGCCTTGAGAGTGACTAACATTTAGTATTTCCTCACAGTATCACCCCTGAATCACACATTGTCACAAGAATAAAGGAAATGATCATCAACTAAACAAGCTGTTGATTTATGTCAATAAATACAGAATACAGTGTGTATGCAGGGTGTAAAGGTTTATGTGGTCAACTGATGGATGCTCTTAATTGGCAGATCAGCCAAATTGTTGTTTCATTCTCTGTAGCCATGAATATGCAGTAACAATTATGTTTTCTTAGCAAATGGCAGCAGTGTTAACTTTTTTTTTCTCTATACAGAATTTGTCAAGATGATGACATCTAAGTAACTGTGGGACAGCTTACAGAACCCAGCTTGAATCAAGTTTGCAACCTTGTCTGTACCAATGAGAATTGTAGATAGCACTTAACTTCAATTGAGAAATATTTGTGGGAAACTCTCTCTTTGCGTCATACTATAATTCCCAAATTGAGGACATTTCTGTTTATAATTTATTAAGACTTGTTTTTTGAAGCAATAAAGATCAGTCAAAACCGTTGAGAGTTCTTGTAGTGTTTTGGTGGCAATTAACAATAAAACTGTCTTTAGCACACATGATTGTTTTTAGACTTCATTTGCCATGTGATTGCTAAAAAGAAATAATTAATGGCCTTAACACTTTGCATTGATTGGTATACTCTGGTATATTATAAATTGTACCCAAGGTGTGAAACCTCCCCTCTGGAATTACATCTGTTGACATTGTATCAAATCAGTCACTGAGGCAAGATCATTGTTAATGTGACATTAACTGATACACATTTTTTCACAGTTTTAAGGAAATGTTCATGAGTCAAAGAAAAAAATGAAAAACAAAGTTTACCTCTTGACCCTTGACCGTTAGCCCTTTAACTATTATGAGTGACCATGACAGAATTTTTCGTTACTATATCTATCATGTAGACAAGGGATGAGAATAAAGAAAAACATTTATCATAGGATTACTAATTGATCCAATACCGAATTCTCCAAACTATCATAATGAGAATCACTTGGCAGACAGTAAAGAGAATTACTACCGAGATCCTGGGAGTTAAGGGGTTCAAGACTAGCTTCTATTTTCTCCACATATCACCGCTAACATTTTAGTGGTTATGAGAGTACAGGGAATGACCAACTGCCCAACAAGCTCTTGACTTTTAAACAAAACAGGAACTGAAGTTTGGGCAACTTGTGTTACACTAAGGTTGTGCGAGCACAGAAAACCATTTATGGAATGTTAATATGGAGTACATCCTGTCATCTGGAAAATATTTCTTGATATTTTCTTTACTCACTAAATCCTTGAGACGGTGTAGAAGTGCATGTGAAATTGGCTCCCGAGATCCAATTGGCCCCCAAAAAGTTGGCGGGAGGCTGAGAAGGAGTGACTAAAATTAGCGCCAGTCCTCCTCGTCAAGTAATTAACAAGATGGCGGACGAGTTGATGGAAGATCTCATCGTGATAAGCTTGCAGTTTATGTTGATTTAGCAGGATTCTTTCGAGATGACTTGACGGATATATGCATTTAAAAGGTATTTAAAATGTTTGCGCCAGCAGGTCAACCAGAACTTGTTCGTTCAAACCAGAAAGATGTATACTATCTTGGTTTCTTAAGAGAAGGCATCGGACAAATATTCAGGAACGTACGAGGTTTGTACAGCTGTTAATTCCTTAGAACGTTTAGTGGAGTAAATATAGTATTTATTTTGTGTTTTCTTATTATAAAAAAATATGATCAGCATCTGCTTGTAGCAACGAACCCTAGGTCACCATGATGTAATTCTCGTCAAATCGTCGATAGTCATATACTGTACTTGCATCTCATTGAATTCCATTTGTGCCTCTTATGTTTTTCCTTATTCTTCAAAGCCTTTCCTTTCTTTTTGTTTTGTTTTGTTTTGTCTTTTTTACTCTCTGGCAGTGGTCCAGTGATCAGTATAAAATGCACTCTGCTGATCATGTGCATAATGCATACACTGTTGGTATGAATTACAGACCAAAACAGTTTTTAAATTATTTCTGTGCAACCCTATACAATTTTAACGCAAAGCTTATTTTTTAAGGCAATCTATTGTTTTCTTCATCCAAGAACTATATGCATAATGAAGTATGAGGCTGTACACTTTCCCAACTTTATTTTATTTTATTTTATAATCAATTATACACGTAGATATCCTGCCACAATCTCATAACATAAATGTTGATGTGCAATCACTATTCCCATGTCATCGTCCACAACAATTCTCTTTATTTTGCCAATGTTTTGAACCCCATTTCCTGGAAGTGGTCAGGTTAAGCTTGTTCTTAAAACATCATTGATTTATCTTTTGAAGGCCCTTTCTCTTGGATCAAATGGAAGACAGAGTTAGATTTATTTGCTGACATCTGTTATTTTGGTCTAACTACAATAAGTGGTATGTTATGTAGTTTAATGCTGTATCAAGTTAGTGAGTGTTGTTAAAAGGCAGAAAGTTACAGTTATCTTAGGATTTGGAGGTATAATATAAATGAAATTAATATTAGTCTCATAAAATGTTTGGAATGATTTACAACACTAGGAGAGAGAAATTAAATAGGGTTATTATAATTCAGAGGGAAAAATCAAATTTTCCCAGGAAAGGTTTCCTATGGGTTTCTTAACAATTTATTTCCAAAGAAAAATTAAGTTTATAAGCCTTGTTTTGAAAGGTGAGAAGCATGCATAAATAAACTCATAAACAAACTTAACATTGAGTGTAAACTGAGAAGCATAAAACTCATAAACAAACTTATATGGAGTGTGAGTGAACTTGAAGGTTTTGTTGTTTTGAGTTTTAGTCCCATGATAACCTAAATTCTCTCTATTTTTGTTGCTGATAAGGAAAATGGTGTCATTTGTTGATGTGTAAGGAAAATATTGAATTAGTTGGCAATTATATTACCAGTTGATTTCAATTTTCCTGCCTCCTGATTATATTTTTTGTATTTTTGAAAACTAAAATTGGTTCTTGATCATGGTTATTTTTGTGTACTTTTTTTGAAGGGTTTTGATTTGTTTGTTCAGCTGTGCTGTGTTTATACCATACAAAGTTATTCTAGCTACGGGAATTAGTGACCCATAATTAACTTACCATCATGTTGAAGCTTCATAAACCATTTCCTCAGGATATCAGACACTTGGTGAGGAGTACTGTAATATTGTGCAAGTGGACACAAGCAAGACAAGGATCCCTTCAACATTGGTAAGACTAAAAGAACAATTTGATCTAGGCCTTGAGCTACTGTTATAAAAAAAATTATTGGTAAGACTTATTAAAGCTATCTTAGACATGGCTGAAATGTGATTTCAAAATTAATGTGGCTCTTGAAGTATCACTGGGTCTGTAAGATGCAAAATCTCAGAGATGTTGAGCTCTGTGTTTATGCAAGTAATTGCTGTTAGAATTATTTATAGTTTTTATTTTAACATTGACAGCTGCGAGGAAGTCTTGTCTTTCTCTACGCACTTGGTCCATATCTGATTGACAAAGCTTTAACAAGGCTGGAACTTTGGTTGCAAACCCAAAGCGATTCTCTTTATGGTTAGAATTTTGTGTCCTTTTATTAATTTGGTTGGTTACTAATTACTTAACAAAACAATTTTTTTCTTCATTTGAGGAATTTTTTTGTCAGCAGTTGATGCAAATACTTATAAATTTAATAAAACTCTCTAGAAACTAAAACACTTGATCATAGTTTGACCCTTTAACTCCCATGAGTGACCAAGATAGAATTTCTCCTCACAAGATCAATACAATATCAACCACATAAGTGATGAGAATAGAGAAACATATCAATTTGGGGATAATTAGTTGATCAAATACTAAATTCTCTGAACTAACTTTATAAGAATTGTATGGTTGATAGTAAGGAGAATTACAAATTTGATGTGGAAGTGAAAGGGTTAATGTTAAGGATGATTGATTTGATTTTCAAATTTGATGACCATTGATGTGGAAAAAGGTTTTGAATGTCAGTTAACCCTTTAACCCCTAAGAATGATTAGTATCTAATTTCGCTTTACAATATCACATATTGATGCCATGAGAATAAAGGAAATGATCCCCAAGTAAAAAAATGCTTGATTGTTAGACAAATTCTCCTTGTCAGCACCTTAGTAAATGTACAGAGAACAGTATGGAGAATATGCATACCAATGTTAGGGTGTAAAGAGTTAAAGACTGTTGGACAGAGAAGAAGGTATGGTATTTCAGAAGGACAGTCATCACACAAACACACACATACATTATCACACAAACACACACATACATCATCACACAAACATGGTTCTGTTGCTATTAATGGGAGATTTCTTTGGTTAATAATGAGATGAAATTTGTAGGGAAGCATTTTTCTGCAATTCAGTGTGGTGTTGTTAAAAGGAATCAAGCAGGTTAACGGTAGTTTTCTTTACTGCAGGAATTCATCCAAGAGTGAGAAATACTTTATCCACCTTGATCCCCATTGTCAGAGCAGGTGTTGTTTGTAAGTATTAGCTGCTAATTCTTTTTGTTTGTTTGCTTGTTTTGTCATCACTAAAACATTTTACATTCATTTTATATTTGATTGATTATGGATTGCAAACTGATAATATTTTCGTTTATCCGTAACTTTGTAAGGGGCATGCTTATTATGTACATGCTAGTGAAAAATGCACTTAAGGCTGGTTTTCACTGGCGACGGTCGTAGTCGAAGTCGTAGGAGCGCTTCCGACCCAAAATCGAGAATCGGAGTCGAAAGAAGAGTCGTCAACTGGACGGAATCGGAAGAAGAAGAACGGTCTCATTTTCTTCCGATTCCTCTTGTGACTTTGACGCTTAATTTGAGCCAATCAAAACTAGATTGGCGGAGTCGTAAACAGAAGTGCAGGAACCAACCAATCACATTGCAAGTTCTAAGGCCATCCGATGATTTACGACTCCGATAATGTAGTTTTCACTGGGTCGTAGGCGACGGAGTCGTTAGAGACGTCGATGGTTTTCTTCAGATTCCGTCGATTTGATTTTCACTTGATCGTATCCCTCTGCTCCTCAGATTACGTCTCTGACTTTAAATCTGACTCCAACGTAGTTGAAAACCACAGTTTTTAATGTTTCCTACATACTTTGTGAATATTACAGATGTCCACCGAGCGCACCTGGCATTGTTTTACTTGAACGGCATATTTTATCATATTGCGAAAAGGATCACTGGAATTCAATACGTAAGTAATGGTGTTTAGAGATAGTGTAGTAATTTTTCAGGATAACATCTATGTCGTGGTAGGCAAATGAACTCGGGTACTAAGATTTTTATCAATGCAATTTTCCTCGTTCGTTCAAAAGCAAAAACAAAAACAAAAACAAAAAGTTGCAGAAAACGAGCCAAACGTTAGATCGAAAAGTTTGGGTTCCAAGCCCTAGCGAATTATTTACCTGTGCTCTGCCACTAGACACTTCATCCTTGCAGTGCCTTTGTCTACATAGGAGTATAAATGGATACTTTTTTACAGCAAGGAAATTTACTGGGAGGTAAACGATTGAGTATCAACAACAACAACTAATCAAAACTGCTTGAACAAGAATTGGCAAAGGTTAAAATTGCGACAGCCAGCCAAAAAAGAACATCCTCTACGCACTGACCGCTGAGCGCCGCAATAATTGAAATAATTCTATTGTCATCTCATTGATTTACCTACAGCTGCTTGTACGAAACAGTCTCAGGAATGACGGCTCCAGACCAACTTACCGCCTGCTTGGCTATCTGTCCGTTGTACAAATGATTATCACTTTGATTCTGACAATGTTCCAGGTGAGAAGGTGACACGGTTTTTTGTGTTCCATGTACCCAATCATAACCCTCTTTCCTTTATGAAACAGAAATGGTATCATAGTATTTTCAGTTTTTATTGCAGCCTTAGCTGAATCGTCTCCCTTACGGGGGTACCGGGGATGAAAACTCCTGAGGAAGTGTGTCAGGATATTGTTGTCAATGTCAGGCTTTTCCGAGCTATTGAATTAATAACGAAGAAAGGAAGATAAACTAAACAAAGCAAATATGGCACGCTATTTGTTACTTTCTTTAACCTCTGTTCGGATATTTTTTTGTTTGTTAGTTTTTTAGGGGGGGGGGAGGGAGGGAGGTTGCACAGAAGATATGCCGCTGGATGGGTAAAATCCTCTCGACTGGATTATCCACATTGGGAAGCATTTGCAACAAGGTCGCCATGGATTTTAGTAGTGAACTGGTGATTTGCCTCCTTTACCCCCTTACATCAATATGCATATTCTCCACACTGTTTTCTATACATTTTTTAAGGTGCTGACAAGGAGAATTTGTTTAACAATCAAGGGCTTCTTTTGTTAGTGATCGTTTCATTCATTCTCGCGACCTTAATGTGTGATTCAGGGGTGATATTGTAAGGAGAAATTAGATGGTAGTCACTTTGTGGGGTCAAAGGGTTGAGTATACGGGAAGAAGAATTCTTCGTGTCGCATGGAATCTTTACACGCGGGTGAATCGCAATCTTTCGTTCATCACTTTGTCGACAAGTCACCTGCGGTAAACATTGAATTGTCTGTGTCTGAACAGCATCTGAAATCTGGCAAACCATTGGAGCGCCTCGTCTCACAAGACAAGCCAGCGGCTACAAGCATCAATACTAGTAGCGGTATAAAATGTGCACTGTGCTTGGAGAAACTGCAAGAGAAGACAGCGACTCCGTGTGGACATCTTTTCTGTTGGAAGTGTATTACAGAATGGTGTGCCAGCAAGGTTCGTAGCCACAAGTCGATTACGTTGAGTACCAAAACTTTAAAACGTTCTTGAACCAGCAATAACATCAGTAATAATTCACAGTCAAACCCTTTAGCCCGAATTTATTGTATTTTTTGCTCATTTCTGTTAATAAAACCCACTTTGAGCGGTCATCGAAGCAACCACTAGAAAAATGGTGCAGTATGGGGGGAGTGAAGTTGCAAAAAGAGAAGAGGGAGGAAAATCGTCTGATGTGACATTGCACGAAGGAAAATTCATGGATGAGGTAACCCACAGAAAGGTTCTTAGATTGATACCCATTATGTCTATATATGAAAAACTCATATATAAGCATGAAATCAGGGCCAATACGAACCAAGCGGATCGAAGATTGTGTTTTAAAATCCCAACTGGCTGGAGGCAGACCAGGTGGCTGCATACAAAGCGCAGCACAGGAGTTGAACCCGTGGTAACCGAGAACAAATACAGGGCTGAATCTGGAACCACCAGACTTCAAGTCCAGCGCCCTAAGTGGTTTAGCAAGAAGAAGCAAAATAGTGTACTTACTACCTTTAATCTCTTTTCCTTTTTTATTCTTTGTTTCCAGCCTGAATGTCCGTTATGTCGTGAATCTGTTCAGCTGTCCAGGTTGGTTTTCCTGCATCATTACGAACCTACATGAAGGCCCCACGTGACCTGTAGTAACGTTTACAGACAAACGCACCCTTAGAAGCGACTGATTGTATCAGCTGTGTTTAGAGCCTCTTATAATTTTGGTGACGGTGAATCGATAGATTCCTCTAGCTTATTACTGTCTGAACCCAGTTGTGCTAGTTACGGGCCATGTGGAGATTTTTGCGCTACAAGAAGGTTATGACTATGAAGAAGCAAAATAATTATCACTTCGTTTGATGCAACTTTGATTGTCAAAGAAAGCTGACAGAGCATATTTCCAAACTTTTATAAATTTCCTGCATAGTTCAACATTTGATGATCTTTTTTCGCTGTAATTTTTAGGAAGTAGTAGGGATTATTTACTTAGTGACGTGAGCACTCATCAATATCGAGCTTACGTTTGTTCAGTTCTCATACCTTCGTGTTTACTTATTTTGATGTGCCGTGTACCCGTTGTTTGAAGGAAATTTCATTCTTCAAAAGCATAAAACGGACACTATTGCTCCTGACCCAGGCTGCGATACAATGTACCATTTCAACTTGATGTTAGAGAGATTTTGGTATTTAAGTTCAAAACTTTCATCAGATACGCGATCCTGGGTGTTTTCGAAATTCGCAGTAAAACCAAATAAAAGCTACTAACATTGTCTGAGCTTGCTTTCGAAGACTGCGTGGCTGTAATGTAAATACTAACTACACATACTTTTCGATCTCTGCTGGAACACATCGCTTTGAGAAAACATCGATATAACACCGATCTAACCGCGACAATTACACTAGCTTTAGTGATGTTCTCAGCTTTGAAAATACAGATTTAAAGTGCTTGTTTCGGAAGGCGAACAAAAAGGGATTCAGCGCTGAGTTAAGGTAGCAAAGCAGTAACAACATCTTAGAAAGTTCGTAAGGATATGGCGTTAAGCCGACCAAGTTTGCGACGATGCTGAAATACGAGAATGGCTGCCAGCAGAAGAAGATAGCCACGACGTACATCGAAGTAGTCTTGCTGCTCTGATGTTCTTCAAGTACACCTTTTTTTCATCTATAGTCGGCTTGCCAAACTTCGGCCCATGATTTCGGGAAATGCGATAAATGAGGATGTAAAACAAACATGTGACCAGCAAAGGGAGTATAAAATTTATTAGAGAACTAAGTGTGGAGTAAACCTTTCTGTATGGTATCATACGTGCTCCTTCAAATATGGGCTCTTCATTTCTATCTCGCCACCCAATGATGGGAAGAAGAGACCATACAATGCAGTAAACCCAGACAAGGAGGGAGATTGTTACCGCTCTCTTCTTGGTCGTGAAATGCGAACGTCGGAACCGAGCGAGAGGATCACGAATGGTGTTATATCGATCCACGCTGATGGCCAAAAGTGACAAAACCGAGCTAGGAACAGTGATGAGGTACACTGTAAGCCAAGTTATGCACAAAGCTTTTCAGTGTTTCCACAGTCCATGCAGAAAAAGAGCTTCAACGTCAAATGGCGCGTCAAGGGTTACTGTGAGAAGGTCCGAGATGGCCAGGGACAACAGCAAGAGGTTTGTGGGATTGTCGCGGAGTTCTTTGTTGGCGAGTATGGCGTAACAGATCAAGAGGTTGCCAACAATAGCTACTAACGAGATAACGATGTAGCAAGTAGCAACTGAATACGAAAAGGTGGGTTCCAAATCAAATGGAGCCGCCTCACTGCTTGAATTGTTCATTATGAATGGTTCTCGACATAACCAACCTGAAACGTAGGTGCTAAATGTGTCTTCACTTTCCGAAGGACAAACTGATCGTTTGTGAATATGTTTCGGCCTCAGGTAATCACGTGAGAATACATCGAATATCAACGCAGTGTTGTACATTACAGTAGACCGGTTGAGAAAATTTTTCTCTTCTAACGAGCACAATATCCAATGTTTTACTAGCAAGTGACGTCAACAACTCGAAAGCATTTGAAATATCAGGTACATTGACTTTCAGATTAAGTGTCGAAGAACACTTGCTCAAATAGGGAAATGTAATCAAAATCCATAATCATGCATGTAAAAAATTTTCTCATAATGTACTTACGGCGTCAGAATTTTGTTATTTCTTTCTTACACAGTGTTGATAATACCTGCTATATAACTTTGTGCAAGTCTTGCACTCGCGCATGCGAAATGGAGCCTTTTCAGCTATTTGTCGCTGTATACGTACAATTCCCGCCCGGGTAATAAGCTCCCCTGCACTTCTCTCATTAATTACTGATTCCTTAGTAAACCGGAATGGATCTCGGCGTTGACCACAACTGTCCATGTCCATAAACAACTGAACATCATACTTCCCACTTCAGTTCGTACAAAAAGAGAAAGATTTTAAGTTTTACGATGCTGTTTGATTGCACGGTGCAGGGTTAGACTGCTGTCCGATACCATTAAGTATTTGACGCTTTCTTAAAATGAACGTATGTAACCCGGCACTTCTACGAGATATGAATTCACCTCTTTATTGCTTCACTGTGACCAAGAGCAGTATTGTCCACATGTGGCCTCTGAATTAATACAGGTTCACTCTTAATGCATATATATAGCCTTGTCAAAGCTTCCAAAGCTTGTCTGTGCGTTTTATCACATTGATATCTGAGCTGTAAAAAGCATTATCGATATGGTCGAGTGCTTGCATTAATTAACAAATATTGCCTATACTTGATGAAGGTTTTTCCGATTCGACAACTGATAATCAAAACTACTAAAAGTAGCCCAATACCAATGTTGCCTTACACAACATCTCAAGGAATATAGCTGTCAGATTGCAAAGTAGGGGTGTTTATTTCCCCACTGCCATGAATTCCCTGTCAAGGGTAAAGGTTTAGTGGTTTTGATGTTCAACCATGGAGTTTTAAGACTGCCCATCTTGGGCAGTAACAAGTAACAAGTGTTTATTTTTGTCCATTAAACATAATATATAGTTTTAGAAAAAGCGGTAAATTCTTGATTGTCGCCGGCATTGTAATACTTTGGTCGTTCTGTTAAAATTTTGACAAAGAAAGAGTGTGACGAAAACAATTTACTAGGGCTATGATATTAATAACATTTAGAAACTTGGGGGGGTGTTTCACCTATTGCTTGTTAGGTAATATACCTTAGTACAGAATATTACTCGGGTTCGACTTACTCTCGTAATTTCTCCGACCAATATAGCCCCGACTCGATCAGTCACTTAAATAAGGATACTTTCCAGTAGGAATGTAAGGAATATAATTGTATCCATCAATCTTCCTAGACAGTTTGAAGGCAACTTTATGTAAGCTTAGTTTTCTTTGACTAAATCCTGAGGACAAGTGATACCTCCTTTAAGGTCATCAAAGTTGATGTGGCCCCAACAACAATCCGTCTTGTCTACTAATCTGACACGAGCCATCTGGCCAATGTATTCTTCCACGTTCCAGCTCTTACGGTACATCGTCTCGTTACAGTTACCTGTCTCTCTTCGAACAGTCTAGCGGGAAAAAGAAAAAGATAAGAAAAAAAAAGAACTCAAACAATTTCAAATGTTAAAGAAGGAGCAGAAAAGCGGGAATTTAGTCTTATCTCAGCTGCTGTAAAACCTGAGTCACATGAGATTCTAGACAAAAAAAATATCTTCCCACTTTTCTTTGAATATGCGCTCGGGCACCTATTTTGGCTAAAGCTATTAAAGGAGGAGGGCGCTTATTATCTTCCTGCACTGGTTCCACTGTGATTGAAGCTTAAAACGTTATAAATAAAGTAGCAATAGACAAACGGTTCTCAGGTATCCTCGCTATTCTAGAAAGTGAGAGAACAAAGCCAAAAAAGGTGGAAAGAACTACTTTCGCTTAATCAAATCAAAACTAACATAACAAATAGACGGTTTCAAAATCATAACAAAAAAAAAAGAGGAATTAAAGTAGAGAAAGAAAGTAATAAGCTCTATTGTACTTACCTGGTTGTTGACGATAAGCTCCGCCCGAATAGCGGTTACATTACAACGCCCACCAATGAGAAATGAGATATTTTCGCCAACGATACGAAACCAAGGGGAAGTGATTGTTCCGTTGGGAGCGTCGCTACCGTCTGGGTGCTGTCCTCCCGGAGAAATGTTCTCGCTGGGTCGATTCTCAGCTCCCCCTATCCACCAGTTTCCTTGCTGCTGGGCGCTTTCTCTGTTGCGTGCCGCGGAATTATCACCAAATGTTGGCTGGTAAATCAAAAGCTCTGCCTGTCATTTCTCACCCGCCGATTCCATCTTCAAAGTTAAAGCTACAGGCTGCGTGAAATAAACAGAACAAGACAAAATCATTTAAAATATAATGAGATAATAAGTGGAATTTTTCCAAAAATTCAACCCTACTCCTTGCTTTTTTTGTTACCTAGTTTCATGTTCGTTCACTCAGAAAAGCAACAGAGCATCAGAATGCAAGTAGAAGACCGATAATTATTTGCCGCCTTTGGAGGATTTTGATTGTGTTACCCTAAAACTTACCTGATCCTCACTGAGGTTTTTTAATATTTTAATATTTTTGTGATCTCCCCCATCCCCCCCCCCATAATTTTCTATGGTACCCCTTTTACCATCTGTTAGTGACGACTGATCCCCTCCTTCGTTTACTCTGAAAACCATGTGATCTCCCCTAAAAACCCTTCTCTCCTTCAGTGATGGTCATATCATGAATGGTCCCTAAATAAGGTGTCCTGGCCAAGGTATTATTCAACAGTGAAACTGTGATGACTTGAAAAGTACTTCTCAAACACTGCTCACTAGGACATCACAAATGCGTCTAAAAAAACACGATAAAACTCGTTTACAAAGAATTAAAATAATCATACTGTTAGTTACCGATTTTATAATTTAATATAAGACGAAAACATGGTCACTTCGATGGAAACTTTCGATCAAGTTTAGTTGCAAAACTAAAAGTACAGTCCAAGGACGAAAGAAGGATCATGAAGACCGAAAAGACCTGTATTTTCTTTCAGAATATATTTAGATAACAACCGTAGTGGGTGCTTATAGGAAATATGGCCCAAATGTGCAATAAAATGATAAAAAATAAAGATAGTTCCACGAAAAATTTCTCTCTCAATTGAGGGCATACCTCTTCCGTTCAAACGCTGGGTAGAGAACCAAGCAGGATCTAAGCGAAGACCTTCAGGTCTGGCTTCTTTGGCGCGGTTGTTCAATTCGCAGATCTTTTCCTTTCTGTTGTAGTTGTAGCTTTGGCAGGCGATTTCTTGTTCGCACCGGACATTACAGATATGGGGAGCTGATGCAGACGTCCTTGTAAATACGAACCCTTCAAGTCTCATACCTTAAATGTTGATCTCTGCCCAGCACTGGTCATCGGTAGTTACACAGTCCACAAAAGAAGCGAAGAGAAAGAAACAGATCATGTCGCGCTGCATTTTCCCTGATCAAAAAATTCTAAAAATAACTACGATAGCAAAACCACGAGTTATGCTTTCCTTTGACTTTTCAGACCCTAACATCAGCATGTATATTCTCCATACTGTTTTGTAATGCATTTTGCCAAGCACTTACAATGAGAATTTTACGCTCGAATTTTGATTAGTTTTACTTCTGTCAGTTGTATCATTCACCTTTTGTATGTTACAAATCTGAGAGAAAAGTTTACTTATCCATAACTCAAAATAACACTTGTTCTTTTATTTTCGTGGCTAAAAGTATGCTAAAGACTTAACATTTCAATATAGAATCACCTTTGTTGTCTGAAATACTTAAAATTTTGATATTACACAATTTGTGCAGTGTCAAGCATAGATTTAAAAAAAACCTGCACTACACACCCTTCCATCATTTTGGAAAATCATCGACGCGTTAAATATATAAGTTATTATCAAGTTATTTCTAATCCCTTCATGAATTTTACAGGTCAGGGAAGCTCAGGGAAAAATAAATTGCTTCAAGGACATCAGTTGAAAGTCAGACAATTTTACTGAGAGTCAGAGCACATTAACATCTTTGAAAGAAGACAGGGTAAAAAAGAAATTTCATGTAAACATGACGTCATTCATTTCGTCTTGGCCCTCTTAATGATGAAAGATGGTGACACCTTCCAATTTGCGACGTCAATGTACACACGTACATTGTTTTTATTACTGATTTCTGACCAGCACATCGTTTCCTTCGTTTCCTTCGTTTCCTTTAAGTTCAAGTTTTTTTGTGAATGAAATAATAGTTTATTTTTCTTGGATTTAATAAACAAAAATAATGACCAAAATAAAGACTTTCTTAACTAACTCTCAGGATGGGTATGATCTCAGTATTTTCCTAAAATTTTGGTTAATCTCAGCCCAAATATTCTTATATAAAAAAGTTTCTTATAGAAAAGAAAGGGTGTATACCAAAGCGGGTACGTTTAAAAAACAAAATGCGGTAATAAATTGAGCGATGATAAATGAAAGAGGAGGTTGAAGGCCACTATCAAGACTCGCTTGTGAAATTGTTAATAACGTTAGTCAGGGAGATTGTATATTTATCAGAAAAATGTCCGGGAGTTTCAATAACCTAACATTATAGCGATTACGCTCTCATTTTATTTACAAAATTAATTAGAAATATCATAAAAAGTGTGGCTAGATAACGTGTGGCCAACCCAAGCGATTATCATTTGGATTCTTCTCTTACCCAGTTATCGTTCCATTATCGTTTCAAAACCAATTAAAATTGCAAGAAAGATTTAAACGTCGCTTGTTCATGATAAGAATCAAGTCTTGTCGATTTTACTTCATAAATTCCGAACAGAAATGTAGAAAAAAAGGCTTCTTACCTTATGAAAGGCAACTGACTCTCAAATCTTTCTATGTGTTGTTTTGCGAGGAGCACCTGCATGCAGAAAAGTGTTTTTCTTTTTCCTTTTTTTTTTTATTGTTTAATCGATAGTTGGCGTTAAAGATCAATGTTTGAATACCGCTGTGGTTAAATTACCATTCTGAGAAATTAGAGAAAATTGGAGAAAAATTAGCTCAAATTGTTAACAAGCAGACGGCAAGCGAAAGTTCATTTCTGATACCACTGCCTAACGGTAAATTTCAAGAAAAAAATTTAAAAAAGCCTCACATCACCAAAATATTCATGAATTAAAGGGAAAAATTTTCTACACATATCACTACTATCATTCATCATTATTAACTCTGTCAATGAGTGATTCCCCCCCTCCCCCCCCCCCCTCTCTCCTTGAACAATTTGTATAGGTAGTCACATGATCTCGAGCGCGATTTGGGATTAATTAGCACGAATAAGTTTTTCAAATGCAAACCAACTTACACGAGCCTGCAGGGCGAGTGAAATTTAACGTCTGTCAAAAAAATTATGAGTACTGATTTATCTCAAATTGCACGGGGAAAATCATGATTACGAGTAAATAATATACAAGCGAAAATATGACTCTTTTTTCCTTTTTGTTTCTTTTATTTCTAGTTTCTTTTTTTTTGTTTTTTGGTCATTTTTCATTTTTCTTTTTCCTTTATTGTCATGGATCACCAGTTCAGCCGCTTGCCTTTGCCTTGTTGCCGGAGTAGTCAGGCTTTTTCTTCAAGAACTTGCTCTAAGCTTTTAAAACCTCTCTAAGAATGATTTAACGTTTGTATTCTTGCCCTGTTATGTTTCAGTTGATCGCAATAACCATTACACGAAACGTCAAGGAAAGCTATCACGCTTGCAATCTTCCCCGTCTCTCCAACGAATTGACGTGTTCTCGGCCATTGAGCATGCTGAAACTTTTGCGTGTGTTTTATTACAGGTAGAAATGGACTCGTTTCCAGCCAATCAGAAGAGCGTAATTTTTTAGTTATATTATTAATCACTTGAAAGTTGCAGAACGACTTGATGTTATGGTGCAGGAGTGGGTATTTCTTCTTTTAAGACATCTTCAAAACTTGAACGCTGAAATGTCTTTACATGTCCAAGACACGAAGACACCATTTGGTTAATTCATCTCTTTACCATATGTTTTTCAATTTCCAATGCAAAACGATCCATTGAGTAAGTGTTTGAAAAGATTTCATTGTAAAGGGATGATCTCATGAAACAGAATAATACAAGTTCAAAGTATCGACGTTTTGCGGTGTATTTTTATTAAGAATAAAGTTTCTGCATTCTAATTAACCTTTGCCTCATTCATAGCACTCTCTGTGAATACTAGCTCCAAGTAAAAAAAGATTTAAAATGAAAATTTCAATCATGTATTTCCATGGTTAAATAGCTGGAGAAAACTGTGATGTACGCGTTATAAAATGATATTTGCGCAAAAAGATGAAATCAACATCCTTTTAGCTATGAACTTTGGTAAAACGAAATAATGAAGTACTGATAGATTTTGATCAGTTCTTGTGATCAGTTCTCACAATTTGCTACGTTATAACTCACCGAAGATTAAGTACTGCAAGACCCAAATATGGACACTGACAAGGAGACAAACAAGAAAATGTGATAAAGTTTTCTCGATTATGTAAACTTTTAGAGACGTTTTAATCGAATTGACTTCATTCCGCAAATCACAGTTTGTAGGCAAAATACACTTGTTTCGCTCTATTCCAGAATTGCAACACTTGAGTCAGGCTTGTTTGTCTCCTGACAGTCTGAGTTATTTTAAAATCACGTAACGTTGGATATTACTAAATAAATTTTGCTCACAAGAAAGAGACCTCTAGTCGCCATAACTTACAGCTGTACAACATTTCCTTAGTTGATCCGAGTACAGCAGAAGGAGGGTTAAAGTAACAAAATGCATCAAATAAAAATGATCCGATACAAGATCTTGCGAGGTTTCCAAGACTAAGAACAATGAGAATCTCGTTTTTTACCGCGTGCTGACCAATGAACTCTTCTACGTTTCTGCTCTAACGGCACATAGTCTCCGAACAGTTACCTGTCTCATTTCTGATAACCTTAACGTAATGACAAAAACAATAACTTTTATACCGTTTTTCGATCAATGCTGATGTAGTGTCGTAGTCAGTAATGATATGACACTGCGTGTGCTGGTTGCAAAGGATTGCAGGTAGAAAAATGCAGTATGAGTCTCGCAATTTTCGAAAATCAAATCTGAGATATATTGATCAATCTACCAAGGCTGTTTTAATAGCATGATTTCTGCAACTTCGACACTGGTCTTTAATTAGGGAAAACTATTGCGCTATTTTGGAATCTGTTTTGAAAGCTCACTCGAAAATTACTTCAATCTGTAATCCTGAACAAAGTTCTCTGAGAGTTTTACAGCTATGGACTTTTCAAAGTAATTATTGAGTGTCCATACCTTTAACAGAAATTTCAACAACAAAAAAAAGTAGTATCTACAGCAAGACTTTCATTTTGTCGCGGTAATATAATATAATAAGTAAATGATATGGATAACATTTTTTGCCACGCGCATAAAATTGTTTCATAATACTTTTCTACTGTTCCTATAAACAGAGTGAGTGTGCTTATCTATGCTAGCACAAAGCAAGTGCTATACAAAAGAACTTTATAATATCAAAAGCTGATAAGCCTTACTATGTAGTCACAAGGTGGCTATCTGTAAAAACTTGAAAAACGCAACCTTTTGCCCTCACTTTCCCTTCAGTTGTCTTCATTTAAATAGTGAGGACAAATGATATCTCCTTTAAGATCATCAAAGTTGATGTGACCCCAATCACCAGATCCCTCATCAACTAGTCTGACTTGAGCGCATTGGCCAATGAATTCTTTTACGTCCCAGCTCTTACGGTACATTGTCTCGTAACAGTTGCCTGTCTCATTTCTGACAACCTACATGTAAGATCAAACATATCAAACAATTTTAAACCTTTGTTACGATGAATGCTGACGTATCTATCATGACTGTATCATACATTAATTCAAACAAAGAGTAACCTATTTCTATTGAAATCAAGACATTAAAGCATTCAATGATCTGATTGCAATGTCCTGCACTTCGGAAAAAACAAACAAACAAACAAACAAACAAAAATAACAACAACAACAAAAAATTCGTTTCAAGGTTGTGTAAGCCAAAGAAAAAGAAAGTGTACCAGAGGCGATGACGTGATGACCTAGTGACAAAAACGTTTGGCTTTTGTTTTTCAAATACATTTTTTCCCTATAAATGGCTCATTCTAAACCTAAACGAATCTCATGGGTGTCACGAAGCTCAAAACGGTTTCGCAATTTATCGAAAATCTCTGATACTCTGATCTCTGCTAACCTTAACCCTAAGCTGTTTCAAAAGAATCAAAGGAAACATTAAATAATCTCACCTTGTTTTCGACAATAAGCTCTGCACGAATATCATTTATGGTACATCCTCCACCGATGAGAAACGAGATATCTCTGCCAACGATGCGGAAATAAGCGGAAGTGAGACTTCCTTGGGGTCGGTCGGGACCTTCCTGGTGCAGATGTCCTGCTGGATCGCTTTCGCTGGGTCGATTCTCAGCCCCCCCTATCCACCAATCCCCTTGCTGCTGGGCGCTTTCTCTGTTGCGTGCTGCTGGATTGTCACCAAATGTTGGTTGGTGAATGAAAGCTGTGCCTGTCCTTTCCCATCCACCGATTCCATCTTCAAAGTCAAAGCTGCAGGCTACATAAAGAAAAACAAAAATTTTCATCCTTCTGAATACTTTATGATTATCATGAGGTATTGAGTCCACCTTACAGTTTTGTGTTTAATTACATTTCTTGCAGTATACACCAGTGAATCCTGAAGGACATTTACAACGAAATCCTTTGTCAGTATATCCAGCTTGACATGTGCCATTGTTGAAACAGGGACTGCTGCTGCAAGGATTCTGTTCAAGACAAAATGACTGCGTATTAAAAATATCCATGGTTAGGTATTACTCATCCTCAAAGGAACACGATCTTGCTGGAAGGATAACTTCTTCAGGCTTTTTGATCAAGTGAAAACTAGAATCAGTTACACTCTGTCACTCATTAAACCAGAAAATCGATTAATAGAGTTACTGGATATTTTGTTGGTTGAGAAGTGGTTGATTTATTTAGAATGGCTCCTATTCTTTTTAGCGACTGGAACTTTGATTTTTCTTTTTTTTTTTTAACATTGTACAGATAACACCACTGGTGTACCTTAGCTTAGGTATTCTCCCTTGCTCAGGTGATTCCTAATTTTCCTTCGGTATTCATCAGCAATCTCTGTTTCGAGAACTACCATACGAAAGATAGGTCACCAAAGAGATATGATGGGCCAATGTCACCCCATTCATTCCCGTATTGGTATTAATAACCTGCTTTATTTTAGCGGTTCACGCTACATTTTGCGGTAGTTTTTAAACGAAAGTTTAAAGAGAGACTCTTGAGCGATAGCTAGAGAGTCGATAGGGCTTATGGAACAATGTAATATCTATTCTATGGAAAAATCACTCATTATCACACGAAATCGGGTCGGAAAGTTTCTCGTGACGCGCGCTGCAATACTGAGGAATCACATTAATTCTATACAAGGATTGGAAGGCTAGCATAAGAAGTAACCCAAAAAAATTATCGCCTACAATAATTGTTCGCCGTCTAAAATAATTCCCTTTACCTCGATGCTTAAATGAGTATAATCTTGTTTACTCTGAAGGACGGGTGAGCCTGGACTTTCGTGCGAAGCATTGTTCAACTCACAAATGTAGTTTCCTCCTTGCGAAGGCCCCAAATTTATGGACACACAATCGGGCTCCATATAGCACAGCACATTACAGCTCCCTAGGCGGGGTACCTCTACAAGCCCGATTAAGTGCCCTACCATGACTTTGTCCTGTATTGGTTCTTTGAAAACAATGGATCGACATTCTTCACCTGTTTAGTATTCAAATAACAAAAGACAATGAAATGATGAAGTTAATGCACAGTTATGGCTTAGAGAAAGAGGTTTTAATGGCATGGTAATATCCCCGAAAACTCGCCTCAAGAAACGCTTAATTATGGTTTCCTGCTGTTTTCTTTGTACTTGGAGACTTTTCCCTACTATGGTATCGAAGGAAGTTATGAGATCCAGAGGCGAGTTTACCGTCAAAGAGGAAAGCAAATAATTTACATTTTAAAATCGATCCCAATGTAAATGGACTACTATTGGAAATTTGATAATCGCGTCAAATTTCGCCAACCGCGGCACAAATGAGTATTTAGCAAGACATTCCAATAGAAAATAATCTTTATAAAACTCTCTTGCGACCAGACATAGCCGTCAATCACTTGCAAATTAAAAATAAAGTTCTATTTAGAGGAGGTATTCAAACTATAGAAATGAATTAAACAAAATCAGCAAAAGCAGATTCAAAACTTTGTTAACTTGCCTTCGGAACATCCAGAGGATAACGGAATAATCATACCGCTTTGAAAGAGGAAGCTTAGAAGTAAAGCGGAAGCTTCTATACTCAGCTTGCACGTTTCTTCCATTCGCTTGTGCTCTAGAATAAAAGATTATCAGTCACGCATTGAAACAAAAGTTTACATCATTTTCACAACAGCTATGTCTGTCCAGCTAAAGGCAGAAAATTGTCGTGGATTTAAATGCACTTTCTTACGTGTTGGCAAAACTTGAACTGACTCCAGTTGTTTTGTTTAACAAAACATTCTCAAGATTATGTTCGTGCGGTCGTTAATGGCTAAGACAGGTGTTCCTTGAATAAGAAGATGTTCGTGCTGTCGTTAATTGCTAAGACAGGTGCTCCTTTGATGATGGTGGATTACGCATGTCACGTGTTACAAAGACGTCAGCGTGGACTAATTATTAACTATCCAGCCAATCACACGGATGCAATGAGTAAACACTTTTATTGTCTTCAGAATAGTTCTATTCGAGCAAACCGTTCTTCGAAGTCTTTATAGAATTGTTTATCGCTGACATTTTTAACTGTTCAAGAGATTGTTTTCCAGAGAATTATTTAAGCATTAATTCAGCATTTAGCATTAATTGTTATATGATATCCGGCTCTTCTCCTCAATTTTACATCAAAACTGGTGAAAAGAAAGGTCCCTTACCTTTAAAGAGCAATTTAAATCACAGTTCTGCTTTTCCAAGTTTTGAGAATTTGCCAGTGCTTATTTTCACAAAATTGGGCGAGAAATGTTGCTTATTACTTGATAACAATTCGCTTCAAAAAAAGCATCAAAGAAAATCAAGAGGACGAAATTTTGATGGTATGCGCACTGTTTGCAATTTGCACTCGTTTTACAACATTGCTCTCGTTTTACATAAAAAATGGATTCGTTTTCAGCCAATCAGAAGAAAATAATTTTTCATGTATAATATTACTCACGTGGCAAAACGACTTGATCCTATAGTGCAGTGCGGGTCTTTGTTCGTTTAAGACGTCAAAAAAAAACGGACGCTGAAAAATCTCTTTACATGGTCCAAGTTACGAAGACACCGTTTGGTTAAACCATCCTTTTATTATATTTTTTCAATTCCGAAGCAAAGCTATCAATGGAGTAAGGCTTGGAAAGATTTCATCTTAAATGGATGGCCTTATGAAACAGAAGAATGCAAGTCCAAAGTGTCGATGTTTTGGAGTGTATCTTTATTAGGAATAAAGTTTCTGTATTCTAATTAACCTTTGCCTCACTCATAACACACTCTGTGCATGCACGTTCAAAGCAAATATTCCTGAATAAGATTTAAAACAAAAATTTCAATGTTGTGTTTCCATGGTTAAAACAGATTGATCAAACTGTGATGTACACATTCTAAAATGACACTTGTGCAAAAAAGATGAAATTAAACATTTTTTTACTTTAAAATTTTTTTAAAGCTAATAAATAATGAAGTACTGATAGATTTTTAGGGGGTTAGTGGTCAGATCTTTCGATTATGTAAATTTTTAGAGAAGTTTTAATCGAATTAACCTCATTCTGCAAATCACAGTTCGTTTCCAACGCTGTAGAAAAAACACATTTGCAACACTTGTGTCAGATTTGTTTGACTCCCGCCGCTCTATTTTAAATAACGTTTCGTAAGATATTACTGACTGGAAGTAGGCTCTCGTGCCTTTGAAAAATTTATAATTCTAGTATTTACAATTTAGCAACTTTGATCTAAGAATTTTTCTTACAAGGAAAAGACCTCTAGTCGCCTTTAACATACAGCTGTACAATATTTCATTGGTTGAACTAAGCACAAGAGAAAGGAGGGTAAAAGTAGCAAAATGTGAAAAATCAAATTGGTCCGGTACAAGATTTTGCGAGGTTTCCAAGCTACTAGGAACAAATGAAGAATCTCGTTTTATTAATGCAAAATGCTACCCAATACATGCTACATTAACATAACTAGTATGATTAGGACGTGTTGACCAATGAACTCTTCTACTCTTACGGTTCATAGTCTCCGAACAGTTACCTGTCTCATTTCTAACAACCTTAACGTAATGAACTTTCATACCCCTGTTGTGGTGACTGTATTGAAAAGAATTTTTTGTGTCACAATCAATACTGATGTGGCACTACGTGTGCTGATTGCAATGGAATGCACTTAGAAAAATGCAGTATGAGTGTCACAATTTTGGAAAACTTAATCTCAGATGTGTTGATCAATCTACCTAGGCTGTTTCAATAACAAGATTTATGTAACTTGCATATTGGTCTTTAAACTTTGATATTGGTCTTTAAACTTTGATATTGGTCTTTAAACTTTGATATTGGTCTTTAACTAGGGGAAACTATTGCACTATTTTGGAACCTGTTTTGGAAGCTACTCAAAAATGACTTCATTCTGTAAACCTGAACAAAACCTACCAGTAGTTTTTACAGGTATAGATTTTTCAAAATAAATATTGAGTGTTCATAAAGACCGTCAACAGAAATTTCGACAAAAACAGAAGCTTTCTAATATGATACCATTGCTAGCATGCAAATCAATAGACTTTCATTTTGTCGCGGAAATCCTAAGTAACGAGTGGATCATATGATTATAGCATTTTTCGCCACGCACATAAAATTGTTTCATAATACTTTTCTACTGTTCTTATAAACAGAGTGAGTGTGCTTATCTATGCTGGCACAAAGCAAGCGCTATACAAAAGAACTATGCAATATCAAAAGCTGTTAAGCTTTACTGTATAGTCACAAGGTGACTATATTTAAAAACCTGAAAAATGCATAACCTTTCGCCTTTACTTTCCCTTCATTTGTTTTCGTCTTAAAAGTGAGGACAAATGATATCTCCTTTAAGGTCATCAAAGTTGATGTGACCCCACTTATCAGATTTCTTATCAACCAATCTGACTTGGGCGTATTGACCGACGAACTCTTTTACGTCCCAGCTCTTACGGTACATTGTCTCGTAACAGTTGCCTGTCTCATTTCTGACAACCTGCATGTAACAACAAACATATTAAACAGTTTTAACCTTTGTTTCGATGAATGCTGACATCTCTATTATAACTGTACCATACAATAATTCAAATAAAACGTAATATATCTTTATTGAAATCAAGACATTAAAGCATTGAATGTGCTGATTACAATGCTCTGCACTTCAGAAAAGAAAAAACAATCAAACAAACAAAGTAGCAACAACAAAAAAAAACATTTGTTTCAACGTTGTGTAAGCCAAAAGACAAAGAAAGTGTGCCAGACGCGAGGTTGGTTCCCTCGTAGGACCTCTCGCTCGAAAACTTAAAATGAGCTTTGTATAAAGTAAAAATATATATAAAAGTAAAAAACAAAAACGTTTTCGAAACTAGATCATTTTCAGGGTCATCATCGTTTATCCTGATGATGACTTAGTGTCGAAAACGTTTGGCTTTTGTTTTTTAATTATATTTTTCCTTATAAATATCTCATTGCAAACCTATACGAATCTCATGGATATCACGAAGCTCAAAACGGTTTCGCAATTTATCAAAAATCTCTAATACTTTGATAAATCTACCTACTTATCTCTGATTCAAAAGAATCAAAGGAAACATAATGGTCAAAGTAAATAATCTCACCTGGTTGTCGACAATAAGCTCAGCGCGTATTTCATTTATGGTACATCCTCCACCAATGAGAAACGAGATATTCTTGCCAACGATACGGAAACAAGGAGAAATGAGGGTTCCCTGGGGTGGATCGCCACTTTTTGCGTACAGCTTTCCTGCTGGATCGCTTTCGCTGGGTCGATTCTCAGCCCCCCCTATCCACCAGTCCCCTTGCTGCTGGGCGCTTTCTCTTTTGCGTGCTGCTGGATTGTCACCAAATGTTGGTTGGTGAATGAAAGCTGTGCCTGTCATTTCCCATCCATCGATTCCATCTTCAAAGTCAAGGCTGCAAGCTAATGAGAAAGAAAAAAAAGCAAATGTTTATATGCTGAATACTATATGATTATCATTCGATATTAAAAATTCCACTTCACAGCTCTGTACTTACATTTCTTGCAGTATGCGCCAGTGAATCCTGAAGAACATTTACAACGAAATCCTTTATCAGTGTATCCAGCTTGACAAGTGCCATTGTTGAAACAGGGAATTCTGCTGCATGGATTCTGATCAAGAAAAAAATGACTGCGTATTATAAATATCCATGGGTAGTTATTACCTATTCTCAAAGGAACACAGTCTTGCTGGAGCGATGACTTCTTAATGCTTTTTGATCAAGTGAAGACTAGAGTCAGTTAAACTTTGTCAATTTATTTACTGGATATTTTGTTGGTCGACTAGGATACTTCCTATTCCTTTTACCCACGGGTTCATTGATTTTTCTCTCTTTAACATTGTACAGATAACACCACTGATGTACCTTAGCTTTGATATTTTACCTTGTTGAGGTGATTCCTAATTTTCTTGAGTATTCACTACTAATCTCTGTTTCGAGAGCTACCATACAAAAGATAGATCACGAAAGAGATATGATGGGCCGATGTTACCCCATTCATTCCCGTTTTGGTACTATCATACAAAAGATAGGTCCCCAAAGGAATATGATGGGCCAATGGTACCCCATTCATTCCTGTATTGGTACCACCATACAAGAGATTGGTCACGAAGGGATATGATGGGCCAATGTAACTCTATTCATTTCTGTATTGGCACTGATCACAAGCTTTATTCCATCGGTTCACGATACATTTTGCTGTAGTTTTTAAACGAACGCATAAAACGAAACACTTGAGTGATAGGTAGAGAGTCGATATATAGGACGTATGGAACAACTTAATATCTAATCTATGGAAAGATCACTCAATCTCATACGAAATCGGGTCAAAAAGTTTCTCGTGATGCACGGTGCAATACTAAGGAATCGCCTTAGTTCAATACAAGGATTGGAAGGCTAGTTTAAAAGTAATCCGACAAAATTAATGCGCACAATAATTGTCCGCCGTCTGAAATAAGTCACTTTACCTCGATGCTGAAATGGGAATAATCTTGTTTACTCTGAAGGACGGATGAGCCTGGACTTTCGTCCGAAGCATTGTTTAACTCACAAACGTAGTTCCCTCCTAGCGAAGGCCCAAAATTTATGGACACACACAATTAGGGCTCCGTATAGCACAGCACTTTACAGTTCGCTCGGTGAGAGACCTCGACAAGCCTGATTAAGTACCCCTCCAAGACTTTGTCCTGTATTGGTTCTTTGAAAACAATAGATCGACATTCTTCACCTGTTCAGTATTTAAATAACAAAAGATAATGAAATGATAAAGTTGAAGTACGGTTTTGGTCAAGATAAAGAGGTTTCAATTGCAGGGTAATATTCCCAAAAAGTCAATTTGCCGCTAGATCATGGTTTCCTGCGGGTTTTTTCTTTTTATTTATTTATTTATTTTTTGTACTGTGTGAGATTTTTCCTTGATACGGTATCTTAGGAGATTGAAAGTTCTGCTTCAGTTTGTACGCAAAAAAAAGATTTTGCACTTTTGAACAGGTTGAAAAAACCCTCATTATAGCCCCTTTATCAAGTCGGAAAAACCCCAGCTGGCTTTAAGTATTATGCATCCACAATATGAGTTCGAGATCCGCTTTTCCAAGCATCCTATAATAAATGTCATTTAATGAAAACCTTTATTAGTATCTCCATCAGTAACGAGTGAATTCAAAACCTGTCCCTTAGGTGTCCCTAAAGGGTTTTATACAGATTCCCCTGTATAAGCCGATAAATATCTATTTAAAGATTGAAAATAAATTTCAAAAATGTTTTTTTTATTACGATTTATGAGATGGCGCGTGCATGTTTAAATTTAAATATGAACCACTTTCCGAACAGGTAGAATTCAAAATACAAATATAAAATTCATAATTGGAGCTCAAGAGGGAACAGTGAACAGAAGTCGAACAATCTTTGCTTTACTCATACTTCAGTTTTTTCGCCAAAAAATGATTTTGCCTCAGTGGGTACCTCTGAAATTTTACCGTTAGATTTTGAATGTACACCGAAGCAAGTTCTGAAAACACGAGGCGAGTTACCCGTCAGAGAGGAAAGCATGTAATTTACATATCTTTTAAAATCGATCCCAATGTATATGAACTACTATTGGAATTTTGGTTATTGCGTCAGATTTCGTCAACCGCGGCACAAATGGATATTTTGCAAGAAATTCTAATCGACAGAGTTCGATAGAACTCTTTTGTGACCAGACATACCCAGTCCATCACTTGCAAATTAAAAAAAGTTCTATTAAGAAGGGGTATTCAAACTATGGAAATAAATTGAATGAATATTAGCAAAACAAATTCAAAACTTTGTCGACTTACCTGCGGAACATCCAGAGGATAACGGAATAATGATACTGCTACAAAAGAGAAAGCTTAAAAATAAAACGGAAGCCTCCATACCCAGCCTAAACGTTTCTGCTTTTCACTTGAGTTTTAGAATTAAAGATTACCACTCACGCACTGAAACAACAGTTTACATCATTTTAACAACAACCAATCCTGTCCAGCTAAAGGAAAAAATTGTTGTGGATTTAACTGCGTTTTGGGATATGTTGGCAAAACTTAAGGTGACTGCAGTTGGCTTGTTCAACAGAATGTTCTCAAGGGGATGTACGT